TGTTATGTGGGGAAGTGAACTATTTAAAGTGTACCAAATGCTGTCCATGAAGCATGTGACGCTAAACTGTTTGGTTGCAAAACTTTAAATAGTTAGATCTTCACAGTTCAAACATCTTCACATTCAAAAAATTTTGCGATATAATTTCAAGAGTTTCTTGGGTTAAAATGTATTATTTATCTACCCTAATGCAAATGTTTGTGTGTTGATTTGATAGATAAATAGGTCATTGGCTTACGTATGTATTTTTTACCTTGCCTGTCCTGTATTTAAATGGCTTTGCTCCCCTAAAGGGCCCATGTTAGCCCTGATGTGTTATGATGGTTTGTCATGGCCTCTGATAACATGGGGTCATTGAACCATGGTCATCGTTTTGACATATTTCCGTCACAATGAGCCGTGATCATCCTTTATTCTTGTTTTTTGGGCGGAATTTCAGTTTGTCAGTTCGCAATAACTTCGGGGTGTGTTTGTGTATTTTCTGTTCTGTTTTGTAAATTTAGGACACCCAAATTAGGTAATGTTTTTCAGAAATTGCTCTTGCATAAAAAATATTCATAGATATCATAGGTGTTTTATCAAGATCTTAGCCAAGATACATATCTGAAACGGGAAGAATTATGATAATGTGCTTGAGTATAATAAAGTATTTTACATTAAATTTGTATGTGTGTGTTATTGAATGCCAAAAGAAAAATCTTTGCAAGATCCCAATTGTAAAAGGGGTAAAATATATAATAATAAAAATACATCAAAATGTGATATAATTTCAGTCATTTACTTTTTAATAGTTATGTTTAAATGTCATGACATGGCTGAACACAGAAATCATTTATCAATGGAGGGTCGTGTATGACAAACCAGTATATATTTATGCATGAATCAACACACTGGTAAATGAATGAAGACCTGGGATGGTCTCGTCAGGATAATGATATTGTAAATAGGTTATACAAAAATATGATAATGGCTTTGTAGGTGAGGAGAAGGGGGGTATGTGTACATTTCAAGGTAGCTCATTTAGGGAGGTGACTTTCTTTATCTTTTGGACAGAAAAGGCAGACATTTCTAGGTGTTGACTAAAAATATCAAAACATGCAGTACGTAGTCTGCAAGCAATGGATGAATATTGTTTTAGTAAATTGGTATGCTGAGATAAGTAATATGAGTTGCTTCCCAACACAAAGGTTGTTAGATAAATTGGTGTCAATGAAGGGTGTGTTCATTGGTACATCAACCATAATTGACAATGAGTAGCTTGTACTGTACTTTTAGCTCTGTTGACATCTAAAATGGCACGGAATAGCATCAGTGGTAATAACTACATAATGTAGAGTTAGAGCACCACTCTCTAATAAAGTGGGAACATTTCCAGCGTCTCTAATTCATGTGTACTGCAACTGCTCTGAGTAAACCTCCTTCCCAGAACCGTCTGACCTCTGTCTAACAACATCAATGCCAAGGATGTTTCTGTGTTATCATGTGACACAAGCTCCTTCCCGGGGTGTTTCTGTGTTATCATGTGACACAACCTCCTCCGGGGTGTTTCTGTGTTATCATGTGACACAACCTCCTTCCCAAGGGTGTTTCTGTGTTATTATCTCACAACCTCCTTCCCAGGTGTTTCCTTGTTATCACGTGACACAACCTCCTTCCCAGGGGTGCTTCTGTGTTATCATCTCACAACCTCCTTTCCGGGTGTGTTTCTGTGTTGTCATCTCACAACCTCCTTCCCAGATGTTTCTGTGTCAACTTCTAACAACCTCCTTTACAAGGGTGTCTAGGTCATCTTCTCACAACCTCTGTCCCATTTGTGTTTCTGTATCAAATTCTCACAACCTCCATCCCAGGGGTGTTTATGTGTCACATCACACCTCACAACCTCCTTTCTAATGATGTCTGTGTGTCAACCTCTCACAACCTCCATCCCAGTGTTGTTTCTGTTTCATATTTTTACAACCTCTATCCCAGCAGTGTTGCTGTATTATTTTCTGTTCATCCTAGTAGTGTTGCTGTGTCAACATCGCAAAATAAGTTTAAGTATCACATTGAAACTGTTCAGCAATTCCTTTAGCTTCAGATGTTATAATCTGCTGTGTTCAAGCATGGATTTACTTTACGTTAAATGTTATTATCCATAAAACGTTTAAGACATAAAGTTTTTTCCCTATAAATTCAATAATTTAATACTATTCTTTAAACAAAATTATTTTGAATGGCTCCTTTTAAGCCAGATAGTCTATTTCAAAATTTGGACTTAGCTGTGGGGTCTGTCTGATCTACTTACTGGTTTATATTTTGTGTTTGTTTTGGCAATTTGTTATAAATAATGTAGATCTTAAATCACTGATGTGATAATGATTAAGTGTTGAGGGGGCCGTAATGGATGTTTCCTCCATCATATTCGTTCGACATTAAACATGTGTCACATATTTGTACTAAAACTCTCACAATGGTAAACAACTTGTCTTGTGATACTCTTATTTTGTGTAAATGAAATAACATTTTAAGGTGTAATGTTTACTGTAGATCATTAAACGTATAAGATTTTTCTTTAACATTAATTTGACAAGTAGTCTCTCCCAACAAAAAGTGTTCAGGTTTATTTTTGGACGGTTATTTGGTCTCCTTGGACAGGTTGTTCGTTCAGAAAGACGGTCTCTTTAGACAGGTGTATCTCATCAAGATATATTAATATGGATGGCTGGTGTTATAAACAGGTGGTTTAATTATTAAGACAGTAATTTTAGACATGTGGTTTATTTAGAGAGATGGTCTTACCAGAAGAGTTAAAATGGACAAAATGTTATTAACAAGTATATAGAGATTGTTAGACTGTCTCTTCCTGTATTCACCAAGACAAATACACGTTTTAATGTTCAGGTATGTTCGAACAGTTAATACCTGCATGTTGAATTTTTGTGGATCCAGTTATGAGATTGTGTGTACCAGAAAGGTAGAAACCTTATATTACAGTTCCAAGTTGATAGCAAGGTCATGAGGTGATACCAAGGTCATGAGATGTGTTGTCCAAATGTCCAATCCTGTGGAATAGTAAAACTGATCAAACTGACCATTCCTTTACCTAATTGAGACAGGAGACATATATTGGTGACCCTGGTCACATTTCTTCACCTGGACGTTTGACCACAGGGACTGTTGGTCTTATCTATTTACTCTATATAGGGTGGATACACACTGAGCTGTTGGCAGTCACAACAAGGTGGAAATGATCACTGATATTTAATCTGAATGTCAAGAATGTTTTACTGGGTCTTTGTTAAAGAAATATATTCATAGTTTATAAGTAAATACGTATTTTGTGTACATTGCTGTTCTAAAGATTATCCATTTCAATATCTATATAGTCCAAGTTGTATTTTTTTCTCATAAATTTCCAAAACAAAAACTGTTTGTTTGATTGCTCCTCTGACTTGTGACCTTGATTAACAGGCCAAAGTCAGCATTGGAAATCTTCAGGAGGATGAAAAACTAGATTAAATTTTACAGTGTTAAAATAGCAATGACATTTTTTATGATGTTTTAAATTCATAATCGTTTAGAGTCTGAAATAATTCTGTCTAGACATGCATAAATAAACACGAGATTTAGATGGATTTTTCACCTGAATTTACAATTTCCGTCTATATTGAAATAAGGTTGATCTTTACCCCCATTCCACTTGTAAATGACAGGTTTTAGGCACACTTCCCTTTAATCATATCTACGATGATATGAAGTTTTCTACCTAGTATTTACGGCTGTTATGTGATGCTATGGGCCGTCTGGGGCGGGAAATATGGCCTAGATATCGTCTGCCATATCTCACTAGTGTAATTTGACAAGAATCAGTCCCTACGGGAGATTGGCAAATAGGAAAGAGTTATTTCTTTCACTTTCTCCGATATGGGGGAGACATCTTTATCACACAGTTTGCGACACTGGCTTTAAAGTGGCACTTTTCACTAAAGTGCACAAACAATCTTCTAAAGCCAATTACTGGCGCCCTGGTCAAATGTTGTGTACACATCGTATATTGATTCGACCACACATTGTCTGTGGTGGTATGAGGGTCGAATCACCTTCAATGGCACATTTGTCACCGATAACAGGAATGATATTCACGATTATTGTCTTTTCTCTTTCATTTTGATTACTTTACATTAAGTTATAGGGTATCTGGTTATCCCACAGACACTAATGCCGTAAACACAGATTTTCAGACACAGCTATACCGACCAGGAAAGTCATATGGGATGCTTATTATATTGGGGGCTTCATTGTGTACACTCTTGGCAGGCTTAAACAAATAACTAAAACAAACAGGTATTGCTGGGTTGGTTTTGTCGTAAACAGAAGCACTTCAAGAAATACATTGACGAATAGGTAGATGAAACAATTTTTTTTGCTGTTTGTGAAGTTTTAATCATTTTAAGGTACAAATAGGTAAAACGGAGATGAACTTATTTGGTATGGTTATAGTCTACGACAGCATAACCATTTATAGTATTTTGTTTCATTGCTTGTTGCATGTTCAAAGGATATACCCAGCTAAATGTCCTGCCACAAGACAGCGCTGGTCCTATTCAATAAACCAGTTGGGTCATTCTTGTATTGTGAATGACATTGCAAAAATGTCTGTCTTGAATTTTTTATACTCACTGTTTATTTTTTTTTATGATTGTTTGCATGTTAAATCTTATGGAAAAAGGGATTATTCTGCCTTTGATCTAAATTTTGAAAATAATGGCATCAAAATAGTTTTCAGTGTGAATGGTATTTGTTGACAATTTGTTCCTAGATTGCTTTGTAGGATTTTGAAAATGGTCTGGGTTCTTCATTCTTGCTTAAATAATAAAACGGAATGGTAGAAAAAAACACCATAATGACATGCACATATCATATCTTTGTTTTGATGGGTCACAAGTATTCATGAATGTTGCATGAAAAGTTTATAACAATGTTGGCCATATTTGTAATGTTCCTGCCTTGTGTTGTAGGTGTCAGATGTGGTCGTCGCTGGGCAACCTGAGGACATCACAGCCAAAGAGGCCTTGTTGCTATGGAGTCGGCGAACAGTGGAAGGCTACCCCGGAGTCAAGATCAACAACTTCAGCAAGAGTTGGCGGGACGGGCGTGCATTCCTCTCCATCATACACAGACACAGGTCAGTACTGTGATGTCATTTCCTTCATTGTGATGTCAATTCCTTTGCTGTGATGTCACTTCCTGTAATGCCAGTGTTTACCTATCTGCTGAATCTTTGCCGTGGGGAAAAATGACAGCTAGCATGTTTTTTCTCACAGAAATGTTTCAACAGTGAAGAATTTAATTTTATGCCATATTTTTTTGGTGCATTGACAATTTTAAGTGTTTTACTTTCCTATACAGAGTTAAAATGAAAAAAAGAAGATATGGAGTCATATAGTGCTCTTGGTGTTGTGTTATGTAGGTGTCAAAGCTATGTGTAAGAAATGGGTTGCAATTAGTAAAACCAGTCCAATTTCAGAACATGATGGTGATGAATGTACTTATTATTGCAATCATCATTTGAAAATTGCATCATATGGATAATTGTTTATTAATTGTGATTGAGGCATTGCATTCTACAACAGGTAGAATAGGTATTGATTTTAATGTGTGTACAGGTTATAAGTCGTGACATTTGTGTTTGATGCAGAAACAGACAGATTATGCACGAATATTGAATACATTATGTGCATTGTACATTATGCAATAATTATTCCCCATAGATAACTTGTATACTCAAGCTAAATATCAACTGTTGTAATGTTAATCACTCTGTCTGATAACCGATTTCCTACAGATATTCCCGTTCTCGTCTGTCTGATAACCGATTTCCTACAGATATTCCCGTTCTCGTCTGTCTGATAACCGATTTCCTACAGATATTCCCGTTCTCATCATGTCAATGGGTTGTTTGCTTGGATTCAGTTTAACGTCCTTGCAACGGTCAGGTTTAAAATGAAGACGGGCATGTCAGTGATGAAACAAGATAAGTGTAGAAGGGAAAAAGGCCATGAAACCAGCATTGTTATCAGTAATGGTAGAGGTAGTCTGTTAGCGGATAAATGTTGGAGAATGTTAGGTAAGAAATCAATCTATCCTAGCTGGTGGAGGCTAGTGTATTATTTATGTGTGGTGTGTGAAGGCTGCAGACATTATAGATTCTTTAGGTGTTGGTGGAGTGTAAAGTCTTCACTTCAGTATTCACACGGTCAGAGAGGATGGGGACGATGAAGTCAGGTAGACAATACTTCTATTACTGTGAAATCACCTTTTTTTTTTTTTTTTTTTTAATGTTGTTGATTCTGTGGGTACTCTTAACCTAGAACTCCTTTATCCACTGAGTAATTTCAGGGTTTGAATAGAGGTGTTTTCTGTGTAAGTAGTAAACTGCCAGCTTTCATGGATATTTGTAATCCAAGAATTCATGTACCTATGAAATGGTATTTGGTATTTTGGGGGGGGGNGGGGAGACTACATGATATTGGCCTCTCAAACGCCAAGTGATGACTTTTCTCTGTCCCTGCCTGTCAGATAGGGCACAGGGTTTACCGCAGCAATGTTACGCAGGTCAGGCCCATGTTTTGTCACATAATTTGGGTTGAGTCCGCCTTTTGGCAGTCTTTCATTGTTTTGGCTGGGTAGAACACCTTTATAACGATAAATATTCTGTTACGCTGGATTAAGTTCCTCACAAAAACAAATGTCCACATGACTGTGTCGGGTCACGGCTGATTGACTCCACCCAGACATATCGGACATAGGAAAAGGATAATCGGTGTGGAAATGTGCAGAATGATTGTGTGTCCTGTCTCTGTGAGCAGAGACGCCCTAGATAATTTAATTCGTCGGTCATGTTGTTTTTGAACTTTAAAATTTCTACTCCTTGATGTCTGAATGAACTGTTCCATATAAAACTAAATTGTACAGTCCATTTGAATTCCGGGGATGACAGGATGACAATTCAGAATGATCTGTACTTACAAACTTTGCTGTAGTATATTACCCTCAATAACTTACTGACATAATTGGTAATTGATATGGTATTAAATTATTTCACCCGAAATATTCCTGTAGGGATAAAAAAAAAAAATTGGCTGAAGAGTTGACATTTAACAATAGAGGATCATCTCAAATACAGCACCTGTCAGTCAAATGTAGGCCTCAAGTTTTTCTAAACTTTGTTCAGTATATTTGATTTCAAATTGTTATTTAATGTTTTGTTTTTAATTACCATTGATCCGAGTGTCATTTGAGAAGTATTATTACTATGAATGTCCCTGAAATGTCTGAGGTTCAGACTAGTTCAGCTCATTAATAGGTCAGAGGTCAAGGTCACTGACGGATAGATATGGTTGTTTAATGAAATCAATCAATCACGTCATATGATAACATTTCTTTTGATATTCTATCGTCAATTTTAAAGATTTTTTTTTGATGATTATTCTTTTCACAAAGTAAGATCCTTGCAAATAAGTTGTTTGATTCTTAATGGAGAAAATGTGGTTTTGGGAAAACTAAGTTACTTTCCATAAGTTGAGACTAAATGTCATAAATGAAAAAGTTAAATTCGAACGAATGAAAATTATTTTGCACCAAGATATTTATGAAGTTTGTTCTATATATTTACATATACCAGGTTAGCTGTATTTATAAGTCAAAGTAATCGTAGAAAGTGGTAAAAGTATGTGTAAGAATACAATGTAGATATATTTATAGGGAAAACATTGAACTTCTTCGAAAAATATCCTAACTCAGTGTCTTACAGTTCTTTCCTCCTGTTTCATTCTAGAGAATATTGTCCAGAAGTTCACCTCTGTTACTTTGATATAACTACCAGGAAATTCGTTCATATTTCCGTTCCTTCTTGAGAACTGATATACCCGGAGTTTTAAACTGTCTATTGTATCGGAATAGTAATCAATTTGTCTCCTTTCACACATCTAGATGACCCAGATTGATACAAATCGTTCTATTTAAGTGAGAATGTGTCCTGTGTATTGGGATATCAGCTCTAAGTATCGGTAACATTGTCATTCAGTCACTCCATAAGTTATTCTTGTTATATTTAATCTCCAATTATGGAGATAGATTTGTTCATGGCCGGCTATCAGGTTTTCCTGTTTATAAATAGAACAATAAAGATATCGGCCTTGCACTTTAAATCTCTACCGTGTAAATAGTGTATTTCTTGTCTTTCATACTTTCTGTGAATACGTCCCAAGTTTTTTTGTTTGTGTACGACTGGTTGGTATTTTATTGAGTAGGCAAAAAGTTATTAGCTGGCTAATTTTGAGTAAATGATGTTTCAAAATAAATGTGGAGCTCTGCAGACTTCTTCAGAAGTCCTGAAATGTCATGTTTGGGCTGTCGTAACAAAAGTAAGGAAAGTTTGTTCACCAGAATATAATGAATCACATATAAATGTGGCAACTGAGATGACTAAGTACTTGTCAAGATTGTCAGGTAATTTGAAGCCGTCTTTTGGCGATGAAAACTGTGCAGTTTGATTTCCTGTCAGTAGTAGCCATATTATGGCAACAACTATTAAAGAATCAAGCGTAATATATGTTTGAAATTTGAATGAAACGTGTGTTTGATGTGTATTATAATATGATACCAGGTTTTAATAACTCTGGAGACGTCAGGTCGTTAACACAGGTGTTAATACCACTGAAGACGTCAGGTCTTCAACACAGGTGTTAATAACTCTGGAGAAGTCAGGTCTTTAACACAGGTGTGAATAACTCTGGAGACGTCAGGTTGTTAACGCAGGTGTTAATAACACTGAAGACGTCGGTTCGTTAACACAGGTGTAAATAACACTGAAGAGGTCCAGTCGTTAATACAGGTGTTAATAACAATGAAGACGTCGGGTCGTTAACACAGGTGTTAATAACACTGGAGATGTCAGGTCTTTAACACAGGTGCTAATAACTCTGGACAAATCATGACGTTAACACAGGAGTTAATAACTCTGGACAAATCAGGTCGTTAACACAGGTGTTAATAACTATGGAGACGTCAGGTTGTTAACACAGGTGTTAATAACCCTGGAGACGTCAGGTCGTTAACACAGGTGTTATAACTCTGGAGACGTCAGGTCGTTAAAACAGGTGTTAATAACTCTGGAGACGTCGGGTTGTTAACACAAGTGTTAATAACACTGAAGACGTCGGGGCGGTAACACAGGTGTTAATAACACTGAAGATCTCAGGCCTTTAACACAGGTGTTAATAACTCTGGATACGTCAGCTCGTTAGCACAGGTGTTAATAACACTGAAGACATCGGGTCGTTAACACAGGTGTTAATAACTATGGAGACGTCAGGTTGTTAACACAGGTGTTAATATCACTGAAGATGTCAGGTCTTTAACACGGGTGTTAATAACTCTGGACAAATCAGGTCGTTAACACAGGTGGTAATAACTCTGGAGACGTCAGGTTGTTAACATAGGTGTTAATAACTCTGGAGACGTCAGGTCTGTAACACAGGTGTTAATAACACTGGAGCCATCAGGTCTTTAACACAGGTGTTAATGACACTGGAGACATCAGGTCTTTAACACAGGTGTTAATAACTCTGAAGATGTCAGGTCTTTAACACAGGGGTTAATAACACTGGAGAGGTCAGGTCTTTAACACAGGTGTTAAGAACACTGGAGACGTCAGGTCTTTAACACAGGCGTTAATAACTCTGGAGACGTCAGGTTGTTAACGCAGGTGTTAATAACACTGAAGACGTCAGGTCTTTAACACAGGTGTGAATAACTCTGGAGACGTCAGGTTGTTAACACAAGTGTTAATAACACTGAAGACGTCGGTTCGTTAACACAGGTGTAAATAACACTGAAGAGGTCCAGTCGTTAATACAGGTGTTAATAACAATGAAGACGTCGGGTCGTTAACACAGGTGTTAATAACCCTGGAGACGTCAGGTCGTTAACACAGGTGTTAATAACTATGGAGACGTCAGGTTGTTAACACAGGTGTTAATAACTCTGGAGACGTCAGGTTGTTAACACAAGTGTTAATAACACTGAAGACGTCGGGTCGTTAACACAGGTGTTAATAACACTGAAGATGTCAGGTCTTTAACACAGGTGTTAATAACTCTGGACAAATCAGGTCGTTAACACAGGTGTTAATAACTCTGGAGACGTCAGGTTGTTAACACAGGTGTTAATAACACTGAAGACGTCGGTTCGTTAACACAGGTGTAAATAACACTGAAGAGGTCCAGTCGTTAATACAGGTGTTAATAACAATGAAGACGTCGGGTCGTTAACACAGGTGTTAATAACACTGAAGACATCGGGTCGTTAACACAGGTGTTAATAACACTGAAGACGTCAGGTCGTTAACACAGGAAATATATTGCTGTCCTCGTGACTACATTGTCGGTCACTTAAGGATCCCCGTACCACTGCCAAAACTATGCATTCAAAACTTATTTTCCTCTATGACTATAGCTTATTATTAACATTATCAACCTCAGTAAATGTAAAATATTGACCCTTGTCCACACCTTCTATTACAGGCCCGATCTTGTGGATCTCCAGAGAGCACGTACCAGCACTGCCCGCCAGAACCTCGAGCTCGCCTTCGGCATCGCAGAGCAGGAGTACGGAGTAACAAGGCTACTTGACCCTGAAGGTACTGACCTTAGCAGGCATGAGGTGTCCAACAAGTTTTGCAACTAAAATTTGGTTGCATAAAATAGTGTTTTGTTGACCTTTTTGTGATATTTTCTGAACCTGATCAGGCATGAAAAAAACAGAGAGACTGGTTTTGGCACTAGTTACATTGAGGATGAAATAGAAAGTAGGGTTAAAGGTTAATAATTGACATGCTGCACTCATATTAAATTGTTTATATTGCAAAACATTTTCTTCAGGTTGGTAAGTAGGTATTACAAAAAGGTTCATATAGCACATCCAGTAACGTGGTTATCTATGTGTGCTTGCATAACATACTACTAGAGTCATGAAACACCACGCTTAACACTTTACTGGTTGTGCTATATGTATCTTTCTACAAGTTATTTATATTAAAAAGTAAAAATAATGCAGTTCATCTGGATTTAGAACCTGTATAATTTTATGACAAAGATACTGTCCAACCCTTTTGTCATCCCCCCCAACTGACTTTCCAGGGTTACTCATATCTTCATGTAGTATACCAATAAAACATGGACTGACCAGTCCAATTTAACTAGATTTTGGCCATCAAACCATGAAATGACCGTCTTATCCTCGATTTACTGATAATTGATGTAACGACTATTACACTCCCTACTGTAACTTGATTTAACATTGACCACACGTCTATTTAATTCATTACAGCAATGACCGGTGATATTGTTGTTTATTTAAACTGATCCCGACATGTAGGTATATCTATTCCACACACAGGTATTTAATCATTTCCGGCCACGATCAACGTCTAAATATTTGTGTCGAGTTTGAATAATAGATACCCGATCAAGTGGGAACACTTGAAAGAAGTAAACAACTCGCCTGTCTATAGAATTAACTATCTAGGTAGGGAAACACACCTGACAGAGATCAAAGGGTTTTAAGGCCAGCTGGAAATATTTTGATCCTTAATTACTCTCAAGTACTTATTTAAGGATTTGTTGTATTGATATAAGACTTAAGCCAATTACAGATAGATTATTTTGTTTTGCGGTAACTGGAATGTAATGTATGTTTCTGTTATGATATTTACAATTTTAACTTTGTAAAAGGATTACTCCTAACAAGTTAATGTAGCAAGTGGCCATTTGGTTGTTTTATAAAATCTCACCCCTGGAATGACCAGTAGACTGACCACTTGAATGTTGATTTCATTTATAAACATGACATTAGAATGTCGCCAATACACAATATGTCAGTCTACACGCTTTCCAGACACATAGAGTTAAAGTAATCCAGCCACCAATACTTAAGTTCAAATTCAAAATTTCTATTCAACAATGTTCTAAAAGTGATCTTTCCATTTCACAAAGATATGAAAAAAAGGCACCATATTAATGTGGCTGGACTGTAAGAATGTGGACATTATGTTTCAGAAAAGATGTTTTTGAAAATGCTGTGTCAGTTTGTATAAACATTCTCACCCCATCCATCTCTGCCAATATCTGAGTTGTAAAATGTTAAAACTTCTTTTAAAGTCATAAAAAATTATATTGCTATATGTGCTTAAATGATATTTGGCCCTGCTGTAGGTGGGGAAGTTGTTTGTGAAGGATCGTGGGCTTCTGTTTACATATACAGATACTACGGAATTCTATTAGGCTATCTAAGGTAGTGGTCATTCTGTATAAAATATTCATATCTTTAATAGGAAAACACTTGACTCATAAATTTGAACAAATACTGTCCCCATCACGCCTAGATAGATCCTCAGGAGACTTTCTATGTGACAGCTAGTAGCCCTCCATGACTTCTCTCAGACTCGGGAGCAAATCATTCACAAATTTTATGGCCGAAAATTTGAATTTTTATTGGACAATAACCTAATGGCCTTTGGCTAGAGACCAGGCTTATGATGTGGTTAATCTGGAAGTTTTTACGTTGAGGGGGTTTAGTGACCATTCTTCAGGTTTTAAGTAGTTTACATATATCACTGGGAGGAGCAACATGATACTCCTACAATAGGTACCTAATATAGGCCCCTCATAAAACACATAGCACAGGTGAAAGGTAAAAAACAGATAAGTCGTTAACAGGTGAAATTCAGACAGGTAGAGCTAATGGACAACACACCCTAGAATAAGGTGATTGTTGTTAAAAAACAACCACACAGTGGTTTGTTTATTTCCTATAAAAAAGGGAAACAAGTGAAGTTGACACCTGAAATTTTACAGACACCTAATCAAGATCGAAAGGTCACACAGGTGTAGTGATATGACATTAAGTACAGGGAAATAGGACCCCAACAAACCTAAGACACATATAAGGTTCCATTATCGTATCAAATGCCATCTTTAAGTTGATCTGTACTATTTGTGAAATGTTTTTATTGAAATATGACAAATAAGACAATTTAGGACTGGGAATGATTTTGGTTAAAGATATGAAGGGATTTCTTTCTTTTGGGGAAAACAAATCTATAACAATATTTTTTCAATTGTCCACAAAAAATATTTTTCATATTGACAATAGCAGGAAAAGAGCAACTTTGAAGTTATTCTTTTAATCCATTGAAGGGTTGTAAAGATGAAGTTTAAATTTACTTTGAGTTTGGTGATCCTTGTTATGCACATTCAAATAAGGGTTTTAATGTGATTTGGTGAGCCTTGTTAACAAGCGTGTTTTCATCGGTGCTTCTGGTCGAGGTTTGAGGTCGTTCGCTTCGTTTGTTTAGTTTTGTTCGCGCTGTAGAGTCAGCAGGTTTAACATCGTAGTTTGTCTTATCTTACTATTGTGGACAAATAGACAATGCATTAAAGGAAAGTCAACGCCATACAAACACAACAACCACCAGTGCAAACCTGATATCAGTGACTTTTGTGATGGTGATAATTATATCAAAAGCCGGTTTACGTTATTGACACAATTTTCTCCCTGATTTGATGTTGAATCCATATACTCACACACGCTATTATCCGCGCTGCTATTATCCGCGGTCCTTTGGAATGAGAGCACAATTTGTACGGCACTTGCTGTGTCATTCAGGCCATCGAAAAACCTGTTTTCCCTTTTAAGATTTAGAAACTAGGTTAGCCATTGTTTGGAAGACACCTTGGTATAATGTTTCAGATAGAAGAGTTTTGAACTGGTTGATCCCAATATCAAGAACCAGGTGTAGGGGTGTTTCAGGTGTCCGTGTTGGAATTGAAGTGATATAAGAGGGGACAGGGTCACTAAAGATGAGAGAGTAAACATTTCGAGTAACAGAATTTTAACACCTTTTCTGACACAATAGCAAGGATGCTACCATTGTGAATTTTTATTAATCTTCAAAATAAATTTCATTGGAAAGTGTTATTTTTCAAAGGTGTGGGGGAATAAGAAATCTGAGATCCCATGTTACAATAATCCTATAGGGGATGAACATCTTGTTTTCTTGTCCGTCTGTTTGTCTGTCAAATACATCTCACATTCTGTTCTCGCTGGACAATAATACTCTTCATTCCTCACGCTGCATTGTATCCTTCAGATATAATAATGAATGGTGACGTCTTATCAAGATTCTTTTTAACCTTTCTATATCAGTATAACAACCACTGGAATTGCAGGGGCTGGATGGCCCGAGGAAGAGCATAATGGGGATATGGGTACAGGCGGTAGTGTAACCTGTTGGGGGTAGGGCCTGTGAGTTGTAGGTACAGACAGGGGTGTTATGTGGGTGATTTGTTGGTAAGGTCACCTGTTGTTTCCTGACAGCACCGATACAGATATGTATGCATTATATACAGTGCAAACTGTTTAAACTTTAACTACATTTAATGTGGAAATCTGTATAAACCAGACCTTAAGACTGTCAACAGTTTTTGTAAATAGAACTTGTGTAATCTGTAAACCTGTATAAACCAGACCTTCAACTTTAGGTCCCACTGTCAACAGTTTGTGTAAATAGAACCAGTGTTATCTGTATATATAAACCTGGTTAAACCAAACCTTAAGGTCTCACTGTCAACAGTTTGTGTAAATAGAACCTGTGTTATCTGTAAACCTTTATAAACCAGACCTTCAACTTGAGGTCCCACTGTCAACAGTTTGTGTATAAGCCTGTGTTATCTGTAAACCTGTATAAACCAGACCTTCAACTTAAGGTCCCACTGTCAACAGTTTGTGTGAATAGAACCTGTGTAATCTGTAAACCTGTATAAACCAGACCTTCAACTTAAGGTCCCACTGTCAACAGTTTGTGTAAATAGAACCTGTGTTATCTGTAAACCTGTATAAACCAGACCTTCAACTTAAGGTCCCATTGTCAACAGTTTGTGTAAATAGAACCTGTGTAATCTTTAAACCTGTATAAACCAGACCTTCAACTTAAGGTCCCACTGTCAACAGTTTGTATAAATAGAACCTGTGTTATCTGTAAACCTGTATTAACCAGACCTTCAATTTAAGGTCCCACTGTCAACAGTTTGTGTAACTAGAACCTGTGTTATCTGTAAACCTGTATAAACCAGGTATAAACTTTAAGGCCCCACTGTCAACATTTCTCTATCATAAAATATTGGTGACAGTGGTGATCCTTTCTACACGATTACACTGTATCATAATCTTAAGTGTTCCTGTTTTGAGTAAAGACCGTGTAGCATAGATTACAAACATCTCCAAGACCTTGATGTCACATTTTAGTACTGTTTGTGTATATAAAACGACAAAGGTTTTGAATCCTTAACTGGTTTGTTTTGCAGATGTTGATGTGACGGAGCCTGATGAGAAATCTGTGATAACTTACGTGTCCTCACTCTACGACGTCTTCCCAGAATGCCCCAGTGTAGAACAAACACTACGAGATAATGTAAGATCATGATTAACTTGTAACATTAATGAGTCAGATAGATCTACCCATAATATCCTTTACATTCGATATGTTTTCATAGATTTTTGTGCAAAATAGGCCTTGTATGATATGTCTGATTTGTAAGTTGTGAACATTAATCAGTAATGCTCGATCCCTTGACCCCTAAGCTGCGTGAACAAATATGCTTGTTGCATCAATATTTCACATAAAAAGAAGAAGTTTGTATTTCTGTAAATGAGTGATACCCCCCCCCCCCCCAAATTCAAGGTATTAGCTTGATTTGCAGTTGTAGAGATTGTTCTGGTTGGAACAATTTAGTAGATGTATTAACAAATATCGGTTTTGCCTACCTAATCATAAAAAGACAAGAAAAATCTTGGCAGATGTGAGATGTTTTTTCTGATTTTTGGTTGTAAACTGTTTTATAACTTTTCAGGAACGACAATTAAAAGTTGATGAATACAGGGAACTGGCCACTTCACTACTTACGTGGCTACATGATGCTACGGCCATGTTACAGGAACGCAGATTCCCCACGACACTTATAGAAATGAAGGTATATAAACAATAATTACTGTATTGTATAGAAATGAAGGTGTATAGAATTATTGTATGCAGGAAAGGTTGATTTTTCTCAGAGTTTTAATTTTTCGTGATAATTGCGGCACCAAATTTTTCATGAAAAATAGAACCTTGACTTGTTTTTCGTAGCACTTTGCGACATGGCTACTAGACCTGAAATCTGCCAAAAAAAAAGGATCATACACAACTGATTATTTTTGCAAATCTGCAAAAATTAGGAATTGCAGAAAAAAGATTCTTAGGATTAAATTACATTATGGTCTCGTCAAAAGATGAATAGATTTCAATGACTGTTTTGTAGTTTTGCGTAGAAATGAATTTTATGTCAAAAATATTCAAACTGGTGTTTATAAACAAACAATGTGAAGATTATATGATTTTGATATTCATTATTTTTTCATTTTTTTTTCATTCATGCATTATTATGAAAATTCTCATTTACAGACTCTTCTAGCAGAATCAAATAGGTTTAAAATTGAAGACGTCCCCCCTCGGTTGGAAATGAGGCAGAAAATATACAGAATTTTTGAAGAAATACAGGTATGCTATCTAGTAAAATGTGTACCTTGTTTAGAAATACTGGTAGAAAAACAGATATGTTTTCTCTCGAAAAGTGTCTTCTCTCGAAAAGTGTCTCAAAGCTCAACTTTCATGTACAGTTCATTTACTAAAACTCGCCTAAATACATACAACCAAAGAGAATTTTGACAAATGATTAAATAAATCACAAATCTAATACACATTATCCTGAATATGACACGGAACCTTCTGCTATTGGTCAGTTTCTTCAAACTATAAAAAAAAAAAAAAAGTAATAATAATTTACATATGAATATCATATTAGCAAATTTGGATTCTCCTCCATTTCCCATGATCCCAAGATAGGCTGTGAGAATGACTGTTTTTGATTTTACAGGGTTTTGGGTCTGGTAGTTCACTGCTGGCCTTTCCAGACGACCATCAGCCAGACAATATAACAGCGATGTGGAACAGGTTTTCATTGGCTAACCAGGAACGAGACAGCAATATACAGGCAGAGGTTGTCAGGTACGGTTACAAAACATTGCATGATCCTGAAATTCACATGAAATTGTCGAAAAGTGCTCTTTCTGTGAATCACTAAAGAACTAAAGCCCTGAAAGGATGGGTAGTGCTATATGAAGTGTGATTGGGAAGGAATTTCATTCCTAAGTATGAGTTTCTAGAAAAGGGAATTTTATTTTTTAAGAAAATAAAAATTTGAATAAACGATGTTCACAATATAAAGTATGAAATATTGCCTGTGTTTTCAGGTTAGAAAGATTACAGAGACTTGCAGAAAAGATTCATAGAGAGGCTAAACATTCGGAGGACAACCTTGATGACCTTGGACGGAGAATCGGGGATGAGCAAGGTCGCGTGGAACTCCTACACCCCCTAGAAGCTAAGCGCAACTGTGATGCATTAGACCGAGCTCTGAAAAACTTAGAAGAGTCCGCCCGAAGTATGTTTCGGGACGTACAAGCCCTTCAAGACGGTAGATTTCCTACCGCAGATCAACTTTATAAAAGGTAACAATACAGTGACAATGGAATCATTAATAAACATTGGGAGTTTTACCTCTGATGAACGAAGATGTAACATGTGAGATCTGACATATACGAAAAGAATTTCCTTTTAAAATTGAGTTACTGTCAAGAATCACAGTCAAGATTCTTGGCCAAATTGGCTGGATTTGAAATGTCTGCAACAATATTGAATGAAAAATTGAAATATGTTTTCTAAAGTATTGGACAAACAAATTAGCAGTCGCTGGATAACAAATCTATCTAAATATCAAAATTATATGTCATGACAAGTTTATTATATCCCCCTGCAACATTGTGAATCGACATCTGTACGTCTGTACATCTTTGTTAGCCTTTTCATTCATCTCCACAACTCTTAATTCAAAAAGTTCAACTGTCATCCAACTTATTTGGGAATACATTTTGAGAAATTCTAATCCAATATATCTAATATAGGTCACTGTCCGATTTTTTCCCCATTTTATTGGCTTTCGTTAGACTTTGCATTTAAACTTCATTAACTGGTTACAATATGTGAATAGCTCAAGTTCCATCAGTGAGATTTTTTTTCAGTCTGTTCATGAATTAAAATAAAATCTGGTGTGCTTCTTTGTTGAGTTTGTTCCAAAAATATTGAGCTGAAAAGTTCTAAATATAAGTTTGCAAACAAAATGTTAAACAATAAGATGAATTTTGAAGGATATGTATCAAATCTGTTTTAGGGTGTCTGTGATACAGTCCAGAATCTCCCAGCTGAGGACACAATTAATGGGCGAGGTGATACAGAAACTCATCTCCAAGTCTTACATAGAGGAGGGTATCACTGTGACGCGTCGCAAGGAGGTCGTCAAGGAAGTACGCCTCATTGAGACAAATCCTGCCTTCAAACACGTACAGGAGTGTCTTGCCTGGATAGACTCTAAACAGGTGTGTAGGATTAAATAACATGACTGCAGCATTGTGTAGGATGGTAGTTTTGTCTATAACCCTTTCACCACTGTAGACCATAATGGACTCCTCCAGATGAATGTATGGTAGAGTCTACTCATGTTACCTAGGGTTGAAAGAGTTAACTTAGTAGATAACGAGTAAGTTTGAAAATTCAAAATTAAGTAATACTTCTTTGTATTTCACATTTCTAAGCATCAGATATATTTGTGATTTTGCACCACTTCATCTTATTGGCTGTTAGTTTTATAAGTAAGTACGTATATGTATTTGATTGGCTGGTTGCAATTGCTGTTCAGACACTAAATTTGAATGGCTGGTTGTTTTGTGACACTGTTTCTGATTGGTTGGTTTGTAGGAGGCTTTAGAGGCAGGAGAGTACGGCAGTGACATCCAGACGATACAGATAAACCTGGATGTCCACCAGATGGAGCACCAACAGATCATGAACTTCCGCTCGGAAATAGACAGATGTATCGCCGATGGAGTAAGCAAACTAGTTCTCTCTTTAAATCTTATGATAAAAGTTTCAACCAATTTGTAAAATTCATCACGATGTTCAGCATACTTATTTCCTGTTTCTCTGGGGGGAAAGTTATGCCAGAATTTATGTAATATCACTTAGCCCAGAAACCTTTGTAAACCAGAAACCTGTGTAAACTGGAAATCTGTCTATTACAAATCAACAGTTAGTTGCTATATTGTGATGGTGATTGGTTTAAACAGGTTTCACTATACTATTGACCCATATAAAAAGAGACTTCTTCACAGCTCTTTTGTGGTAAAATTTTGAGGTATATACATCGGTATTTATAAAGTATCAATGTTCTGATTGTTTTGTATTTGTATTTCGTTTTTCAGAGAGCTCTATCAGCAGATGAGCGCAACTTGTACACCGAGAGTCTTTCAAAAGTAGAGGTGGCTTACTCTCTACTGACAGTGAGTATTATGCTTGGAGAGTGTATCTAAAGTAGCTATAGCCTTCTCTACTGAGATTGAGCAATTTTCTTGCTGTTGTAGTTCTTGAAAGTATTTCAAACCAAATATCTTTGTAAAGATGAGATATTCATATATTTGAGTCGATAATCTTTGAGAGCTATAGATAAAAGTTTGCATTATTCACAACAATTATACTCGCAAAATTTGTCACAGATTTGTATGTGAGTACATTACATTTGACCGTGACCTTCCAGAATTTGTCACAGATTTGTATGTGAGTACATTACATTTGACCGTGACCTTCCAGAACACGACACTACGACGTATGAAGTGTCTAGAGACATTTCACGAATTTCTCAACCTGGCCATGGCGGAACTGCTGTGGCTCAATGATAAGGAGGAAGCAGAAATAGAACGAGACTGGGGCTCGCCAAACATGGACATCCAACATACATCGGAGTCTTACAAGGTAACTTGAGAAAAGGAAATTTAAATTAAGCCTTAAATGTTTTATTTATACTTCCTTTTATTTTCCAGTTTCTTTTTCCTCATCTTGTCTTTGTTTTGTCATCAATTATGTAGAAATGACTTATCAAATAATCAGAGTCACTTGGATGTTTGTTTTCTATGCCTGTTTTGATCACAGACATGTTCAGTAAAAGATGCTGTGATCACAGACACTTCCTTGTGTATTCAAGAACAACGTCTTTAGTTTACTTTAACCCTTTTACCCCTATGTAACTTTAGTAGACTCTACCATTCATTGATATGAATGCGTCCATTATGGTCTACAGTGGTGAAAGGGTTGATCAATATGCTGCTAAAATTCTTAAACACAAAATATCACGGAGCTTTATGTGTATTGAAAATGTATTCGCTTTTCATTTCCAGGCTAGATTCCCTTACCACCAGGTTTGAATGCCATTTCATCATTATGATTTTGAATTTTGCATTTTTTCACATATCCCATAGTTTGACCTAATTACATCATATTGCTACTGACAATCGTAGTTAAGCTTCTGCAGATTTTGAACTTCCGCAACCGTCCTACATTGTGCCCTAAAACTGAAGTATTTTTGTTTAAAAGTGTAAATGTACAAAGGAAAGAATTTTAGACATTTAAATTTGAATAAGTTTTGGATCAATTTCATTTATTCGAAATAATGTTTAATCAGCCACAGTAAACCATTCAGTCCTTATTCAAAAATATAAACATTTTTAATCTATAAGCAAAGATGAAAAAAAATTCTGTAAATATTTATGGAATTATTTGTGTGTACATATGACAAAATAACAAAAGAACTGACATCACAAGATAAGAACTACCACAATGATCGGTAAATAATGGAAAAAAAGGGGAACTGATATGTCAAATATAGTTTGATAATAGAACTGGTGGTTCTTAGCTTGTATTGTTTCCCAACAAGGAATGTTTGTGAGTAGACATGCTATAGTGATATATAACCAATATGTAAGATGTTTGGCTTGTTTGTATATATATAGCTGTGTATGTTTTGTTATACACCCAACTGTATGTCTGTATACCCCCGTCCACACACCTTGTGTCTGTATACCCCCCTCCACCCACCTTGTGTTTGTATATTCCCTCCCACACACCTTGTGTTTATATACCACCCTCCACACACCTTGTGTCTGTATGCCCCCCTCCTCACCCCTTGTGTTTATATCCCCCCTCCACACACCTTGTGTCCGTATTACCCCCTCCACACACCTTGTGTCTCTATACCCCTCTCCACACACCTTGTGTTTGTATCCCCCCTTCCACACACCTTGTGTTTATATCCCCCCTCCACACACCTTGTGTTTATATCCCCCCCTCCACACACCTTGTGTCCGTATTACCCCCTCCACACACCTTGTGTTTGTATATTCCCTCCCACACACCTTGTGTTTATATACCCCCTCCACACACCTTGTGTCTATATGACCCCCTACACACACCTTGTGTTTGTATACCCCCCTCCAAACACTTTTTGTCTGTATACCTCCCTCCACACACCTTGTGTCTGTATCCCCCCCTCCACACACCTTGTGTCCGTATTACCCCCTCCACACACCTTGTGTTTATATCCCCCCCTCCACACACCTTGTGTTTATATAACCCCCTCCAAACACCTTGTGTTTGTATATTCGCCTCCACACACCTTGTGTTTATATAACCCCCTCCAAACACCTTGTGTTTGTATATTCCCTCCCACACACCTTGTGTTTATATCCCCCCCTCCACACACCTTGTGTTTATATAACCCCCTCCAAACACCTTGTGTTTGTATATTCACCTCCACACACCTTGTGTTTATATACACCCCTCCACACACCTTGTGTTTGTATACCCCTCTCCACACACCTTGTGTCTATATGACCCCCTACACACACCTTGTGTTTGTATATTCGCCTCCACACACCTTGTGTTTGTATCCCCCCTTCCACACACCTTGTGTTTATATCCCCCCCTCCACACACCTTGTGTCCGTATTACCCCCTCCACACACCTTGTGTCCGTATTACCCCCTCCACACACCTTGTGTTTGTATCCCCCCTTCCACACACCTTGTGTTTGTATATTCACCTCCACACACCTTGTGTTTATATACCACCCTCCACACACCTTGTGTCTGTATGCCCCCCTCCTCACCCCTTGTGTTTATATCCCCCCTCCACACACCTTGTGTTTGTATATTCACCTCCACACACCTTGTGTTTATATCCCCCCTCCACACCCCTTGTGTCTGTATGACCCCCTCCACCCACCTTGTGTTTGTATACCCCTCTCCACACACCGTGTGTTTGTATATTCCCCTCCACACGCCTTGTGTTTATATACCCCCCTCCACCCCCCTTGTGTCTGTATGACCCCCTCCCCACACCTTGTGTTTGTATACCCCCCTCCGCACACCTTGTGTTTGTATACCCCCTCCACATACTTTGTGTCTGTATACCCCCACGGCTGTTTATTTTATCCCACACTGTTATTGTGATGACCAAGTTATTCTATTAATCCTTTTTGTCGTTATTTATTTCTACGAGGGTTAAGTTCACCGTGTTGAAATATGTCCACTTTTTTATTTTTATTTTTTATTTTTTCGTCTTCATTCATCGTTTCTAGCTCTGAAACTATTCTTCCATTGTTAATTTCACGGATAATTACTTTTGTGACTTGTTTATGAAACAAAATTTAAACTATTCAGAATGCATTAGAAATTGTTTACTGGGGGGGGGGGGGGGGGGGTCGTTAATGTATAATTGCTAATTCAAAGCAGCCCTGCACATGAAAAATTGCATGTGTTATGATACCTTGATCTCAGTTACAAAACCAATTAACAATTTACAATCGGCATGTTGTTTCGATTTTTCAAGCTGCATTTGTCGTATGATGTTGATGATGATTTCAAACCTCTAAAGGTAAATGCATGTTCACAAACCAAAATTGATTTTCTTGATCAGCTTTCAAATTCATATTGCCATCCAAGTTCTACCCGACCCTTATAATTAGTGGCTTGTGTTAGGAAGTTGTTTGGGTGACAGGTTTGTCTTGCCCTGGTCATTACAACACTCGTTAACAGGTATTTTAGACAGCTTGTGTGGCAAAGGTATGACCAAGTTACTGCTTACTTTGAATATGTATTTGGGTGTAAGGTCAGTGTGATGGTTATGCTATAAATTTGGGTTCTTTCTGATAGAACATTGTGACCCCTGTGAGACCTGAGGTTTCCTAAACAACATGATTTGCTTTTTAAAAGTAAGAAGGGTTTCTACCTTCCCTATGATGAACCCAGTAGATAATATTGGTACAGTGATTACATTTCAATTTAATTACGCAGTATTTACTACCTGAAAATGTTGTGAAATGTTAGCCACAATAATTCATTACCCTTCTGATAGAAAGTTTGTTAAGAATATTGGCTATAATCTGTTTCATGCAATTTCAACCACACAAACTCGTTCCAAGAACCGTGATCTATACAATTATATGCATTTAATTACCGAATGGCAAACATTTTTAGTGTTCATTAGTTTTAGGGTGATAATACTGAATATTACCCTATATGAACATTGTTTGCGTATGTTACTCTTCATAAATATGTATAAAAGGGGAGGGGCTTAATGTTGAGCATGGGCTTGGTGGTAACATATAAGAAACTTCCTGAATAAAAGTGTTTTGAAAGTATAACCTGGATTATAGGAGTCTGTTTTAATTGGGTTCCAGCAAAGACAGGAAATTGTTGTTATTATGATACTTTTAGCCCACCACCTGATGTAGTAGCTTGTTACCCTTTGCTTGTAGTTACAAAGCAGCAGCTCGTCTGTGGTCAACGATTAGATTAACAGAAATATAAAACTTAGAACTCTGAGGATTTTATTCTTTGCTTTGATATCCTGTATTTGGCAATGCTTTGTTTTTCTTTTTGGCAACCATGGTTCATTTTTGCATTATAATCATTTTGAGAAAATTATAGAACATTTTATGTTTTATTATTTCATCATGACAATGTATGTGATGGAAGGAAAAAAGTTCAGTCTGTCTGTAAAGTTACACTTATAAATTAAATTGTTTCAATGTATTAATCATGATTAGTATTGGTTTCTTAATTATTATTTTTTTTTTTTTTTTACAGTTATAATTTTTTACTATTTTTTTTATTTTTGTACATGTTCAAAATTTCTGTGTGACCTTTGTGACCTATGTTTGACCTATGTTTGACCTGTATGTGACACTTGTCAGATATAACCCCATTTAATTGTATATGACCTATATCCTGACCTCTACATAACTTTTCTTTAACCTATACATGACATATATCTGACCTTATATATGGATTGACCTGTATTTGACGTTGTATTACCTCTGACCTTATATCTGACCTCTACTTGACTTCTGTTACAGAGCCTTCTGCATGACCTTGAGGTGCGGGAAGGTCACTTTAATTCCATACAGGAGCGAGGCTCAGCCATGATCCTAGACCGGCATCCAGCTGCTGAAACCATCAAGGTGAGGGGTGTAAAAAAAATGGTGTCTCAAATACATGAGGGACCAGAAGTGAAATGTGGTGGGACAGAATATAAATAATTTTTGGGTAACTTGTAAATGTGATAAGTAAATCATGTCACCCTTTAACATATCTGGTCTGACCATCGTTGGATGTATTGCTGACAAATCTTGTTATATTTTTGTCAGCCTATCTGAACATATTAGCAGAGGTAACTGCTGGGAGTTAAATTTGTAATCAGGAATAAAATTAGCAGTGTTTTGTATGTTGACAAAATGACTTACGTTCCATTTGAGGAAAATCTGTCCTAATGCAGAGGGGATCTATATACACATTGTAATAAATGTTATGTTAGGCTTGAGAATAAATATATTTCTAAGTATTTAATATAGAGTTATGTTTTTACACTTGTGTGTTTATTACTTAAGTTAGAATAAGTTACTGATTACATGTAACTAAGACTAACATTTGCTGATGCAGGCATACATGGAGACAATGCAGTCTACATGGTCCTGGCTGTTACAACTCACCCTGTGTCTTGAATCACATGTCAAGCACCTGACGGCGTACCACCAGTTTTACGAAGGCTGCCAACAGTGCGAGGCAGAGCTATCCCAGCATTCCGAGCTTCTCCACACACGTTACAGCCAGGAGAGCCTTGATGTGGAGGAGGCAAAGAAACGTGTCCAAGAGTTGCGAGCCATGCAGGAACAAATATCAGACTTAGAGAAACAGACTGCGACACTTGTGCAACTCAGTTACGAAATAGTGCCATTGAAAAAGCGTGGAGAAGTGATACCATCTCCGTGTCGGGTCAAGTGCTTGTGTACTTACAGGCAGCCAGAGGTACGTTTTGCCTAGAATTGTTTTTAAAAATAGAAGTAAAAAAAAACAAATGTTTTGAATCTTTTCATCAATTTTTTCAAAATTTTAATTTTCAAGTTGATGGAAATTCAGCTTTTACGATAAGGCAATTTCTTTTTCAGAATTGTTCTGGTATTTACTTCCATGGAATTAATGTGTTATTTATCATCAGTATTATAACATATCAAGGCAGTCCTTTCATATCTATATCTTTCATTAAATCACATTTTATGTGTGATTCACATGTGAGTGTTTCGTTTTTACAGCTGGTTCTTCAGAAAGGACAAGAGTGTATGCTTCTAGACACATCCCAAAGAACAAGATGGAGGGTAAGTTGTTAGGAAACTTATTTCAAATATTTTGACCAAACTTTTGTAAATGGAACTTAATTATTACACATATATGTACAAGATTATTACCATGAAAAGATGTAGGTTAAATGCCTTGTCATTGAATTTACTCAACAAAAATGTTTTTTCATTATCCAGGAATCATCAAAACTTTTATTTTGAATGGTTAAGATTTATTGTTTAGTATTATATTCAGATAATTGTAACCTATTTGTAATTAATTCTACCTGTATTTGTTACCTGACCAGATGAGAACCCACTCAGGTAAAGAGGACCTGGTACCTTCTGTCTGCTTCCTGATTCCACCCCCAAATCAGGAGGCTATAGAATGTGCTGAACGGTGAGTTACCTCCCTTCTTACCTATGATGTATTTTATTACATTTTAAAATTTCTTTTTTTAACATACCTGTACTTTTTTTGTTCGCCACAAATTCTAGCTAGTGTACAGTATGAGTGATGAGTTTGTTGAAACATTTTCTTTTCTTTTTCTGATGTAAATTTTGAAATATCTCATGAAATTGTAATTGTGATTGAAGATAATTGAAGAGCTAAGCTGTCCATCCCTTACATTAGCTGTGTTGCTGATAATGCCCATACACAATCCATTCATGTTTTAAAATTGGTGCAATGACCAGGGTTAGAAAAATGTCTATTAAGCTACCCAAAATTGGTGCCATGACCAGGATTAGAAAAATGTCTATTAAGCTACACAAAGTTGGTGCCATGACCAGGATTAGAAAAAGCTACCCAAAATTGGTGCCATGACCAGGATTAGAAAAATGTCTATTAAGCTACCCAAAGTTGGTGCCATGACCAGGATTAGAAAAAGCTACCCAAAATTCGCGCCATGACAAGGATTAGAAAAATGTCTATTAAGCTACGCAAAATTGGTGCACAGACCAGATATGTATCAATGACGAAACACCAAAATGTGTCGCTGTAAATGCAGCTGAGAATGTGACAAAAATCATGTTTCTCATAATTTTAACATTGTAACGTAGCCTTAAAGTATTGTACAACAACTTAGACATTGAATGTCTGTGCTAATTATTTGAATGGTAAATTAATCCGCTCTGAGTGTCTTGAATTAGAAAAAACCTGTGTATCTTTCAGGTTAAAGATACAGATGGAACACCTGCGAAGTGTGTGGAAGATGAGACAGCGGTCCAGCCGACTAAACATGGTTACTGCAACGATACAGGTCATCAGGTCCTGGGATCTAAAACAGGTATGGTTACCGCGACGATACAGGTCATCAGGTCGTGGGATCTGAAACAGGTAGACATTAATATAACTGATCGAGATTTGTTCAGGTAAATATCTGGAAGATTTGAAAAAAAAAATGAATGTTTGTACTCCCTGTAGCTTAAAGAAAATTGGGCAAACATTTCCTGTTTTGCAGTTCAGAACTGAGGACTACAGTTAAAAGGCAGTTACTGTGCCCATTTTCTAGATAATTGTAATTCCACACTTTCGAGTCTAACAAGGTTTCACTATAGATGATAATTAACAGTACTTTTGTGTTCTAGTTTCAGAAACTTGACCCGGTGGGACGGGAAACCCTACTCAAGGTTGTGAATGAGGATGCAGAGAAGCTGATCAGTGAGATTGGCGACTCGCATCCCGACGTGAGGAAATTAAAGGCCGAGTTAGCTGAATGTAACAAAGTATTCCACAGTCTTTCTACGGCAGCCTCAGGTACGGGCCACATATCTGTGTTCCCATGGTTACAGTAGAACTATCTAATATACACAATAGCAACTTCTTTCAAACGGAAGTATTTCAATTCAATCAGTCCTGCTTTTTCATCTTTTGGAAAACACCTTTCTACAGTGTTGAATTGTAGTCTAAAATGTAGTTGGTTACTGTAAAACTGTAAATAGATGTACAGTGGCTAATATAAGTGAACAATTAAACTTTGAAAGGAGATAAATATTTCATTGTATGAAATAAAGTAAACATAGATGTTTCATGTTATTCCGTATCTGCTGTACAGTAGTAGCTCTCATAAGTACTTTTGGAACATAAAATTGTGTCGAGAATTGGTGATCAATTTTAATTTTACAGACTCGAGGTTGACGAGGTCACCTGACCAAAAGTTTGCACAGGACCTGGACGCGGTCAGCCACAACCTGTCAAGTTGTGAGCAAACACTAATGGGTCACCTTCAGGAGATGCACCCAAGAGACAAAGGGGCTCTACGACATGCCATAGAGAGGCAGAAGGTAGGTTATCTGGGATGTTATTACCAATCATGGAGAAAGATAAATGGCTGTCAAGGAAAAATCGAGGTGGATAGTGGAATTTTCGTGTTGTCAAATTCAGAGAGTATTTTGAGAACATTTTCAGGTAAACAGAGTGTTGTAATATATACATTGCATACTGTTGCAATGGTGTTTATTATTGGTGTATTTTGAGTACTTTTTGGCTGATAAATTTGACTTACACACATTGTATGTCCAGAGCTGGGACAGAACACTAAGCAGTCATGAAATGGATGTGGAACATATGAAGCAGTCCTTCGTCAATCTGCCGCCTCGCTCCCAACACCAGATGGAGCCACAGTATATCGCATCACTACAAAAGTGGGATCATATGTGGACCCTCTCAAAATCAAATATGGACAGGTAAGATAACCAACACACCTGTGTATATATACACATCCAGAACCAGGTAATACACCCCTGTGTAGATATACACATCCAGAACCAGGTAATAAACACCTGTGTAGATATACACATCCAGAACCAGGTAATACACACCTGTGTAGATATACACATCCAGAACCAGGTAATACACACCTGTGTAGACATAAACATCAAGACCCCAGGTAATACACACCTGTGTAGATATACACATCCAGACCCCAGGTAATAAACACCTGTGTATATATACACATCCAGACCCAAGGTAAAAAACACCTGTGTAGATATACACATCCAGACCGCAGGTAATACACACCTGTGTAGATATACACATCCAGACCCCAGGTAATACACACCTGTGTAGATATACACATCCAGACCCCAGGTAATACACACCTGTGTATATATACACATCAAGACCCCAGGTAATACACACCTGTGTAGATATACACATCCAGACCCAAGGTAAAAAACACCTGTGTATATATACACATCCAGACCCAAGGTAAAAAACACCTGTGTAGATATACACATCCAGACCCAGGTAATAAACACCTGTGTAGATATACACATCAAGACCCAGGTAATACACACCTGTGTAGATATACACATCCAGACCGCAGGTAATACACACCTGTGTAGATATACACATCAAGACCCCAGGTAATACACACCTGTGTAGATATACACATCCAGACCCCAGGTAATAAACACCTGTGTATATATACACATCCAGACCCAAGGTAATACACACCTGTGTAGATATACACATCCAGACCCCAGGTAATAAACACCTGTGTATATATACACATCCAGACCCCAGGTAATACACACCTGTGTAGATATACACATCCAGACCCCAGGTAATAAACACCTGTGTATATATACACATCCAGACCCCAGGTAATACACACCTGTGTAGATATACACATCCAGACCCCAGGTAATAAACACCTGTGTATATATACACATCCAGACCCAAGGTAATACACACCTGTGTAGATATACACATCCAGACCCCAGGTAATAAACACCTGTGTATATATACACATCCAGACCCCAGGTAATACACACCTGTGTAGATATACACATCCAGACCCCAGGTAATAAACACCTGTGTATATATACACATCCAGACCCAAGGTAATACACACCTGTGTAGATATACACATCCAGACCCCAGGTAATAAACACCTGTGTATATATACACATCCAGACCCCAGGTAATACACACCTGTGTAGATATACACATCCAAAACCAGGTAATACACACCTGTGTAGACATAAACATCAATACCCCAGGTAATACACACCTGTGTAGATATACACATCCAGACCCAGGTAATAAACACCCGTGTGTATATACTGATCTTTATGCTAAATTTAAGGAACAAATTACAGTCGATGTGGGAGACCACACAACTTTTCTGCTTTACATGTCTTTTGTTTTCCCCGTTTACAAACTACAGATGGAGTGAGATTTCTTACAAGTTTGTCATTAAGTACTTTTGTTTCAGATTAAAGAATGTTGATTCACTGTTATCGGACCTAGACAACGTGAGACAACTCGTCGCTGATTATGAGATTGCCCTCATTACTCATGACAGTTTGTCGTCCGAACCTGAATCTCTCAGAACCCACAAGGCAGAACTACAGGTAAGAACTTGATTCAGTGGATTCTTGTCAATGGCATCTGATGATGCTCAAAAAACTGTAAAGTTGGATAGTGGTTTGATTTTTTGAATAAATTTATCAATCAAATATGTTGTAAAAACCTGTATTTTTTAAGAAAAGTAATGAATATTAATAAGTAAAGCCGAATTTCAGGCATGAGTGCTTGTTGTTTATATAAAGAATATTTAATTACAAACAGTTATCTTAAATATTTACCTCCCTTGTCAGGACCTCCAAGTTTCAGTACAGCAACAACAGCAAAAGGTGGCCTCACTGAAGCGTGACACGGCCAGTCTACGTGTCCACACGGAGAAGTGTCGGCCAGGCGTGGCACGCTACTACGACCTCGAGGGCACAGAGAAGGAGGTGACAGATCTGGACCAGCGCTGGGACAACGTCTGTATACAGGTTGTGGAAAGGTGAGTCGTCACAGGAGTTATGAGAACTGGTAGGGGTTGATGTGGTATAAACTCATTCACCCCTATATTTTTAAACTGGACTTGCCCAGTCTTTGTTTGGTAAGGTTCAACTGAGACTTCAGGGGTTTATGGGTTAACATACCTAAAGAGACCAACACAGTTTTCTTGATTGCTTCCGATGTAAAAGAGTCCATGATACAAAGGATTTACATTTTTTATCCTGTAAATTAAGTGACTTATAAAACTTGTTCTCTATCTTGTAGACTAAGGAGTATGGACACTGCAGGTGACCTACTATCTCTTTATACCAACGGCCTCAAGTCCGAGCAGCAGTGGGGGGATCACACCCAACTGGCCATCGACACCCAGCCCCCACTCACGCAGGAACTCCCCCAACTCAAACAGATGATAGAACCAACCATGGTACGGGACGATATTGGACCTAAATATAATGAAATGGAATTCCTAATAGTTAAAGTCCTACTTTTCAAAAGATTAAAAAACAAAATAAAATGTTGAGGATACAATTCATAACTACATACATTCTTGTCTCTCTGTTGATGATCAGATTCTGTTGTGATGATAGCAATCTTTTCATTATAAGTTTTTTTCTCTTAAATATGTACCGTATTGCAGAGTCTTTGAAACTGATTGTTAATAAGCACATCATACTGAACATAGTTAATTTGATGTCATGGAAAGATTGCGTTTGGAAGACTGGAACATATCTGCTGTTAATATCATCATAGCAATCATTTTCACAGAATACTTTAAATCAATTTCCTTTGCCTGAGAACAAAGTAAAATACTACTTAATAAACAATAGCCATTATATAAAATATTAATATAGTCTGTTGCGTGCATGTTTGAACAATAATATATGATCTTTTCAGACAATTTACAACGGACTTGGAGAACGTCAGCATCAGATTGAGGCTGTGAATCGTCACGGTGGCCAGTATATTCGTGAGGCAAAGGTATGCCCTCATGAAGTGTTCAACACATCTATGGTATCTTATATGCAACCCTAGATCATCCAATCAGAATGTGGCATCTACAAGCTTTTATAATTTTTTGGCATTTATTTTTGTTATTATTTTACCCTACCAGAGACACAAATCCCTAATGTATTGCATTTGCTAGTATATGCAGATTATTTTTTGTTTTTATGTATTTTTGTTTTGTCTATTTTTAGACAACACGCTTTTCCTGTTTTCCCATTTATGTTTAAAACTATGTGTGACACAAGTTTGTGTCAAGACGACCTCCCCTTACTAACCCGTCTGCTTCCTGTCGTAGTGGTTTTTGTAGTAAAACATTCTATGTTTGTAAACACCTTCTCCGTGTGCTTTTTGTACAACATTTTTTTGTTGACAAACAAACTATTGTATATTTAGCACCTTTCCTTTGTATTATCGCGAGATTTTGTTTCTCCGTTACAGAATTCTCTTCCCTTGAGTGTTGTTTTTTGTGATGGACATTTTACTTTGTGCATTTTTGTCTATTGTGCTTTCAATGTTTCTTGTCATTTTGTGTTATGTAGTCAGCAGTTTTTGTTCTGTTGAAAATGTCTTGAAATCTGATTGGTTTATTCCCCAACCAATCCTCTGCCCTCCACTTTCCTCCCTCCCTCCCTCCCTCCCTCCCTGTCATTGATCAATCTTTAGTTCCAGCAGTATTTAGATCTATCCTTCTCCAGGTTGCTTAGCACGTTGAGCAGCTTGGAGTTACCATTTTATTTTTCCTTCAACGTTGTTCGTGACAATTCAGTCCTACACACAGCGCAAATGCACGGCTTGACCAAGCTCCTTAGCATTGAGTCATCAGCTTGCTTCCCCGCGATTGGTTGGCCTCCGGACCAGTAAGTAGTCGGAGTTGCATGTAGTTACCATGATAACCAGGTGAGCTATAAAGATATATACAGATTTTATTTTTCGTGTTTGTAAATGTAAATAACGGTATTTGGTTTAATGAATTAAAACACTAGGAAAGGATTTCTTATGTTATTCTATGCAGTGAAAACCATTTATTTATTTATTTATTTAATAAATTTGAGCTTTTCCAACTTCTTCACATTTTATTAAATATCCTTTTGTGTGTGTTGATTTACCTCCTATTGTTTTTTTAACTGAATTAAAAAACTAAAATGTGTTACAAAGTTTATATTCATCAGTAAATGTGGTTTGAAATTATGTTATATAAAATTTACAAATCTAATAGCAACTATCACATTTTAGTTTGTCAAACTTTTGATAATATTAATTTTATTTTTGTGAATTTAAGTTTTTAAAATTTTATATTTTATCCTCCTGTAACTCTTTTATCAATTTAAACGAATCAAAGTTGGAAAGCTCATTTGTATATTATTTATTTATCTTTTATTTATATTCATACATGATCAATAATGCATGACTGCTCTAAACAAATGGCTTGACATAATATCAGATAAAATATATATTTATACCAACTTTCTAAATAATTGTCTTCTGTTAAGTTAAAAGAACAATCAGATGAATTGGTAAAACCTTGATGTTTATATATCAAAGTGACAATGATTTTCTCATTAGATTAGAATAGAAAGAGAAAGTGCTCTGTTAGTTTTAGAAATGATGAGAACTGCCTGAATAGGAAGTTTTTTGCATGTTACGCTAGATTATCTAGATTGCATTTTGCTCAATGGTTCCAGAATCTTTCCAACTTTCAAGGAAAATACTCTCCCTTGCATTTGCTGTTGTGAGTGGTACGAATGTGACCCCCATTATAAACATAGCAGACTACTTAGTCTTGACAATGAATGAATATGAATCATGTGTAATTATTAACCATTTTGGGAATAAAAGGAAAAGCTAAAATTAATTGTAATAACAAATATTGGGAATTGTAATTTTGGCAATTGAAGTTCATGCGAGCTGGATACTTTTAAAAATGATTTTAAAATGCCTGAAAGTTTGTTTCCATGCATGCAGCAAGCTTTATGGTAAAAGGAAAAAACATGTTGCTGTTAATAGATTTTCAGCATCTAGAAACAGATTGAAGGTGCCAATCACTGTCTAGTTTAATCAGGTTACACAATATCAAAGGGAAGGCTGTGCTCTTAGTTAACATGTGATATTTCATAAGTCAAGGTTGGGTTCTGCTTTGTTTTTTTCCCTCACCCATAACTTACTACTCCAAATGTAATAGCTCTGAATTGTGATGTAAAAGGACACGTGAGAATGAATGTATGTTCAGATATTTAAAATTAATTCAGTTTAATGATGAATAATATCGTTGTATTAGATGTACCTTTAACGTCACAATTCGGAGCTTCTGATGATGACGATGTCACTAATGGATAGTCACTATGCATGTCTTTTTCCAGTACATCTAACCCACACTAACATTGCATCCGACAAGCTGTGTTCACACATAGTCAAAGGTCAAATCTGGATTTTGAAACTACGGTTTTAAATTAATTCACCAAAAGGTTTTTTTATCGGCAAGTTAGGATATCCATTTTAGGATTCTGACTTGTTGTTACTACAACCTAGTATTTAAAAAAAATCCCTAACAGTTTTAATTCATATTATTTTATACATTAATTTTATGTTTGATTGATAAATATCAATAACATTTTTTATTTTTTTTATGAAAGAATTTAATCAATATTTTCTTATTGATTACTTGTATTAACATTTTTTTTATTTTTAATTCCTGAAAAGTTGTCTTTTCTATGAGAGTATTTTTGTATTATTTTCAAAATAAAATGATTAAAATAATGTTTATTTTGCTTTTGCATTAAAAAAAATATTTTCCCCACTAATTGTTATAAATGTTAATTAATTAAAAACGTTTGCTGTGACTTTTCCAGCCTCTTGATTTTCACACAAGTCTTGTATTAATAGCCATAATTTGGATGTTGAAATAGTTTTTATGTAAGAAGTGACTTGGGGCATGTTCCTTTATAGCAATCCTTCTCCAAGGTCAAGGTCAAATCACCCATTTCCATTTATAGATTAGTGCAGGTGTTTCATTTTATGAATTCAAGGTCAAAGGTGACAGTATGGTAAGAATGTAAGATGTTTTGAGGGGAAAACTACCGCAGCTAACATGATAATATTTTAGATTTTAAAAGAAAGCAAAAAGGTAGAAAAACAAATAAGATATTAAGAGGTTAAAAGATCAAATAACAGTCATACTTTTTTTTTTATGTTTATAATTCTAAACAACTTTGGATTACTTTTCACTGGCCTTAAGTGTGTAGTGTCTAGGCAATCACTTATAATAGCTGCTATCACCATAGTAACGGCCACCTTAGATACCAGGTATGGCTTTACAGAACGTGCTATGGTACTAGGCCACCAGTAGAAATGTGGGTGACAGGATTACACAACTTTGGGTCATGTTTAAAAGTTAACCAAAATATAACGTTGAAGCTCTTGACAGCATAATTTACGATAAAAGTGACTCTTAACTGTGTTCTGTATTGCTTTGGTTACAATATACGTCTCACTTTAATCGCCGCTCAAATATATCTATCACTATGGTGATGTGGCATTACTGATCAGGTCACGGTCAAACTCATTTTTTTTCTCCATTTGTTTTACTTTGTAATTTAAGGAATTAATTGGTAAGGTACTCTATTAAACAAATTTATGAATTGTAGAAGTGCTACTATTTTAAAATGAAAGATAAATTAATGCACACTTTTTCACGAAATAGTAAAATGTGCACAAGATAGTCACAAAAAGAAAGTTTTGAGTAATTTAGTTAGAAATTGCATGAAGCATTTTCAGTGATTGTTCACATTGATCTTATAATGAAAAAACAACCCAATCACAACTTTTGCACAAGTATGTTCTAAATCCTGATCATCAGAGCGTTTGGTCAAACAAGCAAGTCACGTGGAAGCTTTCCCTTGTAGATTTACGACAGGAAGCTGAAGCAGTACCGAGACAGTCTGGAAGACATCGACGCCGCCCTGGTAGAAGGTTTGTCCAAACGACGGCGACATGAGGGTGGGGCCGAGACGGTTAAGACAGAACTGGACATGCTCAACCGGCGATATATAGATATGGTCAAGTGGACCAACAACCGGCTCAAGGAGATCACTGCCAGATTGTCCGGATCCAACGAGGATATACAGGTACTACTAGTCAAAAAGTCCCCTGAAGGAATATCTTCCTTAAATCTGTAAAACCTTTATCATAGATATTGTGTCATTAGATCACAGTGTCCTTGTAAGTTATCTGATAGATGTGCCTGATTTGATGTAGTACCAACTTTCAACATTTGATACCATCATTTCTTTCTTTTTGAAAAATATAAAAATTTGTGCATCACACTACTTTTTTGAAGAAATTTTAAACAGTAATTGTGAAACAGACATTAATTCAGAACCTCTCTGTACCGATTCATATTTTGACACAGAGCCATCTCCTCTTGCTATCCATAGACATATTATGTTTTAACAAATACACTTTTGGTCAGTTCCAGATGGTGATTGATGAGGATATTCCGTTACTTCGTACATTCCGGGCAGAGCTTGCCAAACGCTCCTCCATGTTAGTTGATGAGGACATGCAGGGTTTCTTTGAGCAGCTCTCCGAGTTTGAAGGCTATGCTAGCCAGCCAGGGCAAGGATACAGTGGTCCAGCTAAGACCTTTGTCAGCAAAGTGACGATGCATGCACAAAGCACCCATGAACAGCCTCCGGCTACCCTGACACCAGGCATCCGGGTAACCAAGATGATGGATACCATGGAGAAACCTGTGACAGCAGCTGTTGTTCCACAGGTTCAAATGAGAATGGTGTCACCACCCCCCTCCGACGCCGGAAAGAGGCTCTCGCAGAAGGTGGCTAGCATCACTAGCATAACTGCTCTTGGCAACGTCAGTGAAATTGATGGCAAGTTCCCACAGGCTTCTCAAACACTTGTGACTTTAAAACTGGAAAATTTGGCCCCCAAAGGGACCACTGTGTTTGTGTCGGCCATCTTGAATCCCAAAACTGGCCGTAAATTGAACATGGTGGAAGCTATAAAGACAGGATTGTTTGATCCAAAAACAGGATATTTCATGGATCCTATCACCAGTCGTCGGATACAATTCCTTGAAGCATGTGATCGAGGCTACATTTCCTCAGAGCTACAGCGGGAGTTAAAGTCCCCATGTGGTATACCTGACCCACGCACCGGCCGTCAGTTATCTCTGATGGATGCCATACAGAAAGGATACTTCGATCCTGTAAAACTTACATTTAGAGACCCCTCTACGGGGCTACACATTCCAGTCCATGAGGCCCTTTCCAGGGGAATAATCTCAGATGAAACAGCTAAGAAGTTGTGTGGGGATGGCTACGCCGTGACAACTATCACACAGTCTCAGGCTATATTTGGAGACAGGAAACTGTCTTCACTGGAAACAACAATTGGCCTTGCTGAGGCAGTAGAAAAAGGACTGTATGACCACTCGACAGGAAAGATCCTTGACCCACTCTCTGGAAACCACATGACTATTCTAGAGGCTGTGGAGAAGGGCTTCATCAGTCCTTCCAAGAAAGAGATCAAAGATCCATCCAGTGGAGAATATGTCACATTGATCGAGGCTGTGTCCAAGGGCCTGATTGATCCAGAGTCAGGCCAATGCATTGAAAAGACAACCGGGAAGAGAATTCCATTAGATGAAGCATTCCAGCAACAAATACTGAACAAGCCATTAACACTATCAAAGGCTCTGGCTGACGGAACCATCACCGACAAGGGATATTTTGTCGATCCCCAATCTGGCAAGGTCATGGCCTTCTCGGATGCTGTTGACAATGGTCTCCTTGACGACAGTGTGAAGTGTATTGTTGACCCTACTAACAACGACGTCCTGTCTCTGTCAGAGGCAATAGAGCGGGGCGTTATTGACTCCAGGGGTCTGTACGTACCCCCAGGGGCAGCACCTCCCACGCCCATAGGTCAAGCTCTCGAGGAGGGACACATCAAACTTGTAAGTGAAGAAGTTGTGTTTGCAAAACCAAGTGTAAAGGACTCGCTCACAGGAAAGACTTTGACTCTTGCTGAAGCCCTAAAGCAAGGTGTCATCACAAGTGGTGGTGAATTTGTTGATACTCGGTCTGGACGTCGTGTGTTGTTACGAGCTGCCGGTAGTCAAGGCTTTGTTGTAAAAGACACGGTAGAGAAATTGACACAAGAAACATCAATCAAGGACCTATCAGGGAAGAATGTGACAATGCTGAAGGCTGTTCAGATGGGACTCATTAGTCCAACAACAGGGGAAATCAGGAACTTGGCCACCGGTGATGTGATGCCACTACAACAGGCCACTATGGAGGGTCTATTGTCTGCGGAGGATGCTCAAACAGTGATAGAACTTCTCAGCCCTGTTGTCATCTACACTGCACTCACCACAAATCAAAAATCTGTAAAGGACAAGGAGGAGCCACCCATGGAGCCCATCACTGTGTCAGAGGCGTTAGATCAGGGCCTGCTTGACGAGGATTCACAGACTTTCAGACATCCAAGGACAGGCAAGACAATGCCTGTTGAGGATGCTATTGAACAGGGGTTGTTGAAACTGTCATCTGAATGGCCACGACCAACATTGGTGTCAGAGACTAAAGACGATGCTGACCGCTGGCTGGAGGAGGTCGTCACTAAGATGTCTCCAGTATCTCCTGGTCAGTCTGCTACAGTAGATTCCAAACTGACCAAAGATGATGAGGGGTTCTCTTTCACCACAACGACCATCTCCCGACCTGCCATCACTGAGAACCTGGTGTCCGAAACAAACTACATCAAAATACAGAGCGTTACTGACCCTCGCACCAAGGAGAGATTGTCACCACAAGAAGCGGCAACACGTGGACTTATAAATGTAGCACAGGGGTGCTTCATCCATCCAGCCACAGGCAAGAAGTTCACAGTGAAGGAGGCCATGGACCGAGGGTTCTTGACAGGCATGGAGGTGGATACACCTACAGATCAGGCAGTCAAAGCGGTCCGGTCTTTCTCTATCACAGGTGTCATTGATCCCAACACAGGTGATAAAATATCAGTCTCCCAGGCGGTCAAGGATGGAATACTTGACAGAGAGCGAGGTCAGTATGTGAGTCGAGACGGACTGGGTCGTGAGGTGCTCCTCCCCATCAGTCAGGCAGTGGAGAAGGGCCTCGTTCTGGCAGATGATGTCAGTGTGTCACCTGCAGCACCACTACAGGGTCTTAAACGTGAGACAAGGTCCTATCAGCTCAAGAGTGTAAAACACCCGATTACTGGAAAAAACATATCTGTCTTGGATGCAGTGCAGGAAGGAATACTAGATGAGCATAATGGTGTATACATAAACACATCCACGGGTGAAAAGCTACGTATCCCAGAGGCTATCGAACAGAAGCTCATAGACGCTGAATTGTCGTCCATCACTTCCAGCGATGGCGTAGACGGCAGTAAGGTGGTCACAACTAAACTGACAACCCTGAAGGTGTCGTGGGTAGTAGATCCTAGAACCAGTGCTACCATATCCGTGGCAAAGGCTGTCGAAGAGGGGATTGTCAACCAGCATAACGGCACATATATTAATATTGTCACAGGTGAAGTCATGTCTATGAATGATGCCATAGAGAAAAAGCTGGCTATAGCAACTGCTTCAGGCGTTGAATCATCTGGCAGCTCTGACATTCACAGTATTCACATCACAGAGGAGCTTGAGGCTATGGAGGCAACACTGGTGGAAGACATCACGGCAGAGACAGTGACCTTGAGCATTAGCAGTGTGGTTGACCCCATCACCATGGAGATGTTGTCATATGATGATGCTGTCATAAGTGGAGTTCTTGACCTCAATAAGGGCTTGTATGTCAATCCAAGGTCAGGTGAAGTTATTCCGATCAACAGCGCGCTCAACAAAGGACTCATACATGCTGATGTGACTGGTCAAAAAGTTGAGGAGGATATCTTCCACAGCTCTGTACAGGCAGGAAGTGGGGGATTTTCCCTCAAACATGTCGCATCAATCAGAGACGCAAAAACTGGACTGGAGATGTCGCCTTTCAAGGCTGTACAGCAAGGCCTCATTGATATAGAGAAAGGAACGTTCCTGGACACAAAAACCTGCATGAGGATTCCTTTAGAGGATGCATTCAAACAGGGGTTCTTTTCCATGTCCAAGGCCACTGATGCTGACGAAATCACCCGACTCATGAACGAATCACAAGAGGAGGTATCTCCACCTGTGATATCAGAAAATGGATTCACACCAAATGTAGTAGAGATGAAATTGGAAAGGTCTGGAATGCAAGATAGCGACAAACAAAAGTCTGATGTAGCTGATGAGATCCTCAACTACACAACAGATGTAGAACAAAGCTTCGAGATGGATACTGAAGATTTTCCAGATTCTCACAGGAATGGACAGCTGACACTGGGCACCAAACAGACAACCAAGATGGGGGCTGATGTCCGCGGAGTGAATGTGAACACTGTTGCCTTCCCACAGGGATTGTCCTACTGTGAGGCAGTCAATGTCGGTCTGGTAGACCCTACATCTGGAAAGGTCCGAGATCCCAGGAGTGGAAATCTGATTTCTTTGCAGGAAGCAATGGAACAAGGTATCATCAACCCACTGAAGCCGGCCATGGTCAGCATTGTCGGCAACAACACCCTGACACTGCAGGATGCATTCAAACAAGGGCTTGTTGATCCAGGTACCGGACGGGTCAACTACCAGAAGAGCAAAACTGATCAGTTCCAGATCAGCCCTAACCTTCCTACTCAGTTCTCGTCTCCGGGGCCTCTCAATCTGTTGGATGCTTTAAAGGCCGGACTTTACAATCCAGCCAGCCAGAAGTTTCTGGAACCATTGTCAGGAGACACCATGTCTATACAAGAGGCAGTCAACCGTAACGTGCTGAACGGAAACATGGTGACAGTCAAAGATATGTCATCAGGACGCCGTATTTCACTCAAGCTGGCCCTTAGCAAGGGTCTCATTGACGGAGCTACTGCTACTGTAACAGACACAGCCACTGGGGAAGTGATGTCATTGGAAGAGGCAGTAAAGCGTGGATTGATTCAGAATTCTGTAAATGAAGAGGAGGGTACTGTGTATGACACAGTGACCGGAGAAGGTATTCCCCTGAACAAGGCCATTACAGATGGACAATTACGTGCAGAAGACGTCACCATCTTAGATACAACAACTGGTGAGATGGTGTCCATGGACGTTGCCTTCAGGAAAGGTCTGATTGACAGGAGGACAGGCAGTGTCAAGGACAAGCAGACCGGACAAAAGATGACTGCTCAGGAGGCTGTAAAGCTGGGGCTCATGGCAGTAGTTGGAGCTCCAGTTCTGGCAGGAAAGGCTGTTTTTGATGCAGTGAAAGGTAGGAAAGGACAGACGTGGACTGAAGATACGAGTCATACAGGACAAACATGGAAGATGGACGTCTCACCAACAAGGGACACGTTTCAGAAACGGACATTGTCAAGTTCCTCTAGTTCTCCTCAAAGGTCACCTGTGAAGGACCCCAGTGACCGTTTTGGATCGCCGACTAAAGACAAAGACCATTCACCTGTGAAAGATACAAAGGACCGTTATGGATCGCCAATAAAAGTCCAAGACAAATCACCTATGAGGGACAATGGATTTAGTGTGAATGGAAATGGTCTTCATGATGATGACATTCAACAACCACTGACTACCATTGTCTATGCTAAACCAACAGACCGAATTAAGGTCTCTCAGCCCCAGAGACAGACTGATCGATTGGACTCTCCAGATGACCGTAGCCCAAGCCCGGCCTATGGTTTTATGGTAAGTGAGGATCAGGAGAAGAAAACTGATTCCTCTTCTGTGTACAAACAGCGTGATGAGACTGATGTTTCTGCGTCTTTAACGTCTCATGGAGACATTTCCTCTTCTCTTTGGGGGCCCCAATCTGTGTCAAGTGTGAGTTTATCTTCCCTTTCATCCCCTTCCACCTCAAATGCCCCGGATGTGGTTACCAGGCCTTCCCAACAATTGCATGGGGCTGACCCTCAAGGTCCTTTTATCTCTGGTACCAGGGTGTTTGTTAAGTCCAGTGATCCTCCGTCAGCTGATAAGGTTCCTACTCCTCCCCTATCTCCAATAACTGTCCAATATTCCACCTCCTCAGTAATGACCAAAGATGACCTCACTGTTGACTGGACAGCAGGAAAGGTCATCATCTCGAAAACGGGGGAAGTTATGAATGTTCCTGAGGCTGTACAAAGGGGTTTATTAGACTCGGACACAGTTGAGAAATTGGCCGAGAAAGCGGCGTTGGAGTCTAAGACTCCCGAAATAGATATAAACTGGGAGGATGGTACGATCACTGTTAGGGACACCCAGGAAAAGATTTCTCTGATGGAAGCAAAGTCCCGTGGCTACTTAGACTTACAAACATCTATGACATTGAAAACTGTGATTGAGAAAATGGAGGAAATTACAACAGAGGAGACAAAGCAAATTGTACCTGTCATTGTAAAGAAACCAATTGGTACAAAAGTACAGGAAACCACAGTTGTACGTAAAACCAAGAAAGTAGTCGAAGGAAACGAACCTCCCGAATATGTATCTCCAGACGCTATGGTAGAAGGATTCTTGAGTCTTAACGATATAATAAGGGTTGAAAAAAACGTGACCGATTCAGGTAGCATATTTGTCCAGGGCTACAACTATCCCATATCTGTACGTAGAGCTATAGACGAACATTTAATTGACATAGACAGTTCCTGTATAGTTGATCCCCAAACTGGAAAGCTTCTTAATTTGAACGAGGCCATTCGTATGAAGGTATTTGACCCCTTGACTGGGAAGCTAACCCATCTAGGGACAGGGGAAACAATCACACTTAAGGAAGCATTCCTGGAGGGTCTAATTCCACAACCGGGTTACAGTGTGACATTTCACACGGAGACGGAGACAGATGTTGGGGAACAGCTGAGCACTTCGCTTTCTCTGTTAGAAGCGGTGGAGCACCACCTAGTGGACCAGAACAGTGGAACTTACACGCACCCACAAACAGGTGAGATCATGTCCCTTGCCGCCGCCATACAGTACGGCTACATAGACTCTGTTGACAGTCACCACAACGTCAAATGGTCGGAGTCACATGTTGACAGGAAGGAGGAGAAGATCATAGAAGAAACAAGAGTCCAGCTTAAACCAATTGCTCTAAAACCTAGCACGCTGAAGACTTTCTCTACTGCTCCATCAGTACAGGAGACAACACAGTTTGCCAAGACTGCTCAGATTGAGGAGACAAGGAGTTTTACAGAAGCCATGCAGGTTGAACAAAACATGACGGAATCCAGATTTGATACACGTACAGATTCTCAATTTGACAGTTCCACATCCAGTGTACACAGACTAGATGCTTTAAGAGACCAGCTTATGAACACATCCCAGCAAGACAGGGTGGTTCAGGAGGTACAGCAGGTGAGCCTCAGTTCTGCCATAGAGATGGGCTATTTCAGTGAAGAGAGTGGTATGTTCACTGAACCACGAACCAGGCAGGAAATGACCTTAGATGAGGCAATCAAGCGTGGACACATCGATGGCAACAGCTTGATGGTTGATATCAAGACAGATGAGAGACTAACCCTACAGGAGGGTATCCAGACAGGAAGGATCGATCCCATTCAGGGAAAGGTTGTTGATAAGGATTCCCAGTCTAAATTTTCCCTGAAGGATGCTGCCAAGTTCGGACTCCTAGCGGTTGCTGGAGCTCCGGCTTTGGCCATCATGAAGGCGACGGGGTCATTGGGCCGGAAAACTAAAAAGGAAAAGTCCCCAACTTATGACAGTTCTTCAGCTGTTGAACCGATATCCCCAACTACTGAAATACCTATAAAGAAGACACCACCTAAACCTCTGCCCAAACCTGTAGATATTTCTAAAGGTGTTCCAGTCAATTTACAGTCGACGACTGTGAATGTAGTAAGCCCAACCACATTGGAAATAAAAGATACAATTCATGCACAGCACTTTGACAGTCTGCCTCGTAAGAAGGACGTTAAAACCGAGTCTGTAGAAAAGGTTACAAGAAAGGTTAATGTAGAAGGTGTGCGTGACTCTGCAGCAGGTGTTGAAGTACCGCTTACGACAGCTCTAGACAGGGGGATCATCAACCAACAGGAAGGTACATACACTAACAGTTTGACTGGACAGACCTTCACTTTGACCGAAGCCCTTGACCTTGGTTACATACAGGGCAAAGTTGTTGACACAATATCAACCAAGGAGCAAACCACGAAGGAAGGCTTCCAAGCAGACGTCACATTCCACGAGAAGAAGAGACTGTCAATTGTAGCAGTGACCGATTCTTTAACTGGTGAGAAACTATCGCTGCCCGAGGCCGTTGTTCGTGGCATAGTGGACAAAGAAGGTCGTACTTACTACCATAAGGAAACAGGGAAGCGGATTCCCATTCTTGATGCTGTACAGGAACATCTTGTGGTTGCTAGGGATGTTGACTCACAGATGAAAACAGACGAAACATTTCAGACCTCAAAGCAAGACATTATCACACAGACAAAGTCGTTGAAAGTCCACACTGTTGTAGACCCAGCCACACAGGAGAGAATGAGCCTCCCAGAGGCTGTGAGGAAGGATGTCCTTGACCTGAAGGTTGGGATATTGAAGAATGTACGTACGGGTGAGGAGATACCACTGAGTGAAGGTCTCAGACAAGGCTTAGTCCAGGGGGATGATGTTGCTGGCTTTACTTCCATCAAAGGTTCTGAAGTATATGAGCAGACAGCTGAAACTTTACATCTAAAATCGGCATTTGACAGTGAGACTGGACAATTTATTCCTATAAAATTAGCCATAGAGAAAGGTATCATTGACAGTCATTATGGAAAATTCAGGAAACCTAATGGAGAGATCATTCCTGTTTCCAAGGCAGTGAAGGAAGGGCTCATCAAAGCAGAATCCAAGCGCCCAATGTCTCCAATGTCTCCTAGAACAACAGGTGTCACATTTGAAAAGAAATCAGTGAATATTCAGTCAGTGCATGACCCAGTCTCCGGACAGGACATTCCGGTGGTAGATGCCGTTGACAGAGGAATTCTTAACTTACAGACAGGTGTGTTTTTCAACTGTCGTACAGGAGAGAGGATGAGTATTCCTGAGGCTATAGCTAAGGGGTCCATCAAAGCTGAGAGTTATCCTTCAGAAATAGGACCAATGGGCACAACATTTACTGTGGATGTAGGATCTAAATCATTGACACTTCTGTCTGTGACGGATCCCAGGACTGGTGAAAAGATGCCTGTATCCAAGGCCCAAAGACGTGGGCTGGTGTCCGATGACCTCAAGACTTATCATGATCCCTCTGGACCTGTGATGGATATCTCAGATGCAGTGAAGCAGGGGCTGGTAGAAGCTGGTACTCAAGAGGCAATACCAGTTCTTACCTCCGTCACTAGAGAGTCTGTCACGGTCCAGTGCCTGATAGATCCAGTCACACAAACGGAGATCCCAGTACATGTTGCCATACAGAAAGGGTTGTTTGAACCAGAGAGAGGTTTAGTTACAAACCTTCGAACTGGCGACAAAATGTCTGTCGAAGATGGTGTGAGGAAAGGCCTGGTCAAGGTTGATTCCTCAAAGGTTAAAGAAAAGACAGATGACCTTGTGGTAATCAAGGATGTAATTGTCACTAAGGTCAAGGATCCTATGACTGGACGTGACCTCAAGGTCAAGGAGGCTGTCAGAAAGGGCATTCTTGACAAGGATAAAGGGTTGTATTATGACCCTCATACTGGGGCATCCATGCCAATTGAGGAAGCTCTGAAGAGCCACCTGGTGGAGGGAAGTCATATGTCACAGAGTCAGCTGGTTGACAAAAAGACAAAGGATATGAAGCAAATCAACATCACCATGGTGCTTGATCCTGAGTCTGGTAGGGAAATCTCTGTCAATGAGGCGATTGAACGTGGAATTGTTGACCAAGATATGACTACATATTATGACAGGAAGCTGGGTAAGAGCATCAAGATGGAGGACGCTTTTCAAAATGGCCAAGTTTCTGGAGTTGTACAGACTATCACCACAACACAGACAAAGGTAAAATCTAACCGACCTGGTTCCACCTACAACATCAGAAGTGTCATGGATACTGCTTCAGGGAAAATGCTGAATGTAGCTGATGCAGTCAACAGAGGCATACTTGATGAGAAAGGAAACTTTGTTGACACAAGTAAGGGAGAGGTTATCCCGGTCTCAAAGGCGATGAAGAAAGGCCTTGTCAGTGCTGATGAGGTAGTGGCTACTAGTCCGGGAAGTAAAACTGACCATCGAGGTGTCAGATTGAGGGACGCCCTGAGGTACGGCTACATTGACATTCCTACGGGCATTTACACTGAACCTACAAAGGGCAAGATGTACACCATCGATGAGGCCATTAGAAATGGTCATCTGACAGCAGATGACAAACGCCCATATCGTTATTCCGGGCCAAAATATGACAATACCACTCACAGTTTCCAGCACGCTCTGCAGACAGGCCTCCTGGATCCCAAGACAGCGATGTTCGATGAGAAATTATCAGGAAAATACTTATCGGTGGAAGAAGCTCTTAAGCATCGATACCTGTCACCTATAGCAGGCAGGGTAGGGGGTCAAGGTGACTCAGTTATTATTCTGAAGGGGGCAGAAGTGTCTCCGGTCATGTCTGAGGGGATTCTGTATACTGACTTTGTTGATCCCAAAACTGGTGAAGAAATTGACACAAAAGAGGCTACCAAAAGGGGACTGGTTAGCGTGGTCAGTGTCCAACAACCAATCACGGTAAGCGATGCTATCCGAACAGGGTTGGTGGACAGTGACACTGGTGTGTACCATGATCCCAAGTCTGGCGACAAACTGTCCGTGGATGAGGCAGTCATCTGCGGGTTCCTGAACATGGACAAACCTGAGATACTGGAGGATGTGCACCTTCCACATAGTGAAGAACTCCCAGTGTCACTGACTGAAGCCATCAGAAAAGGGGCTCTCAACGTGACTAATGCTGAATTCACAGAACCGCACACCCAACAGACTGTGTCGCTACAAAAGGCTATTCAGCTTGGATATCTACAACCAAAACTGACAAGTAATGATGACATTGATGATGTAACAAATGACAGCAGTGGAAGTAGTAAAACGGATGACAGTTTTGATGGTAAGACAGAGGACAGCATGGATGGTAAGACTGATAACTCTGTCATTGATGACCTGCCTCGCGAGGTTGAGGCAGAGAAATACACAGTTGTCCTTGAGGGATCACCATTTTCTCCCAAGGTAGGGGTGGTTGTAGACCAGGATGGTGGTGTGGTTTCACGCACGGCAACCGAGGTGCAGATTAAAACAGGCACTGCTGTATATGTCACCAAGCCTGGCTTTATTGTCGAGTCTAGTGGGCGGGTACGCAACACCTCGACGGGTGATGTGATGACATTCCAAGAGGCTGTCGATGCAGGACTGGTGGAGGCTGAGAGTGTCGAGGGCAGCAGTGAAGTTCAGGTAACAGGCGGCACCATCCCACCAGGCCTTGAAGGTGACTCTTCCTCCGGATCCTCCCTGACTACATCCCTGACTACTTCTGATGGGGTAAGTATCCTCCTCCACCACCTCCTTGCTAGTCCCCTTCTCAAGGACACTCCCCCTTGCCCTGTGTGTCCTCACAGGTCCTCCCACTGCACTCACTGTGTAATGGTGCTGTGTGCAAAGGGATGTGCGGTCACCATTGACGTACATGTCTACACAATGGGGATGGTTGTTGTTTTGCACACTGCACCAGTTTCATTTTAGCTGTAGTGTTCACCAAAAAGATCAGTGTGTAAATGGTAGGTTAAGTGATACGTGACTAGTAAAAGGTTAAATTGTAAATATGTTTGTTATTATGAAAACCGTTTTACAGGACTCGGAGACAAAGATGTCTAACCAAGTGGACGGCTCAACATCTCTCCATCGTGATTCAAGTGGTAACCATGGGATCGGTGATGAAGGACAGGGACCCCATACAATGACCTTGACCCAGATTATGCAGCAAGGCCTTTTTAATCCCTGCAGTGGATTATTTCATGACCCAGTTTCCGGAAATAACTTTTCTCTCGGTGCGGCCATTAAACATGGTTTGATCGATGCCAAGAAATCTTTATTCAAGCTTCCTCAGACAGGGGAGATAATCGATCTACAAGAAGCAATTCAAAGTGGCGCTGTCAACAGTAAAACCGGCAATGTGTTTGATTATGTCAAAGGCGAGGAAATTCCATTGCATGTGGCTGTGCGACGTAAACTTGTCTCAGATGATTCAGAAATTGTGTCTGGTCGGTCGTTTTCTATTAACACTACCGACGACCCACTTACATTCCAGGATAGGATAAAGGGAGGTAAGCTATCGTTCCCGCTTAATGTGACTGAAACTAATTTTGAGGAAACAATATCCATCCGTGATAAAAAGTCTGGATCAGTAGTAAGTTTGAAAGATGCTAGGAAGAACAGCATTGTTAAGTTTATAGAGAGTGATTTATCCAGTACAAAAGTAGGAATGAAGGGCTGTTTCGTTAAGGACACATTTAATGACAAGTGGCTATCCTGGGATAAAGCCTGTGATGCTGGCCTTGTTGGAAATCTAGACATCACTTCAGAAAATTCTGCTAACCGCCGTGACTCCAAGCAGATCAAAAGAGTCACATGGTCATCTTTCAATGACAAAAAGAGGGAAAGTTGCGATGCTAAGAAAGAGGAAGACGATGATAGTGGGAAAGACCCGTCTGAGTCAGAATTGGATATGGAAATTGCAGCAGCACTCAAAGCAAAGAATAAAAGAAAACATTCCATAGAATTGTGTTCGATGTCGGATTTACCAGTGACATTAGACGACGTCATAGATAATGGTCTCTATGACCCGGTCACCAACACAGTATGTGATGTCAGCACTGATGAATCTGTTGCATTTGTGGATGCTATTGAGCGAGGTCTGGTTCATAAAGCCTCTTTGATTCGTGATCCTGTGAGCAAAGACATTTTAACATTAGAGGAGGCTATAGATAAACGTATCATTGACCCTCTTTCAGGGAGAATGATGTTGTCGTCAGGGTTACCAATCGCATTAAACTTCGCTGTCAACAGGGGCTTGGTAGTGAAATGTAAATCTCCATTCTCTCTCTCACTTTCGGAAGCCATTGAGGAGGGACTTTTCGACATAACTACAGGGATGATGCTAAACCCAGACACAGAGGAAAAAATGGGGTTCTCCCAGGCCATATTCTCTGGAATGTTGGATTGTAGTATCATTAAGGTACGGGACGTGGACAGTGGTGAGGTTCTGGGATTTCAGGAGGCCGTTGAGAGAGATCTGCTAAATCTAGCGACGGGGATGTGTTACGATACCTCCAGTGGGGATACCCTTTCTCTCATAGAGAGTATTGAAAGGGGCATTCTTATAGACCTGACAAATCAGCCGAAATATAGTCTCCTGGAGGTCGTTGATGACTGTCTCGTGGATGACGAAGGTAAATTCCATGATCCATCAACAGGGTACGCAGTCTCGTTAATAAGTGCTATAGACTCGAGTCTCCTCGACCGTGACTGTGTTCTTGTCCGGGATTTAGAGAGTCAAACTCTGGTAACATTAGACGGAGCTATAAATGAGGGCATTGTGAACTCCCTCACAGGAACATACTCATGTGGCAAAACTAACTGTGATTTCAACACAGCCGTGTCAAAAGGTTTACTCATACAAAATCTCGGCAGTACAGATTTAAATCTGATTGATGCAATTCATGAAGGAGTTTACAATGTGACTCGTCAAAATTTCATGGATCCAAGGAACGGAGAAGTGAAGTCCTTCAAGGAAGCTCTGGAGTCAAAGCTTGTACGCTGTGATGATATTGTGATAAAAAATTCAAAGTCTGAAGAATATCTGACATTTGAGGAAGCAGTGTCGAGAAAACTCCTGGACTTGGAAGAATGTCAAGTATTTGATCCTCTAGAGGATGAATGGTTAGATTTGAAGACAGCACTAGCTCATGGGCTTCTCAGACAGACCATGGGAGAACCAGCTAAAGGCCTTGTTACCATAGTGACTGATGGCACGTACGACCCTGAACTACAGAGGGTCAAGGACAAAACCTCTCAAATGTGCGTCGATGTGGAAGATGCTATTTCTATAGGTATTGTTGATCCTTCTCATACATTTGTTCGTGATAATGCTCGTAACCAATTCATTCCACTCTCAGAGGCGATTAATTATCACTTGATGGATAAATACTCTGGAAAGGTGACAGACACAAAGACATTTGAGAAATTAGATTTGTGTACAGCGGTGGAGAAAAAGTTGGTGGTAGAGATGCCGGAGAAGGGGTTTACACTGGTAGATATCGTAAGTAATGAACTGTACAGCAAAGAAAAACAAACCATCCTACACCCAAGGACATGTGCAAGGATGTCGCTTCAGGAAGCAATTTCGTGTAAACTTGTGGATGGCTCTCAACCACAAGTTCTTGTGGCAGAACGGGGAATTTTTAGCCCAAAAGAAGCAATAGCAAAGAAAATATTGGATGCCTCAACTGGAGCCTATCTAGAGCATACTCCACTACCTGAGGCTGTGGCTAAAGGATTTGTTTTTAAATCAGAACAGAAAGGATATCAGCCATTTTTGACAGAAATTGCCGATATTCTGAAAGATTCTGATTTCACTTCGTTGACATCTGCTAAACAAATCAATGACTCAAGTCTCGGAGGTCAGAGTGAATATTCTCGAAGATCAAACTATGGAAAGCCTTTCTTTGGAATTCAGAGAGCAGTTGAGGAGGGTATTTTCGAAAAGCACAGATGCACATTTTATGACCTCAGGATTAAGTCCTCGGTTACTATGGCAGATGCATTAAAGACTTTTCTTATCCATGGCACAAGGTCTAGGGTCATGAACCCAGACACTCAGAAGTATATATCTCTCAGTGAGGCTGTGGATAAAGGAATTGTCAGTGGCAAGACTGGGTCTATCCTGGACAGGCAAAACATGAAGAGCATTCCACTAGAAAAAGCGGTTGAGGAAAACTTAGTTGTGGATGTGCCGTTCACACGAGTTACTCTTGATGAGGCCGTGTCGTACGGCTTACTGAATACAAATGTTCTGAAAATGCAGAGCATGATCTGTGACGAGAGGGTTTCGTTGGCTGATGCTCTTGATAAGGGTCTGATCGACACGGAGGATTCACTTGTCAAGGATGTTGACAAGGACATTGTGATGACCTTGAAAAAGGCAGTTGACTGTGGCCTATTTAACACAACAACGGCATGTGTTGTTTGTGACTCGGGACGTATTGTCAGCCTTATGGACGCACTAAATGAAGGTCTTATCCTCAACGGTCGAAGTCTGTGTAATTTTCCAAGACTTCCACATTTGAGAAAACGGACCTTACAACTCGATTCCTTATCTAATAGTGTGGAGATTGCCTCCAAGCAACCCAAACATTCCAGTGACAGCTCCGGCATTGACATGCAGGAGAACGATGATGTGCTTGACCTGATGGATCAGAATATAGAAGCCATCAGTTTCGGTGAGGCACTCAGAAGAAACTATTTAGATAAAGAAACGGGTAATTTTCGTTTGTCTGATAGTGAAACTCCTGTTCCTCTGAAGGATGCTATTAGCCAAGGGCTGATCAATGTTTCTGGTGTTACATTCCACGATAGAATTACTGACCAGAGTCTTTCTCTCAAACTGGCCTTGGAGGTGGGCTTACTGGATTCCAGTACACAGACCTCGAGAAGAAATTCCAGACATGGAATAACCTTCAGTGAGGCTGTCCAGGGAGGGCTGCTGACGGAGAAAATGCAGGTCAACCTTGACAATTCAGAAACCTCCGACCCCAGAAAACAGAAGAAATCATTTGCGGAAAAGTTATCTAAAGAAATTGATATCATAAAAACTGCAAAAAACATGTCATCCTCCTTAGATTCCTTATTACAAGTTGTCAAAGACGACCAGGGAACCTATCGTCTCGGCACATTGCACCGTATACTAAAGAAGGGAATGCTTAATCCAAGTACAGGACTGATGGATGATCTTATAACTGGTCAGCCACTGACCATACAGGATGCTGTCCAGAATAACCTTATTAATATGCGAGCAAGAGAGATCGTAGATCCACGGACTAGGGAGCTCCTGACACTACAGGAAGCTATCAGCCTCAGGGTAGTGGACCCTGTAAGAGGTTGTTACAACGACACTGTCCATCAGACGTCAATGTCGCTCAAAGAAGCAATGGAGCTAAGCCTTATCATAGAGGGCTTGGCCGAAGCTCCCCAGCCAAAGAGTTCCGTGGAAATTTATGTTGAAGAAATTCTTACCAATGAACAGAACAAAGGTAAAGCCAAATTACAGGATGCGTTTTCATCTGGTGTCTTGCATCGCTCAAATTCCTCCGTTATTGATCCGGACACAGTTCAACCAATTACATTAAAGCGTGCTGCAAGTCTTGGAATGATTGACATGAGTACTGGTGAATTCAAAAACCCCCAAACAGGTGAGAGCATATCTCTGAGCGATGCTGTGGAGAAGGGATTCATCTTGAGTCCCAAGGGTCTGACACTGTACAGTGCTGTGAACCAGGGACTCTACAGTGATAAGAACTGTCAGTTCGTGGACCCGGGTACAGGGAAGGAGCACACTCTGAAGGAGATGATTGACATGGAAATCATAACGCCCATGTGTCTGGAGATACGTGATCTCACACAGAAGGGAATCGTCGTCACACTGCAGACAGCCATCGACAGGAAAACCATAGAGCAGATAAAAAATGTGTACGTGAATTTGGTGAATAATCAGGTATACAACTTCAACGAGGCCATCGCTGCAGGCCTCATCATCAGTAACAGTCCACGAGAGGGGCTGCGTGAGAGCAACAACAGCCAGAATGTCATGGCCGCCTCAGGTGCGCACACCATGGAGTCGGTAAGGTACCGCCACTTAGCTGAGAATGCATATGGTCCTGTCCTCACGCGCCCATTCTCTATGGGCAGTCGTTCTCGAAACAGCAGTTCGTCTGATTTGACAACTGATTCATCGAGCACGGACAGGAAGGATCCTCATACATGGATGATGCCACTTACCTCTGAAATGATCCGTCAGATGATTGTAAATGCTAAGCATAAGAAGGATGCAGCAGCTCAGAGGAATGATAACACAGACAAGAACAGTAAATCTGAGGACGAGTGCGACGCTGGTTCAATGACGCCGACCATGGATGAAGACATAGATGCAGAACAAAATTTGAGTATGCAAGAAAACAACAATGACAAAAACAGAGCTGAAAAAAGCTCAAATCCATCGACACCAACTACACCACAGGTCACTGAGATACCATGGCAACATGAGGTCAAGGTCATAGAAGAGGTCAGAGTCAAACCAGCCATGGCAGGACTACGGAAGGTAGGAACATTGATTCCTGCATGAGTCGCCTGCCTACTTTGGTCATGTCGAGAGATCCCTGCCTGATTTTCCACTTCTGTGTCTTGTCATATAACGCCAACCTGAATGAGAACGACTCTAACTTGCAATGCAACGCCTTCCCGATTGAGAACGTCTGTTTGTTTCCGTCGGGACTGCCTTTACTCACTTCTAGTTTGTACTTAACAAAATATAGATTGTGAAATCTTGACTGTTATGAAAACCTTAATTATCTCGTAACATGGACATTCTCCATTTCAAATAATCTGATACATTTTAAAACAAATTCAACGGAACTGCTAGTAATGATTGTGAAAACAAAAAATTATTGCTCGACCGATTAGTTTTAATTTGTTTAAACATATTTGATTGATCCAATGATTCAAAAAGATTGGACACCAGGTTTTTACAACTTTTAGCAGATTAATGACACCATTATGTGAAATGTGAGAATGTTCGTATATAAATCCTGTAGAAAGGCATGTTTCGATGGACCTATGTTCATACAATAGTTGTGTAGTTTGATGATAACCCTACATTTACTTGCTGCCTTGTTGAACTCACCAAACTGTTTGTTCTACACTCGGCCATTAATGTCGGTAACGTTGGCATGAAAAGTGTGTTTTTGTTTATATCAGATCAGTCCTGTGTTAAATATAAGGAAAGAGAAAGTACATTGAACATAGGTCCATATGCATATAAGATATTTTCAGTTCCAATATTTTGATAAATGCCAACTTCCTATCAATTTTCGTGCTGTACATTCATTTTTCTTAAGGAACTGAAATTCAGATCTCATTTGCATATTAGAAATTCCTGAAGCATGCTTTCAAATGAAAGGACAATATTTATGTAAGGACTAAGCATGGAAATAGAATTTCATCATTCTTGCAAGATCAGCTTATACAGATATTTCATTATCGTTCATTAAAATTAAAAGAAAAAAGGCAGTATTTTTGCATGGAGGAGAAGTTGTATTTCTGTTTTAAAAAGAACATTTGCATCATTATTCCTGTTTTTATTATGTCTTCAAATATCTTATATAATTATCATATGTGCTTGCTTTTTAAATATATTCCAAATTGAATCAAATCATAACCAACCATGCTTTTCCTTACTTTATATATCTCCTTTGTAATAATAAGTCTAATAAGAAAAAATATTGTAATGTTATTTTCATACAGAAGTTGTATTTTTTCCTAAAGAATTAAGTGTATAGAATGCATACAGAAAGTGAGTGTATCAACAGAAAGCTAGCATGTTAATTCAATGTATTTTATTTAAAAAGGAAAAAAGGAAAATTTGATTTTGAAATGTCACTATTTCCAAAAAAAAATCTTAAAAAATCTGTTTTGAAACGTGTGTTTTTCTGATATTTGTCTTACTAACTGTTAATGCAACTAATGAATTTTTTGACTCAATTGAATGTTCTTTATTTTATTTACAACAAAAAGTGAGAATGTCAGGAAATTTTGTGTTAGGGTAAAGTTGAGCTTGTGTATACAGCACATGTGTGGTAGTGGAATACAAGAGTGAACTGTGTTATATGTTACGGGTGTTACACCTGTTTAGACAGCAGGAAACTCTCAAACCGAAATCACTCCGATTACATCTAGCTGTCATTGATCATGTATCAAGTCTGATATATGTGCACACAAAATGTTTTTCATCTGGGTTACAAATTTATTTCCCATGGTTCTTTTAATTTGACCCTGCATATCAAAACTACTTACTTGATTATTCCTGTAACATTTTGACTCTAAAAATCACAAGTTTACTGGCTGATAATTGGATGATGGAACTTCTATTGATTTTGGTTCGAGAGTTTGTTGGTTTAGAGATTAATCAGAAACTACAGCATGATGTTCTTCAATATGTAATCAGAAAATCTTAAGGAAACTGATTGTGGAGGGGGAAAAGGGGCTTTATCAAAGTGAGCTGATAATTTCAGACAATTGTCCAAAAAAATGAATTTAAAAAAATTCCTCACAAATGAAAAAAACTGTTTAAAAAATCTTTATAAATGAATATTTTTTTTAGCTATATGATATATATTTTTTTAAATATTTTTGAAACATATTTTAACTACTTTGGGAATATGAAATATTTTTGGTGTAAATTATCTTGGTATATGATTTTATTGATTTACCAAATGAAAATGTTAGCTCATCGTTTTCTCTCAGATCAAAAATGAGTAATTAAAATGCTGATATGAAGGGGTAATTCAAAATAATGCAAAATTCGAAAAATTTAGATTAAAATATGATTAATATTAATTGAAAATGAAGGTAAGTTTATAAAATTCTAATGCCATTGACATGTGGAGGAAATTTTGTTTCTAGAATTTTCTTGCATAAAAATACATTTTGAAATCTTGTATATTTTGAATTGCCACTTAATGATTTTTTTAACAACTTAACATTGCTTTGCTGTATGTGAATCAGTTTGGAGAAAAAGAGCAAAGTTTTGATTTGAAGAAAAAAAGAACTTTACAAGTTTTAATGTCAAGTTAGTTATGTCCTGCCTGTCTTATTTGAAATGATTTGAAATACATATATACAGAGTGGATTAAACAAACTTGATGAAATTTCAATCCTGATCCATCTGTTAATATGGCTTCAAATGGAATTATTGGCATTTTCCATCCTGACATAATATTTCTAAAACATTCATTTATATCACACACTTCAGTTTTAACATAATTTTAATTGATTTATTAAAGAGTATTTGAAAAGATGCAAAGTGATTAAAATTTACAGATTGTAATGGAGGAGTTATGCCCCTTTTGATTACTCTCCTTCTAACATGGGACATTAAAATTTAGTACAAGTGAAATACAAGTTAAGAATTTAATAATTTTTTTCATTAATAAGAATGATGTGATTAACTTATTGACATCTAATGATTGATTGGAAGTGCATTCAATTAACTACTTATTAATTAATTAATATTATTAATGAATTTACAAAGAGATTTACTTCGAGATTGAATCTTGTCTTAGTTGTTAATTTTACACACTGACCTCTGACCTCACGCATGAAAACAGAATCTTTTACTGATCCGTATACCCTAATGTTTTATTTCTCTCAGAACCAGTTCTCCAGTACTCCATCTTTGTACATTGATATTTTGATCTGCAGCATTCGTATATTGCTGTGAAAAATAATTGAATTGAAAAATAGATTGAGAAATAATATGAAATATATCATAATTTCAAATAATTCATTTTGAAAATGTCATGTTCTATATCATGTTGGTAAAGTAAAGTATCAGATCAGAATCTTTCAACAATTGAATTAAACATTTAACTGATTTTAAAGAAAGTAGATTACATTTATCTATCTAACTTTACAAATGATCTTCATTCTCATGCAAAACTGAAATGGTATCAATCAAATTTCATACTCATATTCTTTTTTCTTTTTGCCTTGTCTATACCCTGCCTGATATTGCACTAAGATATTACACAAGATGCTACATTCCTATTATTTCCAAAGTCTCACTTTCCTAATTTATCATTTTTATAGGAAATTTGATTTTGTTTTTACTTGCTTCATTTTATTGCTCAAGAAAAAAGTCAGAAAGCTTTGATTTGCAGACCAGTACAATGCTTACGTGAAATCGCATTCTTTTCATTTCAGTGGGTTTTGCCTAAACCTTCGCATGGTGGTAGACAATGTGAAGCCTGCCTGCCTGTGCCTGTCAGCTGTTCCCTTCACCCCCCTCCACACTCACCATATCATAGGAATGCTCTGTCAATTAACATGCATCACGTTTTTCTGTCCTCTTTCCTTTTGTGAATCTCATTCTCGTCTTTGTCCATGTATTATCTGTTCTGTCTTTTAGTTTTGCAGTGCATGTAACGTTTTTGTAGTCGGATCTTTTATCGCACCCATCTGTCCTGTGCCGTTCCATGTAAATGTCAGTGTCATGTGATCGTCATGTGATATATATAATGTATGCAAGACTTGTTGGGAATGGATGAATGTCTTGTTTCATCAATAACTCATTTTGAATTTGAATATTTTTTGAATGAACAATTGTTTATTATTTATATGCATCTTGGAAGATTGTTTTTTGTGTATTAAAGTGTTTCAGTCCTTCATCAAACCGTCAACCTTCCCTTTTTTTGTGCATTTTGAAAACAAATTCCCTTGTCTTGCCACTGTAGATGCCAACATACCACTTGATTGATGTAGGGTTGCATATTATTTTTGTACATGGATTATGTTTTAGTTCTGTTTTGTATATATGCCTGCTATATGAATTTGGTCAATAACCTGTCTATATAGTGTAGGATGTTGTACTAAGCACTATTACTTTTATAAATATTAAGTATTGTATATTGTATAATTTTGGTTTTCGTAGCTTGTTGCATTGGGAGAATGTTGTAATAGATCACTTCTGCATCTGATATATATATATTGTACGCTAAATTGGCACTGACATTATCTGCAAATCAAAATTTTACAAAAAATTATATGATTTTGAACTCCATTCCAGTTTTGATTTTATGATTTCTAGATTCTTGAAATAGTTGCCCTGCTGATATTTTAGTTTCATTTTTTTTCTGTCTCTTCAGTTTTGCTTTTGATCGCCATTAGATATTATTGATGCTACTTTCACTTTAGCTATATTTAATCTGGCGTTATCTAACACATTAGAAACTGATGCTACTTTCACTTTAGGTACCTGTATCTTATTCTGAATATTTTCGAACACATGTTGTAACATTGCCATATGTATATCCAACAGGGAAGGTTAGTTGACTCCTACGACAAACTGGCTCAGGATCTGAACAATGAGCTAAACTGGCTCTCAGATGTTGAACAGTTGCTAAGAGATGATCAGCCCATCAATGATGAGGCAAGCAAAGTTCAGGGACAATTAGACGCACAAAAGGTTTGTACAGTATTCCAGCTTAACATCTTTAATTCTTGTAGCAAAATTGTATACAGCATTTCATGTAAGTGTCAAACAAAAAACAAAAAAGATCTACATGTTAGTATTTTTCATACCATACTTTTTGTTCTCCCTTTGATCTTTAAAAACAAATCTGTTTTAAATCAATTTTCTTTGTAAACTTTTCTCAGTGTTATAATTTTTCAATGTTGTTTGAAGTGTTTAACCTCTTTTTGAATATATGAGAGGAAATGGGGTGCCGAAATATTCAGAACATAATGTGTTGCAGATAATTTATGTTCTAGTCTACAGTTAAATCAAAGGTATAAAGGATTAGTGTTCAAAATGCTTAGAAAAAACATTTAGGTAAGAAAGAGTTGTTTGGAATCAGTGAAAGTCAACAGACTTCAGATTACGAAAAACATATGTTGTCTGTCAGTTTGTTACCTATTTGTCTCCCCTTGCAGACTCTCCATGACGATATCCAGAAGCACCAACAGCCAATCCTGTCCCTTGTGTATCAGACTGAGCAGCTCCTTGAGAACCACCAGGAGGAGCTAACTCCTGAACAGGTCACCGAGGTTCAGCAGCTCGTATCCAGTCTCAAGGCTACGTTCGGCAAGGTCAGCCGCCATCTTGGTTTTCTGTCATCAATAGTTCTTGTTTGGAATCCGAACATTTATATTAAAATATTGACACATTTAACTTGTTCACCCCTGAAATTTGATGATGAACTATTCAAACCTTTGAAATGGAAGCGTTCAAATTTGTCTTCAGGGGTGAATGAGTTGAAAAATTAGTAAGGATATTGGCTGACTTTACTTCCATAAAGTTTTATCAATATACTGTTCCTTTGGGATCCTATTTGATTGATAATTGATGTTCAGTTGGAAACAAAAAACTGTGCAACATTTAATGATATTAGGATTGAATCTTAATTTTACATTACAAATTTTGTTTAAATTGTTTTACATCAAATGTATGTTCATTGTAAAAGCGACAGATATAACAGAAAGTGTGAACTCCTATATAAATCCACATTACTGATCCTTGTAGGTCCAGAAAACTGCTGACGGAAGAGTCAAGCATCTGACCACTGCTTGTAACGAGGTTACTAAATTTGAAGAGGAGATGACCAAGTTTAGTGATTGGCTGAGAGAGACCAAGAACGACCTGACCACACACCAGAGGGAGGTCACCAACCTTGACCGTCTGAAAGAGATCAAGGAACACCAGAAGGTGAGCAGAATGTTTGTGGTTGAATGCTGCATCGAACAAAATGGATTTACGGCATGGTGACATTTTCGTAATTTACAGGGCATATATTATATGGGTGATCACGAATACTAAGTCAGTGTAATAATTTGACATACATAAATATCTGTGATATAAAATGCAATGCAGCCTACCATAACAACCATGTTTGTAAGTAATCATAACAGTTTTGGAATTGTAAATAACCCTAATATACCCTGTGACCTTGACCTTTTGTACTCTTTGACCTATTTACCCTCAGTGATTTATTTCTTGTCAACTTTATCTTCCTGAACTTTGAACTCTTACCTATATGTCCCTGAACTTTGAACTCTGTGACCTGTACCTAACTTGTGTTCTTGTTTCCATGGTGACAGGATATGATGAATGACATGATCTCCCACCAGGCAGACATCAGATTTATGTCCATGGCTGTTCAGAAATACATGGAAGAGGCCAAGGTTTGTAGAACGTATATGATACTAATTCACAGGGCTCTGATATTTAGGACTCTGCTTTAAAGTTCTCTGATGCATGGGACTCGATTCAAAAGCTCTGATACACAGGGCTCTGATATACAGGATTCTGATACACAGGGCTCTAATATACAGGACTCTTATTCACAGGGCTATGATATTTAGGATTCTGATTTAAACAGCTCTGATAATTAGAATTCTGATTTAAAAGACTCTGATGTTTAGGATTCTGTTTCAAAAAGCTCTGATTCACAGGGCTCTTATACATAGGCATGTGATTGCACTGATATTGAATCAGATAAATAGCTAGATTAATGTTTAGTAATCATAATTATGTATAATAGAAAGTGAGTTAATTAATATCTGAATTATTTTCTTCCAGCTGCACAAGCTAGAGGTTGATGCATTCAAGGCCAATCGCAGGAAGACCAATCGCCTCAGCTGGCTCGGAATGGAGGGCATGGAGGCAGAACAAGTAGGTGACAAATTAAAAGCAGCAACAACAAGCTATGAAGACCTCAAATCCAAATGTGCATTGTTTGGAGAAAAACTTGGAACACTTTCAACCAAACAACGGAATTTCAATGAGAGTACGTTTAAACTCCTGACTTGGCTAACAGATGTTGAAGAGAAACTGTCCACATCAAAACAAGAGTCAGCTACCACAGAACCAGAGGTTCTACGACAACAGCTCGGGCTAATGCGATCAGCCAGCAGTGACGCCATCTCACATGGAGTACAGCTGGACGATTTAGAGAAGTTATCACATGATTTGATTGACATGTTAAAGGATTTGGCTGTTGATGAAGACCACGTACACAAGCTAGAGGATATCATAGACGATATCTCTGGTCGACACAAGGAAGTGTTGAATGAGGTTAATGAAAGGTCAAACAGCCTCCAGATGGCGCTGACTAAATCCCAGGATGTTGAAGATGCCCTTGACAACCTGTTGTCATGGGTACGTGATACGGACAAAACACTGACCACTCAAAAGCCGGTCAGTCTGATGAGAGACAGGCTGAGCGAACAATACCAGGAACTTAAAACAATAAGTGCCGATGTGGAAAGTCATAAACCAAGCTTAGATTCTGTGAGACATGAGGCAAACGAACTTATCAAAACGTGTGAACTAGATATGGCGAAGTCACTAGAGTCTAAATTGGGAGACCTTGCCAACAAATTTGGAGGTGTCCAGTCTAAGTGTAAGGCCCGAGCCAAAGACATTGAAGAAATCTCCGAAACTCTCGGACACTTCCAGGACACACTCGAACACTGTAATGTCTGGCTGAATGCCAAAATAGAGAACCTTGAGGACAAAAACTGGAATAAAAAGTCTGGTGATGAAATGAAAGACAAAGTGGACGGTATGACTATCGAGAAAAAGAGGAAGGAAGAAATTGTGGACGAATTGAAACAGCTCGGACAGGCTCTTGTTGAAGATCCTCGTACAGGAGAGGTCAGTGAGTTGAAAGAAAAAGTGACAGAACTTTGTAGAGAGTGGGAGGACTTTAATGGACTGCTGTCCGAGAGAGAACAAGAGGCATCGGAAAAGGAGAGACAGTCCGACGAGTACAGCAACACGAAGAAGTCCGTTGTGGACTGGCTGACTACCATGGAGGGTAAGGTGGACGCATTCGAGCCCGTGGCTGTTGATGTGGAGGTGGCAGCTACTCAGATAGAAGAGCTACAGGTGAGTCAGGTGACAATACAGCAGGTGTGAGGAGAAAGATGTATGTCCTTATTAAATAAAAGCCGTCCTAACCTTTATTGTAGCAACAACAGAGAAAAATCCTATGTTTTGATCATGTTATGAGTTTTGGTACATCTGTGGTTGTAATAGTTTAGATTCCCTTTTCTATAGGTTCTGAAAGACAAAGATTCATAAGTTACCTTTGAGATCCTTTCAAAATTTGTCAATTTCATCTAACTTTGTCAAATAACCTCTCATAGAAGAAAATTTAATTCAAGAGAAAATAAATTGGATACATTTGATCCTGACCAAAGTCTAGTTCCTTGTACTAAAATTTCAAAGAGTCACGATTAAAATGAAGTAATTTTACATTTCAGCCCATGCTGCAAAACTACCAGGATTACGTAGATACAATTGACGAGGTCAATGACCTTGGATGCGCATTTGACGCCCTTCAAAATGCTGACCAGAGACCAAGCAGTCCCTTCAGGAAAATTATGCGTGAGTTGTCTGCTTGTTTGTTATTTAATTTTTATCCAATAACATATTCTAAAGTATGAAAATGGAATATTTTCAAAATGAAATTTCACATATATCAATGGACGAAGTGAAATTTTTCATATAAGATGTATTTTAACTGAACCCTTTCACCCCTATGTAACTTTAGTAGACTCTACCATGCNAAGACCCCAGGTAATACACCCCTGTGTAGATATACACATCCAGACCCCAGGTAATAAACACCTGTGTATATATACACATCCAGACCCCAGGTAATACACACCTGTGTAGATATACACATCCAAAACCAGGTAATACACACCTGTGTAGACATAAACATCAAGACCCAAGGTAATACACACCTGTGTAGATATACACATCCAGACCCAGGTAATAAACACCCGTGTGTATATACTGATCTTTATGCTAAATTTAAGGAACAAATTACAGTCGATGTGGGAGACCACACAACTTTTCTGCTTTACATGTCTTTTGTTTTCCCCGTTTACAAACTACAGATGGAGTGAGATTTCTTACAAGTTTGTCATTAAGTACTTTTGTTTCAGATTAAAGAATGTTGATTCACTGTTATCGGACCTAGACAACGTGAGACAACTCGTCGCTGATTATGAGATTGCCCTCATTACTCATGACAGTTTGTCGTCCGAACCTGAATCTCTCAGAACCCACAAGGCAGAACTACAGGTAAGAACTTGATTCAGTGGATTCTTGTCAATGGCATCTGATGATGCTCAAAAAACTGTAAAGTTGGATAGTGGTTTGATTTTTTGAATAAATTTATCAATCAAATATGTTGTAAAAACCTGTATTTTTTAAGAAAAGTAATGAATATTAATAAGTAAAGCCGAATTTCAGGCATGAGTGCTTGTTGTTTATATAAAGAATATTTAATTACAAACAGTTATCTTAAATATTTACCTCCCTTGTCAGGACCTCCAAGTTTCAGTACAGCAACAACAGCAAAAGGTGGCCTCACTGAAGCGTGACACGGCCAGTCTACGTGTCCACACGGAGAAGTGTCGGCCAGGCGTGGCACGCTACTACGACCTCGAGGGCACAGAGAAGGAGGTGACAGATCTGGACCAGCGCTGGGACAACGTCTGTATACAGGTTGTGGAAAGGTGAGTCGTCACAGGAGTTATGAGAACTGGTAGGGGTTGATGTGGTATAAACTCATTCACCCCTATATTTTTAAACTGGACTTGCCCAGTCTTTGTTTGGTAAGGTTCAACTGAGACTTCAGGGGTTTATGGGTTAACATACCTAAAGAGACCAACACAGTTTTCTTGATTGCTTCCGATGTAAAAGAGTCCATGATACAAAGGATTTACATTTTTTATCCTGTAAATTAAGTGACTTATAAAACTTGTTCTCTATCTTGTAGACTAAGGAGTATGGACACTGCAGGTGACCTACTATCTCTTTATACCAACGGCCTCAAGTCCGAGCAGCAGTGGGGGGATCACACCCAACTGGCCATCGACACCCAGCCCCCACTCACGCAGGAACTCCCCCAACTCAAACAGATGATAGAACCAACCATGGTACGGGACGATATTGGACCTAAATATAATGAAATGGAATTCCTAATAGTTAAAGTCCTACTTTTCAAAAGATTAAAAAACAAAATAAAATGTTGAGGATACAATTCATAACTACATACATTCTTGTCTCTCTGTTGATGATCAGATTCTGTTGTGATGATAGCAATCTTTTCATTATAAGTTTTTTTCTCTTAAATATGTACCGTATTGCAGAGTCTTTGAAACTGATTGTTAATAAGCACATCATACTGAACATAGTTAATTTGATGTCATGGAAAGATTGCGTTTGGAAGACTGGAACATATCTGCTGTTAATATCATCATAGCAATCATTTTCACAGAATACTTTAAATCAATTTCCTTTGCCTGAGAACAAAGTAAAATACTACTTAATAAACAATAGCCATTATATAAAATATTAATATAGTCTGTTGCGTGCATGTTTGAACAATAATATATGATCTTTTCAGACAATTTACAACGGACTTGGAGAACGTCAGCATCAGATTGAGGCTGTGAATCGTCACGGTGGCCAGTATATTCGTGAGGCAAAGGTATGCCCTCATGAAGTGTTCAACACATCTATGGTATCTTATATGCAACCCTAGATCATCCAATCAGAATGTGGCATCTACAAGCTTTTATAATTTTTTGGCATTTATTTTTGTTATTATTTTACCCTACCAGAGACACAAATCCCTAATGTATTGCATTTGCTAGTATATGCAGATTATTTTTTGTTTTTATGTATTTTTGTTTTGTCTATTTTTAGACAACACGCTTTTCCTGTTTTCCCATTTATGTTTAAAACTATGTGTGACACAAGTTTGTGTCAAGACGACCTCCCCTTACTAACCCGTCTGCTTCCTGTCGTAGTGGTTTTTGTAGTAAAACATTCTATGTTTGTAAACACCTTCTCCGTGTGCTTTTTGTACAACATTTTTTTGTTGACAAACAAACTATTGTATATTTAGCACCTTTCCTTTGTATTATCGCGAGATTTTGTTTCTCCGTTACAGAATTCTCTTCCCTTGAGTGTTGTTTTTTGTGATGGACATTTTACTTTGTGCATTTTTGTCTATTGTGCTTTCAATGTTTCTTGTCATTTTGTGTTATGTAGTCAGCAGTTTTTGTTCTGTTGAAAATGTCTTGAAATCTGATTGGTTTATTCCCCAACCAATCCTCTGCCCTCCACTTTCCTCCCTCCCTCCCTCCCTCCCTCCCTGTCATTGATCAATCTTTAGTTCCAGCAGTATTTAGATCTATCCTTCTCCAGGTTGCTTAGCACGTTGAGCAGCTTGGAGTTACCATTTTATTTTTCCTTCAACGTTGTTCGTGACAATTCAGTCCTACACACAGCGCAAATGCACGGCTTGACCAAGCTCCTTAGCATTGAGTCATCAGCTTGCTTCCCCGCGATTGGTTGGCCTCCGGACCAGTAAGTAGTCGGAGTTGCATGTAGTTACCATGATAACCAGGTGAGCTATAAAGATATATACAGATTTTATTTTTCGTGTTTGTAAATGTAAATAACGGTATTTGGTTTAATGAATTAAAACACTAGGAAAGGATTTCTTATGTTATTCTATGCAGTGAAAACCATTTATTTATTTATTTATTTAATAAATTTGAGCTTTTCCAACTTCTTCACATTTTATTAAATATCCTTTTGTGTGTGTTGATTTACCTCCTATTGTTTTTTTAACTGAATTAAAAAACTAAAATGTGTTACAAAGTTTATATTCATCAGTAAATGTGGTTTGAAATTATGTTATATAAAATTTACAAATCTAATAGCAACTATCACATTTTAGTTTGTCAAACTTTTGATAATATTAATTTTATTTTTGTGAATTTAAGTTTTTAAAATTTTATATTTTATCCTCCTGTAACTCTTTTATCAATTTAAACGAATCAAAGTTGGAAAGCTCATTTGTATATTATTTATTTATCTTTTATTTATATTCATACATGATCAATAATGCATGACTGCTCTAAACAAATGGCTTGACATAATATCAGATAAAATATATATTTATACCAACTTTCTAAATAATTGTCTTCTGTTAAGTTAAAAGAACAATCAGATGAATTGGTAAAACCTTGATGTTTATATATCAAAGTGACAATGATTTTCTCATTAGATTAGAATAGAAAGAGAAAGTGCTCTGTTAGTTTTAGAAATGATGAGAACTGCCTGAATAGGAAGTTTTTTGCATGTTACGCTAGATTATCTAGATTGCATTTTGCTCAATGGTTCCAGAATCTTTCCAACTTTCAAGGAAAATACTCTCCCTTGCATTTGCTGTTGTGAGTGGTACGAATGTGACCCCCATTATAAACATAGCAGACTACTTAGTCTTGACAATGAATGAATATGAATCATGTGTAATTATTAACCATTTTGGGAATAAAAGGAAAAGCTAAAATTAATTGTAATAACAAATATTGGGAATTGTAATTTTGGCAATTGAAGTTCATGCGAGCTGGATACTTTTAAAAATGATTTTAAAATGCCTGAAAGTTTGTTTCCATGCATGCAGCAAGCTTTATGGTAAAAGGAAAAAACATGTTGCTGTTAATAGATTTTCAGCATCTAGAAACAGATTGAAGGTGCCAATCACTGTCTAGTTTAATCAGGTTACACAATATCAAAGGGAAGGCTGTGCTCTTAGTTAACATGTGATATTTCATAAGTCAAGGTTGGGTTCTGCTTTGTTTTTTTCCCTCACCCATAACTTACTACTCCAAATGTAATAGCTCTGAATTGTGATGTAAAAGGACACGTGAGAATGAATGTATGTTCAGATATTTAAAATTAATTCAGTTTAATGATGAATAATATCGTTGTATTAGATGTACCTTTAACGTCACAATTCGGAGCTTCTGATGATGACGATGTCACTAATGGATAGTCACTATGCATGTCTTTTTCCAGTACATCTAACCCACACTAACATTGCATCCGACAAGCTGTGTTCACACATAGTCAAAGGTCAAATCTGGATTTTGAAACTACGGTTTTAAATTAATTCACCAAAAGGTTTTTTTATCGGCAAGTTAGGATATCCATTTTAGGATTCTGACTTGTTGTTACTACAACCTAGTATTTAAAAAAAATCCCTAACAGTTTTAATTCATATTATTTTATACATTAATTTTATGTTTGATTGATAAATATCAATAACATTTTTTATTTTTTTTATGAAAGAATTTAATCAATATTTTCTTATTGATTACTTGTATTAACATTTTTTTTATTTTTAATTCCTGAAAAGTTGTCTTTTCTATGAGAGTATTTTTGTATTATTTTCAAAATAAAATGATTAAAATAATGTTTATTTTGCTTTTGCATTAAAAAAAATATTTTCCCCACTAATTGTTATAAATGTTAATTAATTAAAAACGTTTGCTGTGACTTTTCCAGCCTCTTGATTTTCACACAAGTCTTGTATTAATAGCCATAATTTGGATGTTGAAATAGTTTTTATGTAAGAAGTGACTTGGGGCATGTTCCTTTATAGCAATCCTTCTCCAAGGTCAAGGTCAAATCACCCATTTCCATTTATAGATTAGTGCAGGTGTTTCATTTTATGAATTCAAGGTCAAAGGTGACAGTATGGTAAGAATGTAAGATGTTTTGAGGGGAAAACTACCGCAGCTAACATGATAATATTTTAGATTTTAAAAGAAAGCAAAAAGGTAGAAAAACAAATAAGATATTAAGAGGTTAAAAGATCAAATAACAGTCATACTTTTTTTTTTATGTTTATAATTCTAAACAACTTTGGATTACTTTTCACTGGCCTTAAGTGTGTAGTGTCTAGGCAATCACTTATAATAGCTGCTATCACCATAGTAACGGCCACCTTAGATACCAGGTATGGCTTTACAGAACGTGCTATGGTACTAGGCCACCAGTAGAAATGTGGGTGACAGGATTACACAACTTTGGGTCATGTTTAAAAGTTAACCAAAATATAACGTTGAAGCTCTTGACAGCATAATTTACGATAAAAGTGACTCTTAACTGTGTTCTGTATTGCTTTGGTTACAATATACGTCTCACTTTAATCGCCGCTCAAATATATCTATCACTATGGTGATGTGGCATTACTGATCAGGTCACGGTCAAACTCATTTTTTTTCTCCATTTGTTTTACTTTGTAATTTAAGGAATTAATTGGTAAGGTACTCTATTAAACAAATTTATGAATTGTAGAAGTGCTACTATTTTAAAATGAAAGATAAATTAATGCACACTTTTTCACGAAATAGTAAAATGTGCACAAGATAGTCACAAAAAGAAAGTTTTGAGTAATTTAGTTAGAAATTGCATGAAGCATTTTCAGTGATTGTTCACATTGATCTTATAATGAAAAAACAACCCAATCACAACTTTTGCACAAGTATGTTCTAAATCCTGATCATCAGAGCGTTTGGTCAAACAAGCAAGTCACGTGGAAGCTTTCCCTTGTAGATTTACGACAGGAAGCTGAAGCAGTACCGAGACAGTCTGGAAGACATCGACGCCGCCCTGGTAGAAGGTTTGTCCAAACGACGGCGACATGAGGGTGGGGCCGAGACGGTTAAGACAGAACTGGACATGCTCAACCGGCGATATATAGATATGGTCAAGTGGACCAACAACCGGCTCAAGGAGATCACTGCCAGATTGTCCGGATCCAACGAGGATATACAGGTACTACTAGTCAAAAAGTCCCCTGAAGGAATATCTTCCTTAAATCTGTAAAACCTTTATCATAGATATTGTGTCATTAGATCACAGTGTCCTTGTAAGTTATCTGATAGATGTGCCTGATTTGATGTAGTACCAACTTTCAACATTTGATACCATCATTTCTTTCTTTTTGAAAAATATAAAAATTTGTGCATCACACTACTTTTTTGAAGAAATTTTAAACAGTAATTGTGAAACAGACATTAATTCAGAACCTCTCTGTACCGATTCATATTTTGACACAGAGCCATCTCCTCTTGCTATCCATAGACATATTATGTTTTAACAAATACACTTTTGGTCAGTTCCAGATGGTGATTGATGAGGATATTCCGTTACTTCGTACATTCCGGGCAGAGCTTGCCAAACGCTCCTCCATGTTAGTTGATGAGGACATGCAGGGTTTCTTTGAGCAGCTCTCCGAGTTTGAAGGCTATGCTAGCCAGCCAGGGCAAGGATACAGTGGTCCAGCTAAGACCTTTGTCAGCAAAGTGACGATGCATGCACAAAGCACCCATGAACAGCCTCCGGCTACCCTGACACCAGGCATCCGGGTAACCAAGATGATGGATACCATGGAGAAACCTGTGACAGCAGCTGTTGTTCCACAGGTTCAAATGAGAATGGTGTCACCACCCCCCTCCGACGCCGGAAAGAGGCTCTCGCAGAAGGTGGCTAGCATCACTAGCATAACTGCTCTTGGCAACGTCAGTGAAATTGATGGCAAGTTCCCACAGGCTTCTCAAACACTTGTGACTTTAAAACTGGAAAATTTGGCCCCCAAAGGGACCACTGTGTTTGTGTCGGCCATCTTGAATCCCAAAACTGGCCGTAAATTGAACATGGTGGAAGCTATAAAGACAGGATTGTTTGATCCAAAAACAGGATATTTCATGGATCCTATCACCAGTCGTCGGATACAATTCCTTGAAGCATGTGATCGAGGCTACATTTCCTCAGAGCTACAGCGGGAGTTAAAGTCCCCATGTGGTATACCTGACCCACGCACCGGCCGTCAGTTATCTCTGATGGATGCCATACAGAAAGGATACTTCGATCCTGTAAAACTTACATTTAGAGACCCCTCTACGGGGCTACACATTCCAGTCCATGAGGCCCTTTCCAGGGGAATAATCTCAGATGAAACAGCTAAGAAGTTGTGTGGGGATGGCTACGCCGTGACAACTATCACACAGTCTCAGGCTATATTTGGAGACAGGAAACTGTCTTCACTGGAAACAACAATTGGCCTTGCTGAGGCAGTAGAAAAAGGACTGTATGACCACTCGACAGGAAAGATCCTTGACCCACTCTCTGGAAACCACATGACTATTCTAGAGGCTGTGGAGAAGGGCTTCATCAGTCCTTCCAAGAAAGAGATCAAAGATCCATCCAGTGGAGAATATGTCACATTGATCGAGGCTGTGTCCAAGGGCCTGATTGATCCAGAGTCAGGCCAATGCATTGAAAAGACAACCGGGAAGAGAATTCCATTAGATGAAGCATTCCAGCAACAAATACTGAACAAGCCATTAACACTATCAAAGGCTCTGGCTGACGGAACCATCACCGACAAGGGATATTTTGTCGATCCCCAATCTGGCAAGGTCATGGCCTTCTCGGATGCTGTTGACAATGGTCTCCTTGACGACAGTGTGAAGTGTATTGTTGACCCTACTAACAACGACGTCCTGTCTCTGTCAGAGGCAATAGAGCGGGGCGTTATTGACTCCAGGGGTCTGTACGTACCCCCAGGGGCAGCACCTCCCACGCCCATAGGTCAAGCTCTCGAGGAGGGACACATCAAACTTGTAAGTGAAGAAGTTGTGTTTGCAAAACCAAGTGTAAAGGACTCGCTCACAGGAAAGACTTTGACTCTTGCTGAAGCCCTAAAGCAAGGTGTCATCACAAGTGGTGGTGAATTTGTTGATACTCGGTCTGGACGTCGTGTGTTGTTACGAGCTGCCGGTAGTCAAGGCTTTGTTGTAAAAGACACGGTAGAGAAATTGACACAAGAAACATCAATCAAGGACCTATCAGGGAAGAATGTGACAATGCTGAAGGCTGTTCAGATGGGACTCATTAGTCCAACAACAGGGGAAATCAGGAACTTGGCCACCGGTGATGTGATGCCACTACAACAGGCCACTATGGAGGGTCTATTGTCTGCGGAGGATGCTCAAACAGTGATAGAACTTCTCAGCCCTGTTGTCATCTACACTGCACTCACCACAAATCAAAAATCTGTAAAGGACAAGGAGGAGCCACCCATGGAGCCCATCACTGTGTCAGAGGCGTTAGATCAGGGCCTGCTTGACGAGGATTCACAGACTTTCAGACATCCAAGGACAGGCAAGACAATGCCTGTTGAGGATGCTATTGAACAGGGGTTGTTGAAACTGTCATCTGAATGGCCACGACCAACATTGGTGTCAGAGACTAAAGACGATGCTGACCGCTGGCTGGAGGAGGTCGTCACTAAGATGTCTCCAGTATCTCCTGGTCAGTCTGCTACAGTAGATTCCAAACTGACCAAAGATGATGAGGGGTTCTCTTTCACCACAACGACCATCTCCCGACCTGCCATCACTGAGAACCTGGTGTCCGAAACAAACTACATCAAAATACAGAGCGTTACTGACCCTCGCACCAAGGAGAGATTGTCACCACAAGAAGCGGCAACACGTGGACTTATAAATGTAGCACAGGGGTGCTTCATCCATCCAGCCACAGGCAAGAAGTTCACAGTGAAGGAGGCCATGGACCGAGGGTTCTTGACAGGCATGGAGGTGGATACACCTACAGATCAGGCAGTCAAAGCGGTCCGGTCTTTCTCTATCACAGGTGTCATTGATCCCAACACAGGTGATAAAATATCAGTCTCCCAGGCGGTCAAGGATGGAATACTTGACAGAGAGCGAGGTCAGTATGTGAGTCGAGACGGACTGGGTCGTGAGGTGCTCCTCCCCATCAGTCAGGCAGTGGAGAAGGGCCTCGTTCTGGCAGATGATGTCAGTGTGTCACCTGCAGCACCACTACAGGGTCTTAAACGTGAGACAAGGTCCTATCAGCTCAAGAGTGTAAAACACCCGATTACTGGAAAAAACATATCTGTCTTGGATGCAGTGCAGGAAGGAATACTAGATGAGCATAATGGTGTATACATAAACACATCCACGGGTGAAAAGCTACGTATCCCAGAGGCTATCGAACAGAAGCTCATAGACGCTGAATTGTCGTCCATCACTTCCAGCGATGGCGTAGACGGCAGTAAGGTGGTCACAACTAAACTGACAACCCTGAAGGTGTCGTGGGTAGTAGATCCTAGAACCAGTGCTACCATATCCGTGGCAAAGGCTGTCGAAGAGGGGATTGTCAACCAGCATAACGGCACATATATTAATATTGTCACAGGTGAAGTCATGTCTATGAATGATGCCATAGAGAAAAAGCTGGCTATAGCAACTGCTTCAGGCGTTGAATCATCTGGCAGCTCTGACATTCACAGTATTCACATCACAGAGGAGCTTGAGGCTATGGAGGCAACACTGGTGGAAGACATCACGGCAGAGACAGTGACCTTGAGCATTAGCAGTGTGGTTGACCCCATCACCATGGAGATGTTGTCATATGATGATGCTGTCATAAGTGGAGTTCTTGACCTCAATAAGGGCTTGTATGTCAATCCAAGGTCAGGTGAAGTTATTCCGATCAACAGCGCGCTCAACAAAGGACTCATACATGCTGATGTGACTGGTCAAAAAGTTGAGGAGGATATCTTCCACAGCTCTGTACAGGCAGGAAGTGGGGGATTTTCCCTCAAACATGTCGCATCAATCAGAGACGCAAAAACTGGACTGGAGATGTCGCCTTTCAAGGCTGTACAGCAAGGCCTCATTGATATAGAGAAAGGAACGTTCCTGGACACAAAAACCTGCATGAGGATTCCTTTAGAGGATGCATTCAAACAGGGGTTCTTTTCCATGTCCAAGGCCACTGATGCTGACGAAATCACCCGACTCATGAACGAATCACAAGAGGAGGTATCTCCACCTGTGATATCAGAAAATGGATTCACACCAAATGTAGTAGAGATGAAATTGGAAAGGTCTGGAATGCAAGATAGCGACAAACAAAAGTCTGATGTAGCTGATGAGATCCTCAACTACACAACAGATGTAGAACAAAGCTTCGAGATGGATACTGAAGATTTTCCAGATTCTCACAGGAATGGACAGCTGACACTGGGCACCAAACAGACAACCAAGATGGGGGCTGATGTCCGCGGAGTGAATGTGAACACTGTTGCCTTCCCACAGGGATTGTCCTACTGTGAGGCAGTCAATGTCGGTCTGGTAGACCCTACATCTGGAAAGGTCCGAGATCCCAGGAGTGGAAATCTGATTTCTTTGCAGGAAGCAATGGAACAAGGTATCATCAACCCACTGAAGCCGGCCATGGTCAGCATTGTCGGCAACAACACCCTGACACTGCAGGATGCATTCAAACAAGGGCTTGTTGATCCAGGTACCGGACGGGTCAACTACCAGAAGAGCAAAACTGATCAGTTCCAGATCAGCCCTAACCTTCCTACTCAGTTCTCGTCTCCGGGGCCTCTCAATCTGTTGGATGCTTTAAAGGCCGGACTTTACAATCCAGCCAGCCAGAAGTTTCTGGAACCATTGTCAGGAGACACCATGTCTATACAAGAGGCAGTCAACCGTAACGTGCTGAACGGAAACATGGTGACAGTCAAAGATATGTCATCAGGACGCCGTATTTCACTCAAGCTGGCCCTTAGCAAGGGTCTCATTGACGGAGCTACTGCTACTGTAACAGACACAGCCACTGGGGAAGTGATGTCATTGGAAGAGGCAGTAAAGCGTGGATTGATTCAGAATTCTGTAAATGAAGAGGAGGGTACTGTGTATGACACAGTGACCGGAGAAGGTATTCCCCTGAACAAGGCCATTACAGATGGACAATTACGTGCAGAAGACGTCACCATCTTAGATACAACAACTGGTGAGATGGTGTCCATGGACGTTGCCTTCAGGAAAGGTCTGATTGACAGGAGGACAGGCAGTGTCAAGGACAAGCAGACCGGACAAAAGATGACTGCTCAGGAGGCTGTAAAGCTGGGGCTCATGGCAGTAGTTGGAGCTCCAGTTCTGGCAGGAAAGGCTGTTTTTGATGCAGTGAAAGGTAGGAAAGGACAGACGTGGACTGAAGATACGAGTCATACAGGACAAACATGGAAGATGGACGTCTCACCAACAAGGGACACGTTTCAGAAACGGACATTGTCAAGTTCCTCTAGTTCTCCTCAAAGGTCACCTGTGAAGGACCCCAGTGACCGTTTTGGATCGCCGACTAAAGACAAAGACCATTCACCTGTGAAAGATACAAAGGACCGTTATGGATCGCCAATAAAAGTCCAAGACAAATCACCTATGAGGGACAATGGATTTAGTGTGAATGGAAATGGTCTTCATGATGATGACATTCAACAACCACTGACTACCATTGTCTATGCTAAACCAACAGACCGAATTAAGGTCTCTCAGCCCCAGAGACAGACTGATCGATTGGACTCTCCAGATGACCGTAGCCCAAGCCCGGCCTATGGTTTTATGGTAAGTGAGGATCAGGAGAAGAAAACTGATTCCTCTTCTGTGTACAAACAGCGTGATGAGACTGATGTTTCTGCGTCTTTAACGTCTCATGGAGACATTTCCTCTTCTCTTTGGGGGCCCCAATCTGTGTCAAGTGTGAGTTTATCTTCCCTTTCATCCCCTTCCACCTCAAATGCCCCGGATGTGGTTACCAGGCCTTCCCAACAATTGCATGGGGCTGACCCTCAAGGTCCTTTTATCTCTGGTACCAGGGTGTTTGTTAAGTCCAGTGATCCTCCGTCAGCTGATAAGGTTCCTACTCCTCCCCTATCTCCAATAACTGTCCAATATTCCACCTCCTCAGTAATGACCAAAGATGACCTCACTGTTGACTGGACAGCAGGAAAGGTCATCATCTCGAAAACGGGGGAAGTTATGAATGTTCCTGAGGCTGTACAAAGGGGTTTATTAGACTCGGACACAGTTGAGAAATTGGCCGAGAAAGCGGCGTTGGAGTCTAAGACTCCCGAAATAGATATAAACTGGGAGGATGGTACGATCACTGTTAGGGACACCCAGGAAAAGATTTCTCTGATGGAAGCAAAGTCCCGTGGCTACTTAGACTTACAAACATCTATGACATTGAAAACTGTGATTGAGAAAATGGAGGAAATTACAACAGAGGAGACAAAGCAAATTGTACCTGTCATTGTAAAGAAACCAATTGGTACAAAAGTACAGGAAACCACAGTTGTACGTAAAACCAAGAAAGTAGTCGAAGGAAACGAACCTCCCGAATATGTATCTCCAGACGCTATGGTAGAAGGATTCTTGAGTCTTAACGATATAATAAGGGTTGAAAAAAACGTGACCGATTCAGGTAGCATATTTGTCCAGGGCTACAACTATCCCATATCTGTACGTAGAGCTATAGACGAACATTTAATTGACATAGACAGTTCCTGTATAGTTGATCCCCAAACTGGAAAGCTTCTTAATTTGAACGAGGCCATTCGTATGAAGGTATTTGACCCCTTGACTGGGAAGCTAACCCATCTAGGGACAGGGGAAACAATCACACTTAAGGAAGCATTCCTGGAGGGTCTAATTCCACAACCGGGTTACAGTGTGACATTTCACACGGAGACGGAGACAGATGTTGGGGAACAGCTGAGCACTTCGCTTTCTCTGTTAGAAGCGGTGGAGCACCACCTAGTGGACCAGAACAGTGGAACTTACACGCACCCACAAACAGGTGAGATCATGTCCCTTGCCGCCGCCATACAGTACGGCTACATAGACTCTGTTGACAGTCACCACAACGTCAAATGGTCGGAGTCACATGTTGACAGGAAGGAGGAGAAGATCATAGAAGAAACAAGAGTCCAGCTTAAACCAATTGCTCTAAAACCTAGCACGCTGAAGACTTTCTCTACTGCTCCATCAGTACAGGAGACAACACAGTTTGCCAAGACTGCTCAGATTGAGGAGACAAGGAGTTTTACAGAAGCCATGCAGGTTGAACAAAACATGACGGAATCCAGATTTGATACACGTACAGATTCTCAATTTGACAGTTCCACATCCAGTGTACACAGACTAGATGCTTTAAGAGACCAGCTTATGAACACATCCCAGCAAGACAGGGTGGTTCAGGAGGTACAGCAGGTGAGCCTCAGTTCTGCCATAGAGATGGGCTATTTCAGTGAAGAGAGTGGTATGTTCACTGAACCACGAACCAGGCAGGAAATGACCTTAGATGAGGCAATCAAGCGTGGACACATCGATGGCAACAGCTTGATGGTTGATATCAAGACAGATGAGAGACTAACCCTACAGGAGGGTATCCAGACAGGAAGGATCGATCCCATTCAGGGAAAGGTTGTTGATAAGGATTCCCAGTCTAAATTTTCCCTGAAGGATGCTGCCAAGTTCGGACTCCTAGCGGTTGCTGGAGCTCCGGCTTTGGCCATCATGAAGGCGACGGGGTCATTGGGCCGGAAAACTAAAAAGGAAAAGTCCCCAACTTATGACAGTTCTTCAGCTGTTGAACCGATATCCCCAACTACTGAAATACCTATAAAGAAGACACCACCTAAACCTCTGCCCAAACCTGTAGATATTTCTAAAGGTGTTCCAGTCAATTTACAGTCGACGACTGTGAATGTAGTAAGCCCAACCACATTGGAAATAAAAGATACAATTCATGCACAGCACTTTGACAGTCTGCCTCGTAAGAAGGACGTTAAAACCGAGTCTGTAGAAAAGGTTACAAGAAAGGTTAATGTAGAAGGTGTGCGTGACTCTGCAGCAGGTGTTGAAGTACCGCTTACGACAGCTCTAGACAGGGGGATCATCAACCAACAGGAAGGTACATACACTAACAGTTTGACTGGACAGACCTTCACTTTGACCGAAGCCCTTGACCTTGGTTACATACAGGGCAAAGTTGTTGACACAATATCAACCAAGGAGCAAACCACGAAGGAAGGCTTCCAAGCAGACGTCACATTCCACGAGAAGAAGAGACTGTCAATTGTAGCAGTGACCGATTCTTTAACTGGTGAGAAACTATCGCTGCCCGAGGCCGTTGTTCGTGGCATAGTGGACAAAGAAGGTCGTACTTACTACCATAAGGAAACAGGGAAGCGGATTCCCATTCTTGATGCTGTACAGGAACATCTTGTGGTTGCTAGGGATGTTGACTCACAGATGAAAACAGACGAAACATTTCAGACCTCAAAGCAAGACATTATCACACAGACAAAGTCGTTGAAAGTCCACACTGTTGTAGACCCAGCCACACAGGAGAGAATGAGCCTCCCAGAGGCTGTGAGGAAGGATGTCCTTGACCTGAAGGTTGGGATATTGAAGAATGTACGTACGGGTGAGGAGATACCACTGAGTGAAGGTCTCAGACAAGGCTTAGTCCAGGGGGATGATGTTGCTGGCTTTACTTCCATCAAAGGTTCTGAAGTATATGAGCAGACAGCTGAAACTTTACATCTAAAATCGGCATTTGACAGTGAGACTGGACAATTTATTCCTATAAAATTAGCCATAGAGAAAGGTATCATTGACAGTCATTATGGAAAATTCAGGAAACCTAATGGAGAGATCATTCCTGTTTCCAAGGCAGTGAAGGAAGGGCTCATCAAAGCAGAATCCAAGCGCCCAATGTCTCCAATGTCTCCTAGAACAACAGGTGTCACATTTGAAAAGAAATCAGTGAATATTCAGTCAGTGCATGACCCAGTCTCCGGACAGGACATTCCGGTGGTAGATGCCGTTGACAGAGGAATTCTTAACTTACAGACAGGTGTGTTTTTCAACTGTCGTACAGGAGAGAGGATGAGTATTCCTGAGGCTATAGCTAAGGGGTCCATCAAAGCTGAGAGTTATCCTTCAGAAATAGGACCAATGGGCACAACATTTACTGTGGATGTAGGATCTAAATCATTGACACTTCTGTCTGTGACGGATCCCAGGACTGGTGAAAAGATGCCTGTATCCAAGGCCCAAAGACGTGGGCTGGTGTCCGATGACCTCAAGACTTATCATGATCCCTCTGGACCTGTGATGGATATCTCAGATGCAGTGAAGCAGGGGCTGGTAGAAGCTGGTACTCAAGAGGCAATACCAGTTCTTACCTCCGTCACTAGAGAGTCTGTCACGGTCCAGTGCCTGATAGATCCAGTCACACAAACGGAGATCCCAGTACATGTTGCCATACAGAAAGGGTTGTTTGAACCAGAGAGAGGTTTAGTTACAAACCTTCGAACTGGCGACAAAATGTCTGTCGAAGATGGTGTGAGGAAAGGCCTGGTCAAGGTTGATTCCTCAAAGGTTAAAGAAAAGACAGATGACCTTGTGGTAATCAAGGATGTAATTGTCACTAAGGTCAAGGATCCTATGACTGGACGTGACCTCAAGGTCAAGGAGGCTGTCAGAAAGGGCATTCTTGACAAGGATAAAGGGTTGTATTATGACCCTCATACTGGGGCATCCATGCCAATTGAGGAAGCTCTGAAGAGCCACCTGGTGGAGGGAAGTCATATGTCACAGAGTCAGCTGGTTGACAAAAAGACAAAGGATATGAAGCAAATCAACATCACCATGGTGCTTGATCCTGAGTCTGGTAGGGAAATCTCTGTCAATGAGGCGATTGAACGTGGAATTGTTGACCAAGATATGACTACATATTATGACAGGAAGCTGGGTAAGAGCATCAAGATGGAGGACGCTTTTCAAAATGGCCAAGTTTCTGGAGTTGTACAGACTATCACCACAACACAGACAAAGGTAAAATCTAACCGACCTGGTTCCACCTACAACATCAGAAGTGTCATGGATACTGCTTCAGGGAAAATGCTGAATGTAGCTGATGCAGTCAACAGAGGCATACTTGATGAGAAAGGAAACTTTGTTGACACAAGTAAGGGAGAGGTTATCCCGGTCTCAAAGGCGATGAAGAAAGGCCTTGTCAGTGCTGATGAGGTAGTGGCTACTAGTCCGGGAAGTAAAACTGACCATCGAGGTGTCAGATTGAGGGACGCCCTGAGGTACGGCTACATTGACATTCCTACGGGCATTTACACTGAACCTACAAAGGGCAAGATGTACACCATCGATGAGGCCATTAGAAATGGTCATCTGACAGCAGATGACAAACGCCCATATCGTTATTCCGGGCCAAAATATGACAATACCACTCACAGTTTCCAGCACGCTCTGCAGACAGGCCTCCTGGATCCCAAGACAGCGATGTTCGATGAGAAATTATCAGGAAAATACTTATCGGTGGAAGAAGCTCTTAAGCATCGATACCTGTCACCTATAGCAGGCAGGGTAGGGGGTCAAGGTGACTCAGTTATTATTCTGAAGGGGGCAGAAGTGTCTCCGGTCATGTCTGAGGGGATTCTGTATACTGACTTTGTTGATCCCAAAACTGGTGAAGAAATTGACACAAAAGAGGCTACCAAAAGGGGACTGGTTAGCGTGGTCAGTGTCCAACAACCAATCACGGTAAGCGATGCTATCCGAACAGGGTTGGTGGACAGTGACACTGGTGTGTACCATGATCCCAAGTCTGGCGACAAACTGTCCGTGGATGAGGCAGTCATCTGCGGGTTCCTGAACATGGACAAACCTGAGATACTGGAGGATGTGCACCTTCCACATAGTGAAGAACTCCCAGTGTCACTGACTGAAGCCATCAGAAAAGGGGCTCTCAACGTGACTAATGCTGAATTCACAGAACCGCACACCCAACAGACTGTGTCGCTACAAAAGGCTATTCAGCTTGGATATCTACAACCAAAACTGACAAGTAATGATGACATTGATGATGTAACAAATGACAGCAGTGGAAGTAGTAAAACGGATGACAGTTTTGATGGTAAGACAGAGGACAGCATGGATGGTAAGACTGATAACTCTGTCATTGATGACCTGCCTCGCGAGGTTGAGGCAGAGAAATACACAGTTGTCCTTGAGGGATCACCATTTTCTCCCAAGGTAGGGGTGGTTGTAGACCAGGATGGTGGTGTGGTTTCACGCACGGCAACCGAGGTGCAGATTAAAACAGGCACTGCTGTATATGTCACCAAGCCTGGCTTTATTGTCGAGTCTAGTGGGCGGGTACGCAACACCTCGACGGGTGATGTGATGACATTCCAAGAGGCTGTCGATGCAGGACTGGTGGAGGCTGAGAGTGTCGAGGGCAGCAGTGAAGTTCAGGTAACAGGCGGCACCATCCCACCAGGCCTTGAAGGTGACTCTTCCTCCGGATCCTCCCTGACTACATCCCTGACTACTTCTGATGGGGTAAGTATCCTCCTCCACCACCTCCTTGCTAGTCCCCTTCTCAAGGACACTCCCCCTTGCCCTGTGTGTCCTCACAGGTCCTCCCACTGCACTCACTGTGTAATGGTGCTGTGTGCAAAGGGATGTGCGGTCACCATTGACGTACATGTCTACACAATGGGGATGGTTGTTGTTTTGCACACTGCACCAGTTTCATTTTAGCTGTAGTGTTCACCAAAAAGATCAGTGTGTAAATGGTAGGTTAAGTGATACGTGACTAGTAAAAGGTTAAATTGTAAATATGTTTGTTATTATGAAAACCGTTTTACAGGACTCGGAGACAAAGATGTCTAACCAAGTGGACGGCTCAACATCTCTCCATCGTGATTCAAGTGGTAACCATGGGATCGGTGATGAAGGACAGGGACCCCATACAATGACCTTGACCCAGATTATGCAGCAAGGCCTTTTTAATCCCTGCAGTGGATTATTTCATGACCCAGTTTCCGGAAATAACTTTTCTCTCGGTGCGGCCATTAAACATGGTTTGATCGATGCCAAGAAATCTTTATTCAAGCTTCCTCAGACAGGGGAGATAATCGATCTACAAGAAGCAATTCAAAGTGGCGCTGTCAACAGTAAAACCGGCAATGTGTTTGATTATGTCAAAGGCGAGGAAATTCCATTGCATGTGGCTGTGCGACGTAAACTTGTCTCAGATGATTCAGAAATTGTGTCTGGTCGGTCGTTTTCTATTAACACTACCGACGACCCACTTACATTCCAGGATAGGATAAAGGGAGGTAAGCTATCGTTCCCGCTTAATGTGACTGAAACTAATTTTGAGGAAACAATATCCATCCGTGATAAAAAGTCTGGATCAGTAGTAAGTTTGAAAGATGCTAGGAAGAACAGCATTGTTAAGTTTATAGAGAGTGATTTATCCAGTACAAAAGTAGGAATGAAGGGCTGTTTCGTTAAGGACACATTTAATGACAAGTGGCTATCCTGGGATAAAGCCTGTGATGCTGGCCTTGTTGGAAATCTAGACATCACTTCAGAAAATTCTGCTAACCGCCGTGACTCCAAGCAGATCAAAAGAGTCACATGGTCATCTTTCAATGACAAAAAGAGGGAAAGTTGCGATGCTAAGAAAGAGGAAGACGATGATAGTGGGAAAGACCCGTCTGAGTCAGAATTGGATATGGAAATTGCAGCAGCACTCAAAGCAAAGAATAAAAGAAAACATTCCATAGAATTGTGTTCGATGTCGGATTTACCAGTGACATTAGACGACGTCATAGATAATGGTCTCTATGACCCGGTCACCAACACAGTATGTGATGTCAGCACTGATGAATCTGTTGCATTTGTGGATGCTATTGAGCGAGGTCTGGTTCATAAAGCCTCTTTGATTCGTGATCCTGTGAGCAAAGACATTTTAACATTAGAGGAGGCTATAGATAAACGTATCATTGACCCTCTTTCAGGGAGAATGATGTTGTCGTCAGGGTTACCAATCGCATTAAACTTCGCTGTCAACAGGGGCTTGGTAGTGAAATGTAAATCTCCATTCTCTCTCTCACTTTCGGAAGCCATTGAGGAGGGACTTTTCGACATAACTACAGGGATGATGCTAAACCCAGACACAGAGGAAAAAATGGGGTTCTCCCAGGCCATATTCTCTGGAATGTTGGATTGTAGTATCATTAAGGTACGGGACGTGGACAGTGGTGAGGTTCTGGGATTTCAGGAGGCCGTTGAGAGAGATCTGCTAAATCTAGCGACGGGGATGTGTTACGATACCTCCAGTGGGGATACCCTTTCTCTCATAGAGAGTATTGAAAGGGGCATTCTTATAGACCTGACAAATCAGCCGAAATATAGTCTCCTGGAGGTCGTTGATGACTGTCTCGTGGATGACGAAGGTAAATTCCATGATCCATCAACAGGGTACGCAGTCTCGTTAATAAGTGCTATAGACTCGAGTCTCCTCGACCGTGACTGTGTTCTTGTCCGGGATTTAGAGAGTCAAACTCTGGTAACATTAGACGGAGCTATAAATGAGGGCATTGTGAACTCCCTCACAGGAACATACTCATGTGGCAAAACTAACTGTGATTTCAACACAGCCGTGTCAAAAGGTTTACTCATACAAAATCTCGGCAGTACAGATTTAAATCTGATTGATGCAATTCATGAAGGAGTTTACAATGTGACTCGTCAAAATTTCATGGATCCAAGGAACGGAGAAGTGAAGTCCTTCAAGGAAGCTCTGGAGTCAAAGCTTGTACGCTGTGATGATATTGTGATAAAAAATTCAAAGTCTGAAGAATATCTGACATTTGAGGAAGCAGTGTCGAGAAAACTCCTGGACTTGGAAGAATGTCAAGTATTTGATCCTCTAGAGGATGAATGGTTAGATTTGAAGACAGCACTAGCTCATGGGCTTCTCAGACAGACCATGGGAGAACCAGCTAAAGGCCTTGTTACCATAGTGACTGATGGCACGTACGACCCTGAACTACAGAGGGTCAAGGACAAAACCTCTCAAATGTGCGTCGATGTGGAAGATGCTATTTCTATAGGTATTGTTGATCCTTCTCATACATTTGTTCGTGATAATGCTCGTAACCAATTCATTCCACTCTCAGAGGCGATTAATTATCACTTGATGGATAAATACTCTGGAAAGGTGACAGACACAAAGACATTTGAGAAATTAGATTTGTGTACAGCGGTGGAGAAAAAGTTGGTGGTAGAGATGCCGGAGAAGGGGTTTACACTGGTAGATATCGTAAGTAATGAACTGTACAGCAAAGAAAAACAAACCATCCTACACCCAAGGACATGTGCAAGGATGTCGCTTCAGGAAGCAATTTCGTGTAAACTTGTGGATGGCTCTCAACCACAAGTTCTTGTGGCAGAACGGGGAATTTTTAGCCCAAAAGAAGCAATAGCAAAGAAAATATTGGATGCCTCAACTGGAGCCTATCTAGAGCATACTCCACTACCTGAGGCTGTGGCTAAAGGATTTGTTTTTAAATCAGAACAGAAAGGATATCAGCCATTTTTGACAGAAATTGCCGATATTCTGAAAGATTCTGATTTCACTTCGTTGACATCTGCTAAACAAATCAATGACTCAAGTCTCGGAGGTCAGAGTGAATATTCTCGAAGATCAAACTATGGAAAGCCTTTCTTTGGAATTCAGAGAGCAGTTGAGGAGGGTATTTTCGAAAAGCACAGATGCACATTTTATGACCTCAGGATTAAGTCCTCGGTTACTATGGCAGATGCATTAAAGACTTTTCTTATCCATGGCACAAGGTCTAGGGTCATGAACCCAGACACTCAGAAGTATATATCTCTCAGTGAGGCTGTGGATAAAGGAATTGTCAGTGGCAAGACTGGGTCTATCCTGGACAGGCAAAACATGAAGAGCATTCCACTAGAAAAAGCGGTTGAGGAAAACTTAGTTGTGGATGTGCCGTTCACACGAGTTACTCTTGATGAGGCCGTGTCGTACGGCTTACTGAATACAAATGTTCTGAAAATGCAGAGCATGATCTGTGACGAGAGGGTTTCGTTGGCTGATGCTCTTGATAAGGGTCTGATCGACACGGAGGATTCACTTGTCAAGGATGTTGACAAGGACATTGTGATGACCTTGAAAAAGGCAGTTGACTGTGGCCTATTTAACACAACAACGGCATGTGTTGTTTGTGACTCGGGACGTATTGTCAGCCTTATGGACGCACTAAATGAAGGTCTTATCCTCAACGGTCGAAGTCTGTGTAATTTTCCAAGACTTCCACATTTGAGAAAACGGACCTTACAACTCGATTCCTTATCTAATAGTGTGGAGATTGCCTCCAAGCAACCCAAACATTCCAGTGACAGCTCCGGCATTGACATGCAGGAGAACGATGATGTGCTTGACCTGATGGATCAGAATATAGAAGCCATCAGTTTCGGTGAGGCACTCAGAAGAAACTATTTAGATAAAGAAACGGGTAATTTTCGTTTGTCTGATAGTGAAACTCCTGTTCCTCTGAAGGATGCTATTAGCCAAGGGCTGATCAATGTTTCTGGTGTTACATTCCACGATAGAATTACTGACCAGAGTCTTTCTCTCAAACTGGCCTTGGAGGTGGGCTTACTGGATTCCAGTACACAGACCTCGAGAAGAAATTCCAGACATGGAATAACCTTCAGTGAGGCTGTCCAGGGAGGGCTGCTGACGGAGAAAATGCAGGTCAACCTTGACAATTCAGAAACCTCCGACCCCAGAAAACAGAAGAAATCATTTGCGGAAAAGTTATCTAAAGAAATTGATATCATAAAAACTGCAAAAAACATGTCATCCTCCTTAGATTCCTTATTACAAGTTGTCAAAGACGACCAGGGAACCTATCGTCTCGGCACATTGCACCGTATACTAAAGAAGGGAATGCTTAATCCAAGTACAGGACTGATGGATGATCTTATAACTGGTCAGCCACTGACCATACAGGATGCTGTCCAGAATAACCTTATTAATATGCGAGCAAGAGAGATCGTAGATCCACGGACTAGGGAGCTCCTGACACTACAGGAAGCTATCAGCCTCAGGGTAGTGGACCCTGTAAGAGGTTGTTACAACGACACTGTCCATCAGACGTCAATGTCGCTCAAAGAAGCAATGGAGCTAAGCCTTATCATAGAGGGCTTGGCCGAAGCTCCCCAGCCAAAGAGTTCCGTGGAAATTTATGTTGAAGAAATTCTTACCAATGAACAGAACAAAGGTAAAGCCAAATTACAGGATGCGTTTTCATCTGGTGTCTTGCATCGCTCAAATTCCTCCGTTATTGATCCGGACACAGTTCAACCAATTACATTAAAGCGTGCTGCAAGTCTTGGAATGATTGACATGAGTACTGGTGAATTCAAAAACCCCCAAACAGGTGAGAGCATATCTCTGAGCGATGCTGTGGAGAAGGGATTCATCTTGAGTCCCAAGGGTCTGACACTGTACAGTGCTGTGAACCAGGGACTCTACAGTGATAAGAACTGTCAGTTCGTGGACCCGGGTACAGGGAAGGAGCACACTCTGAAGGAGATGATTGACATGGAAATCATAACGCCCATGTGTCTGGAGATACGTGATCTCACACAGAAGGGAATCGTCGTCACACTGCAGACAGCCATCGACAGGAAAACCATAGAGCAGATAAAAAATGTGTACGTGAATTTGGTGAATAATCAGGTATACAACTTCAACGAGGCCATCGCTGCAGGCCTCATCATCAGTAACAGTCCACGAGAGGGGCTGCGTGAGAGCAACAACAGCCAGAATGTCATGGCCGCCTCAGGTGCGCACACCATGGAGTCGGTAAGGTACCGCCACTTAGCTGAGAATGCATATGGTCCTGTCCTCACGCGCCCATTCTCTATGGGCAGTCGTTCTCGAAACAGCAGTTCGTCTGATTTGACAACTGATTCATCGAGCACGGACAGGAAGGATCCTCATACATGGATGATGCCACTTACCTCTGAAATGATCCGTCAGATGATTGTAAATGCTAAGCATAAGAAGGATGCAGCAGCTCAGAGGAATGATAACACAGACAAGAACAGTAAATCTGAGGACGAGTGCGACGCTGGTTCAATGACGCCGACCATGGATGAAGACATAGATGCAGAACAAAATTTGAGTATGCAAGAAAACAACAATGACAAAAACAGAGCTGAAAAAAGCTCAAATCCATCGACACCAACTACACCACAGGTCACTGAGATACCATGGCAACATGAGGTCAAGGTCATAGAAGAGGTCAGAGTCAAACCAGCCATGGCAGGACTACGGAAGGTAGGAACATTGATTCCTGCATGAGTCGCCTGCCTACTTTGGTCATGTCGAGAGATCCCTGCCTGATTTTCCACTTCTGTGTCTTGTCATATAACGCCAACCTGAATGAGAACGACTCTAACTTGCAATGCAACGCCTTCCCGATTGAGAACGTCTGTTTGTTTCCGTCGGGACTGCCTTTACTCACTTCTAGTTTGTACTTAACAAAATATAGATTGTGAAATCTTGACTGTTATGAAAACCTTAATTATCTCGTAACATGGACATTCTCCATTTCAAATAATCTGATACATTTTAAAACAAATTCAACGGAACTGCTAGTAATGATTGTGAAAACAAAAAATTATTGCTCGACCGATTAGTTTTAATTTGTTTAAACATATTTGATTGATCCAATGATTCAAAAAGATTGGACACCAGGTTTTTACAACTTTTAGCAGATTAATGACACCATTATGTGAAATGTGAGAATGTTCGTATATAAATCCTGTAGAAAGGCATGTTTCGATGGACCTATGTTCATACAATAGTTGTGTAGTTTGATGATAACCCTACATTTACTTGCTGCCTTGTTGAACTCACCAAACTGTTTGTTCTACACTCGGCCATTAATGTCGGTAACGTTGGCATGAAAAGTGTGTTTTTGTTTATATCAGATCAGTCCTGTGTTAAATATAAGGAAAGAGAAAGTACATTGAACATAGGTCCATATGCATATAAGATATTTTCAGTTCCAATATTTTGATAAATGCCAACTTCCTATCAATTTTCGTGCTGTACATTCATTTTTCTTAAGGAACTGAAATTCAGATCTCATTTGCATATTAGAAATTCCTGAAGCATGCTTTCAAATGAAAGGACAATATTTATGTAAGGACTAAGCATGGAAATAGAATTTCATCATTCTTGCAAGATCAGCTTATACAGATATTTCATTATCGTTCATTAAAATTAAAAGAAAAAAGGCAGTATTTTTGCATGGAGGAGAAGTTGTATTTCTGTTTTAAAAAGAACATTTGCATCATTATTCCTGTTTTTATTATGTCTTCAAATATCTTATATAATTATCATATGTGCTTGCTTTTTAAATATATTCCAAATTGAATCAAATCATAACCAACCATGCTTTTCCTTACTTTATATATCTCCTTTGTAATAATAAGTCTAATAAGAAAAAATATTGTAATGTTATTTTCATACAGAAGTTGTATTTTTTCCTAAAGAATTAAGTGTATAGAATGCATACAGAAAGTGAGTGTATCAACAGAAAGCTAGCATGTTAATTCAATGTATTTTATTTAAAAAGGAAAAAAGGAAAATTTGATTTTGAAATGTCACTATTTCCAAAAAAAAATCTTAAAAAATCTGTTTTGAAACGTGTGTTTTTCTGATATTTGTCTTACTAACTGTTAATGCAACTAATGAATTTTTTGACTCAATTGAATGTTCTTTATTTTATTTACAACAAAAAGTGAGAATGTCAGGAAATTTTGTGTTAGGGTAAAGTTGAGCTTGTGTATACAGCACATGTGTGGTAGTGGAATACAAGAGTGAACTGTGTTATATGTTACGGGTGTTACACCTGTTTAGACAGCAGGAAACTCTCAAACCGAAATCACTCCGATTACATCTAGCTGTCATTGATCATGTATCAAGTCTGATATATGTGCACACAAAATGTTTTTCATCTGGGTTACAAATTTATTTCCCATGGTTCTTTTAATTTGACCCTGCATATCAAAACTACTTACTTGATTATTCCTGTAACATTTTGACTCTAAAAATCACAAGTTTACTGGCTGATAATTGGATGATGGAACTTCTATTGATTTTGGTTCGAGAGTTTGTTGGTTTAGAGATTAATCAGAAACTACAGCATGATGTTCTTCAATATGTAATCAGAAAATCTTAAGGAAACTGATTGTGGAGGGGGAAAAGGGGCTTTATCAAAGTGAGCTGATAATTTCAGACAATTGTCCAAAAAAATGAATTTAAAAAAATTCCTCACAAATGAAAAAAACTGTTTAAAAAATCTTTATAAATGAATATTTTTTTTAGCTATATGATATATATTTTTTTAAATATTTTTGAAACATATTTTAACTACTTTGGGAATATGAAATATTTTTGGTGTAAATTATCTTGGTATATGATTTTATTGATTTACCAAATGAAAATGTTAGCTCATCGTTTTCTCTCAGATCAAAAATGAGTAATTAAAATGCTGATATGAAGGGGTAATTCAAAATAATGCAAAATTCGAAAAATTTAGATTAAAATATGATTAATATTAATTGAAAATGAAGGTAAGTTTATAAAATTCTAATGCCATTGACATGTGGAGGAAATTTTGTTTCTAGAATTTTCTTGCATAAAAATACATTTTGAAATCTTGTATATTTTGAATTGCCACTTAATGATTTTTTTAACAACTTAACATTGCTTTGCTGTATGTGAATCAGTTTGGAGAAAAAGAGCAAAGTTTTGATTTGAAGAAAAAAAGAACTTTACAAGTTTTAATGTCAAGTTAGTTATGTCCTGCCTGTCTTATTTGAAATGATTTGAAATACATATATACAGAGTGGATTAAACAAACTTGATGAAATTTCAATCCTGATCCATCTGTTAATATGGCTTCAAATGGAATTATTGGCATTTTCCATCCTGACATAATATTTCTAAAACATTCATTTATATCACACACTTCAGTTTTAACATAATTTTAATTGATTTATTAAAGAGTATTTGAAAAGATGCAAAGTGATTAAAATTTACAGATTGTAATGGAGGAGTTATGCCCCTTTTGATTACTCTCCTTCTAACATGGGACATTAAAATTTAGTACAAGTGAAATACAAGTTAAGAATTTAATAATTTTTTTCATTAATAAGAATGATGTGATTAACTTATTGACATCTAATGATTGATTGGAAGTGCATTCAATTAACTACTTATTAATTAATTAATATTATTAATGAATTTACAAAGAGATTTACTTCGAGATTGAATCTTGTCTTAGTTGTTAATTTTACACACTGACCTCTGACCTCACGCATGAAAACAGAATCTTTTACTGATCCGTATACCCTAATGTTTTATTTCTCTCAGAACCAGTTCTCCAGTACTCCATCTTTGTACATTGATATTTTGATCTGCAGCATTCGTATATTGCTGTGAAAAATAATTGAATTGAAAAATAGATTGAGAAATAATATGAAATATATCATAATTTCAAATAATTCATTTTGAAAATGTCATGTTCTATATCATGTTGGTAAAGTAAAGTATCAGATCAGAATCTTTCAACAATTGAATTAAACATTTAACTGATTTTAAAGAAAGTAGATTACATTTATCTATCTAACTTTACAAATGATCTTCATTCTCATGCAAAACTGAAATGGTATCAATCAAATTTCATACTCATATTCTTTTTTCTTTTTGCCTTGTCTATACCCTGCCTGATATTGCACTAAGATATTACACAAGATGCTACATTCCTATTATTTCCAAAGTCTCACTTTCCTAATTTATCATTTTTATAGGAAATTTGATTTTGTTTTTACTTGCTTCATTTTATTGCTCAAGAAAAAAGTCAGAAAGCTTTGATTTGCAGACCAGTACAATGCTTACGTGAAATCGCATTCTTTTCATTTCAGTGGGTTTTGCCTAAACCTTCGCATGGTGGTAGACAATGTGAAGCCTGCCTGCCTGTGCCTGTCAGCTGTTCCCTTCACCCCCCTCCACACTCACCATATCATAGGAATGCTCTGTCAATTAACATGCATCACGTTTTTCTGTCCTCTTTCCTTTTGTGAATCTCATTCTCGTCTTTGTCCATGTATTATCTGTTCTGTCTTTTAGTTTTGCAGTGCATGTAACGTTTTTGTAGTCGGATCTTTTATCGCACCCATCTGTCCTGTGCCGTTCCATGTAAATGTCAGTGTCATGTGATCGTCATGTGATATATATAATGTATGCAAGACTTGTTGGGAATGGATGAATGTCTTGTTTCATCAATAACTCATTTTGAATTTGAATATTTTTTGAATGAACAATTGTTTATTATTTATATGCATCTTGGAAGATTGTTTTTTGTGTATTAAAGTGTTTCAGTCCTTCATCAAACCGTCAACCTTCCCTTTTTTTGTGCATTTTGAAAACAAATTCCCTTGTCTTGCCACTGTAGATGCCAACATACCACTTGATTGATGTAGGGTTGCATATTATTTTTGTACATGGATTATGTTTTAGTTCTGTTTTGTATATATGCCTGCTATATGAATTTGGTCAATAACCTGTCTATATAGTGTAGGATGTTGTACTAAGCACTATTACTTTTATAAATATTAAGTATTGTATATTGTATAATTTTGGTTTTCGTAGCTTGTTGCATTGGGAGAATGTTGTAATAGATCACTTCTGCATCTGATATATATATATTGTACGCTAAATTGGCACTGACATTATCTGCAAATCAAAATTTTACAAAAAATTATATGATTTTGAACTCCATTCCAGTTTTGATTTTATGATTTCTAGATTCTTGAAATAGTTGCCCTGCTGATATTTTAGTTTCATTTTTTTTCTGTCTCTTCAGTTTTGCTTTTGATCGCCATTAGATATTATTGATGCTACTTTCACTTTAGCTATATTTAATCTGGCGTTATCTAACACATTAGAAACTGATGCTACTTTCACTTTAGGTACCTGTATCTTATTCTGAATATTTTCGAACACATGTTGTAACATTGCCATATGTATATCCAACAGGGAAGGTTAGTTGACTCCTACGACAAACTGGCTCAGGATCTGAACAATGAGCTAAACTGGCTCTCAGATGTTGAACAGTTGCTAAGAGATGATCAGCCCATCAATGATGAGGCAAGCAAAGTTCAGGGACAATTAGACGCACAAAAGGTTTGTACAGTATTCCAGCTTAACATCTTTAATTCTTGTAGCAAAATTGTATACAGCATTTCATGTAAGTGTCAAACAAAAAACAAAAAAGATCTACATGTTAGTATTTTTCATACCATACTTTTTGTTCTCCCTTTGATCTTTAAAAACAAATCTGTTTTAAATCAATTTTCTTTGTAAACTTTTCTCAGTGTTATAATTTTTCAATGTTGTTTGAAGTGTTTAACCTCTTTTTGAATATATGAGAGGAAATGGGGTGCCGAAATATTCAGAACATAATGTGTTGCAGATAATTTATGTTCTAGTCTACAGTTAAATCAAAGGTATAAAGGATTAGTGTTCAAAATGCTTAGAAAAAACATTTAGGTAAGAAAGAGTTGTTTGGAATCAGTGAAAGTCAACAGACTTCAGATTACGAAAAACATATGTTGTCTGTCAGTTTGTTACCTATTTGTCTCCCCTTGCAGACTCTCCATGACGATATCCAGAAGCACCAACAGCCAATCCTGTCCCTTGTGTATCAGACTGAGCAGCTCCTTGAGAACCACCAGGAGGAGCTAACTCCTGAACAGGTCACCGAGGTTCAGCAGCTCGTATCCAGTCTCAAGGCTACGTTCGGCAAGGTCAGCCGCCATCTTGGTTTTCTGTCATCAATAGTTCTTGTTTGGAATCCGAACATTTATATTAAAATATTGACACATTTAACTTGTTCACCCCTGAAATTTGATGATGAACTATTCAAACCTTTGAAATGGAAGCGTTCAAATTTGTCTTCAGGGGTGAATGAGTTGAAAAATTAGTAAGGATATTGGCTGACTTTACTTCCATAAAGTTTTATCAATATACTGTTCCTTTGGGATCCTATTTGATTGATAATTGATGTTCAGTTGGAAACAAAAAACTGTGCAACATTTAATGATATTAGGATTGAATCTTAATTTTACATTACAAATTTTGTTTAAATTGTTTTACATCAAATGTATGTTCATTGTAAAAGCGACAGATATAACAGAAAGTGTGAACTCCTATATAAATCCACATTACTGATCCTTGTAGGTCCAGAAAACTGCTGACGGAAGAGTCAAGCATCTGACCACTGCTTGTAACGAGGTTACTAAATTTGAAGAGGAGATGACCAAGTTTAGTGATTGGCTGAGAGAGACCAAGAACGACCTGACCACACACCAGAGGGAGGTCACCAACCTTGACCGTCTGAAAGAGATCAAGGAACACCAGAAGGTGAGCAGAATGTTTGTGGTTGAATGCTGCATCGAACAAAATGGATTTACGGCATGGTGACATTTTCGTAATTTACAGGGCATATATTATATGGGTGATCACGAATACTAAGTCAGTGTAATAATTTGACATACATAAATATCTGTGATATAAAATGCAATGCAGCCTACCATAACAACCATGTTTGTAAGTAATCATAACAGTTTTGGAATTGTAAATAACCCTAATATACCCTGTGACCTTGACCTTTTGTACTCTTTGACCTATTTACCCTCAGTGATTTATTTCTTGTCAACTTTATCTTCCTGAACTTTGAACTCTTACCTATATGTCCCTGAACTTTGAACTCTGTGACCTGTACCTAACTTGTGTTCTTGTTTCCATGGTGACAGGATATGATGAATGACATGATCTCCCACCAGGCAGACATCAGATTTATGTCCATGGCTGTTCAGAAATACATGGAAGAGGCCAAGGTTTGTAGAACGTATATGATACTAATTCACAGGGCTCTGATATTTAGGACTCTGCTTTAAAGTTCTCTGATGCATGGGACTCGATTCAAAAGCTCTGATACACAGGGCTCTGATATACAGGATTCTGATACACAGGGCTCTAATATACAGGACTCTTATTCACAGGGCTATGATATTTAGGATTCTGATTTAAACAGCTCTGATAATTAGAATTCTGATTTAAAAGACTCTGATGTTTAGGATTCTGTTTCAAAAAGCTCTGATTCACAGGGCTCTTATACATAGGCATGTGATTGCACTGATATTGAATCAGATAAATAGCTAGATTAATGTTTAGTAATCATAATTATGTATAATAGAAAGTGAGTTAATTAATATCTGAATTATTTTCTTCCAGCTGCACAAGCTAGAGGTTGATGCATTCAAGGCCAATCGCAGGAAGACCAATCGCCTCAGCTGGCTCGGAATGGAGGGCATGGAGGCAGAACAAGTAGGTGACAAATTAAAAGCAGCAACAACAAGCTATGAAGACCTCAAATCCAAATGTGCATTGTTTGGAGAAAAACTTGGAACACTTTCAACCAAACAACGGAATTTCAATGAGAGTACGTTTAAACTCCTGACTTGGCTAACAGATGTTGAAGAGAAACTGTCCACATCAAAACAAGAGTCAGCTACCACAGAACCAGAGGTTCTACGACAACAGCTCGGGCTAATGCGATCAGCCAGCAGTGACGCCATCTCACATGGAGTACAGCTGGACGATTTAGAGAAGTTATCACATGATTTGATTGACATGTTAAAGGATTTGGCTGTTGATGAAGACCACGTACACAAGCTAGAGGATATCATAGACGATATCTCTGGTCGACACAAGGAAGTGTTGAATGAGGTTAATGAAAGGTCAAACAGCCTCCAGATGGCGCTGACTAAATCCCAGGATGTTGAAGATGCCCTTGACAACCTGTTGTCATGGGTACGTGATACGGACAAAACACTGACCACTCAAAAGCCGGTCAGTCTGATGAGAGACAGGCTGAGCGAACAATACCAGGAACTTAAAACAATAAGTGCCGATGTGGAAAGTCATAAACCAAGCTTAGATTCTGTGAGACATGAGGCAAACGAACTTATCAAAACGTGTGAACTAGATATGGCGAAGTCACTAGAGTCTAAATTGGGAGACCTTGCCAACAAATTTGGAGGTGTCCAGTCTAAGTGTAAGGCCCGAGCCAAAGACATTGAAGAAATCTCCGAAACTCTCGGACACTTCCAGGACACACTCGAACACTGTAATGTCTGGCTGAATGCCAAAATAGAGAACCTTGAGGACAAAAACTGGAATAAAAAGTCTGGTGATGAAATGAAAGACAAAGTGGACGGTATGACTATCGAGAAAAAGAGGAAGGAAGAAATTGTGGACGAATTGAAACAGCTCGGACAGGCTCTTGTTGAAGATCCTCGTACAGGAGAGGTCAGTGAGTTGAAAGAAAAAGTGACAGAACTTTGTAGAGAGTGGGAGGACTTTAATGGACTGCTGTCCGAGAGAGAACAAGAGGCATCGGAAAAGGAGAGACAGTCCGACGAGTACAGCAACACGAAGAAGTCCGTTGTGGACTGGCTGACTACCATGGAGGGTAAGGTGGACGCATTCGAGCCCGTGGCTGTTGATGTGGAGGTGGCAGCTACTCAGATAGAAGAGCTACAGGTGAGTCAGGTGACAATACAGCAGGTGTGAGGAGAAAGATGTATGTCCTTATTAAATAAAAGCCGTCCTAACCTTTATTGTAGCAACAACAGAGAAAAATCCTATGTTTTGATCATGTTATGAGTTTTGGTACATCTGTGGTTGTAATAGTTTAGATTCCCTTTTCTATAGGTTCTGAAAGACAAAGATTCATAAGTTACCTTTGAGATCCTTTCAAAATTTGTCAATTTCATCTAACTTTGTCAAATAACCTCTCATAGAAGAAAATTTAATTCAAGAGAAAATAAATTGGATACATTTGATCCTGACCAAAGTCTAGTTCCTTGTACTAAAATTTCAAAGAGTCACGATTAAAATGAAGTAATTTTACATTTCAGCCCATGCTGCAAAACTACCAGGATTACGTAGATACAATTGACGAGGTCAATGACCTTGGATGCGCATTTGACGCCCTTCAAAATGCTGACCAGAGACCAAGCAGTCCCTTCAGGAAAATTATGCGTGAGTTGTCTGCTTGTTTGTTATTTAATTTTTATCCAATAACATATTCTAAAGTATGAAAATGGAATATTTTCAAAATGAAATTTCACATATATCAATGGACGAAGTGAAATTTTTCATATAAGATGTATTTTAACTGAACCCTTTCACCCCTATGTAACTTTAGTAGACTCTACCATGCATTGATATGGAGGGGTCCATTATGGTCTACAGTGGTGAAAGGGTTAAGATATGTACATTGAACAGAAGACAAATGAAAATTGTACATGTTTTACAGGTGGTCGTCGATTGCCGAGTCTGATGTCACCTCGTCTACGAAGTCCATCACCCACATTCCCACCACCATCTCCTACAACCATGCTGAGCCCCATGTCTAGTGAATCGGGAATAAGTAGCAAAAAGAGCTCCTCCGATAACCTGCTGGTAGAAGGTGAGACAGCTGTATTTCTACATATAGCATATTTATAATAATAATAATAAACTTTATTTATTGAGGATAAAATACAAAGGCTAATCTTCCACATGGATAAAATAACATATTTACGCAATCGATATATAAATAAACATGGTAATATTGCTGGTAAAATGCATGTGCTAGTTTAAAGTTACATATATATTGATGCAATCGACGTATATAGGGTTATATCACAGTTATCTTAGTTAAGAGTATCACAGAATGCTTAAAGTTTTATGCAAAGGTATTTCATCAATTAAATGGCATGTGCCTAATAAACATACATGCTAATATAGCAAACAATAAAAATTGACATAGTTATACGCTAATATAGCATTGTACCCAAAGGCTCTTATGCAATATTTTCTGTTTTCTTCTTACATTATGTAGCCATGTTAATTGTATTGTTTATGTAAGTTTGTGTTGGGTAGCTGAGGATCAGGACACGTGAAACAGACATTAATTACGATCTTGTGATGATTTTACAGATCTGACAGAGATTCAACAGGAGCTTGTTGACATTAACCAGAGGTACGATCTCCTGGGGGAACGCCTCGCCGATCGTCACCACGAGTTACAGAGCATGCTTGACAGCATGAGGATATTCCTTCAGGACCTCAACGACCTCATGACCTGGGTTGACCTCAAGGACCTTGACGTCCACCTAGCAGCACCTCTGCCAACCAGTGAAAGGGAGGCTAAGAAAAAACTTAAAGATCATGAGGTATTGAGTATTTCTTGAAAAATTCAAAAAGATTCAAAGAAAATTTATTGAAGGTGAATAGATTAGTTTTCTTATACATAAAAACAATATTGATTGCAAGCAAAATATGACATGCAATAAGATTCAATATTAGAAATAGTATTTTATTGAAGAATGGAATTGATGTTTGTGATATTTATTATTAGGAGTTCCACAAGGAGCTGCTAGACAAGGAAGGTCTGGTGGAGGAAATCCGGGCCAAGGCCCAGGACTTAATGAAGACGAAGAAGGGCATCCCCGGTACAGATGTTGTACAGCAGCAACTTGCTGAGCTAGGTAAGGGACATAACTCTAAACACAGCAAAACTAACTTCAGAAAGAATGAAATTCATTTTGAAAATATTTTAACCTCGGACAGAATTTGGCAGTCAAATTCAATGAAATATGTGGATTCCTCTTCCTTAGTTTCATTTTTTTGCCCCTGCCATAAAATGGGGGAGCATATAGTGTTGCCCATGTCCGTCCCGTCCCGATTCATTGTAAACACCCATCCCTTCCCGTCCCGATTAAATGTAAACACTTAGCAACTTCATTCTTTGACAAATTGTGGTCAAACTTTATACAAAGGTCAAGTCTGAGTATACTTCGAACATAGTTGTGTTTCAGGGATCCAAGGTCAAGGCCAAGGTCACTGTTGCTATATATAGAAAATCATCAACTGATTCAATTTAAACACTTAATTAGCAACTTCATTCAATATGTTATGGAGATACAGAAAAAACATATGAATATTAAAATCAACTTATCAACTTTAAGTGTAGTACCTTGTGTGTGTGCATGTTTCAGGGTATCAAGATCAAAGTGGTTGTAACTTTTTATAGAACGCTGAAACTATAATTTCACATGGCAGCGGGGGGCATTTATGTCTTCCAGACATTTTCTAGTTTTGATGAAAATTTTTCTTAAGCTTCTCAGATGGCTTATGGCAGCCATTTTGTATGATTTATGTGAATTCTTCATCCTTAATTTAATTAATTTGATGAAATATTTTCTTAAGTCATATTAATGATTTCTTCTATAAATATACCAGAAATTTAGATGCATCTTCTATAAAAGTTTTTGCTTTTAATGAATAATGTTGTAAAATGTATTATTTTGAATACTGTTAATATTACAGAGGACAAATGGTTGGATGTGAAAGTTGAGTCGGAACATCGTAGGAAGTCGCTGGACGACATGGTCACTGACCTTCGAGCTTTCAAGGATGCTGGAGTCCACCTTCAGAAATGGGTTGCGCAGAAAGAGAAGATGGTTGGTGTGTTAGGTCCTGTGGCAACTAGCCCTGCCCTCATACAGAACCAACAGCAGCAGGTCAAGGTCAGTACGGGGTCAAAATTAGTTACAAAGTAATATGAAGTTCGAAATTATTTCAGTTTCTGATTCAGATAAAAATGACTCTCATATGTTGATGTTAAGAAAAAATGATATGAAATCATAACAGAATAAGCAAATTGGTCAGATAACTTCTAAAGAATATTTTCACTGGATAGAAGATTATAAATTCCTCGACATTCCTTTGTTGACAGTTTCTTCAGGAGGAGATCCATGGTCAGGAGTCTCTTTACGAAACTTTCATCAGGTCTGGTCACTCTATACTGGACAAGTGTGAGCCGGACTGCAAGGAGTCCTCACACATCAGTCAAAAAATGGATGTTATCAGCAAGGGCTGGGATCGTATTGGGTCACGTCTGAGGGACCGCGCCCAGAACCTCACAGCTGTGGAGGGATTAAGTGGGGAGCTTGACCTTACACTACAGACTGTTGGTGACTGGATTGCAGACTTCTCCACCCGACTGGAGAAAATTGAGCCAGGAGCAGTCAGTCCTATGGAACACAGAGCACAGATGGACTTCATACAGGTAAAACCAGGAGGCTACCTTTAGATCAAATATAGATAGAATAGAAATATAGAGTTCTGTGGACAAAATTTATAACTCCATATTTCATAATCAAATGCTATAAGGAGTGTGGGCTTCAACTAAGGATTGACTATCCATAATGAAATACATTCTAAAATTTATTGATTTTGTAAATATATCTAATACACAGTATACTTACTGACTTCGTTGTTATACTTTTAAGAATGCATATATTGTTGGAACTAACTGGCAGATGTTAGTTGTAATTCTCCGCTCATATTTATGCATTGATCAAAATCTGTGTTCACTTCACAAAACATCAGTAATTGTATCCCCACAGTCCCTGGAAGCTGAGGTTGTTAAGCAAAAGCCGATGGTAGAGAAGGCCAAGGAATTGTCGAAGAAGGTCGCAGAGAACACCAAGGACCCCAGTACCAAGGCTGAGCTCAAAAACAAGCTCGCTGCTGTAGAAAAACCACTCCAGGAGATTGAGAAGAAACTAGGTAAATTTGGTTTACAGGACGTAGTTCTAGCATTTGGTGTTTCTGAGCTCAAAGGAGAATGAGTGTGGTTTGTGTCATTTCTAACTGAGTGGTGGTCAGAAATGGAGACTTAACTGACTTCAAGTTTTCCTTGTCCATCAGTTGTGTCATTACATTGAGAAGTTTGTATCATAAATGCTGTATTTTGTGATTATCCTTCGACCCGACTTGGACGTAACTGGATAGTTACCAATACCGTTTTTCTACATATTATGTTTGAAGTTGAGTAAGTGCTGAGTAGTAAAACTACATTTATATGTGTTATTTGGTGTTCTGCTAAGTTTAATCATCCCCAGAATCTATCTATTATGGCCTTAACCTGACCTTGAAAATGCTTTTTGCAGCTTGTAAGAAATTAGAGATCGAACAGGCCAGTGAGGAGGGGCAGAACTTCCAGGCGGCCTGTACAGATATGCTCGACTGGCTGGCTGACAACAAAGAGAGGCTCAAGGAACAGCCGCCAATCTCTGGCAGCGATGGAATTCTGAAGGAACAAGCTCTTCAGCAGTCTGTAAGTCCTGTTATACATCGCTTTGGTGTCAAAATCAAACTTTGAAACGCCTACAAGATAAATAGTTTTCAATATATGAGAGTTAGAATAAATAGAAATGACTGAAAAGGGACACACTTTTTCGATAAATAGATACAGAAGATAACAAGCTCATACTAATAAAGTTATGACTATACTGCTTTGGGTTGGAGAAAATCTTATAAGGGGAACCTCTCTGCATAATGAAAATGTCACAAATTTCATTAAAACTATTTCCTGAATGATGCCAGCATGTCATTGTAAAACAGACGTGTAAAAATAAATGTTTATCGTTGTAATTTTGTTTATAGCTTACTGCCAAGGATATATCAGAACATTTACCAGAGTTCAAGGACATTCTGAAGAAAGCCCAGCAACTCCTGGATACACAAACGCCCTCGGAGCACACTGAGGAACTGGCCAATCGTGTGCAGGCTATCAAAGCAGACTGGGAAGAGTTGAACAAACTGGCCAATCAGAGAGGCCAACAGATAGATGCAAGTGTGAAGCATGCCACGACATTCCAGGATCAGATGGATAATATGTTGGTATGGTTACAAATGAAGGAAGACCGTCTGAAGGACTCGTCTTCTGTTAGTATGGACAGGGATGGCCTAGCCAAGAAACTCAAGGATGCCCAGGTAGGTTATCGTAGCTCTCCACAATACATCTCAAAAAGTAAACATGAGTTACACAACATGATACTAAGACAAGTTGTCACGATGTTAACTTAATGTAAACCTGATATACAGTACATTGTACTGAGTTTTCAGAACTGATGTACAAGATATGTGCAAAATGAAGAAAAATGAAAGAATCGTATTTGTCATCCAAATTTTCTTTCAACAGAGCCTTCAGGCTGATATGTTGAAGAAATCACATGATCATGACATCATCAATAAGGAGGGTCAAGCACTTATCAATGTTGTTGACGCTGACCAGGACCACGTCGCAAAGAACCTCGAAGACGTCAACAGGCGATGGAAAGACCTTGATGGAGGTAGGCGACTTTGGAAGATCAAATCTAAATACAGATTTGTGCTTTAGACAAATTACATTTTTTTTTTTTTTTTAAAGTTTGTTTTCTTTTCCAATGTTTAACTCTTGTTGTAGGAGTGGCCTCTCGTGTTGCTGAACTTGAAGATTTGACACAGAAACTAGACGAGTTCCATGACAATCTGAGGGATGTAGAGTCCTCCATGCAGAAGTGTGAGGACAGACTGGAGGCCCACAACAAACAGGGTAGCTCCGCCAGGGACCCCAAACATGTCGACAAGATGAAGGTACAAGCTATTTGTAAATAAAGCTTAGTAACTGATGGAAAGGTAGTGAAAGGGCCATAGAAGTGTTTACTGGAAGGCTTTGAAGATTTTAATGAGAGAATACTTTTGATAATGTAATGCAAGTAGTTAATGGTATTCATACAGTTGACCTTCTATGTGCAGATTTCCCATAAGATACAGGTGACTTAACTAATGAAGGTGACCTAAGATGTACAGGGCTACATTCATGTACAGGGCTACATTCGCGTATCCCGGTTGAAACGGTACGTGTGGCGCAGAAATTTTCCACGATAAACGAACACACTTGGACCGTTCTATAAGCAGAGCTAAAAATCCACAGTTTCGGAGAATAAAAAAGCAATGTATCAAGAATATTATATCCTTCTCTCACGCGTCCACTAAAGTACATAACGTATCTTAAAAATTACATGTGACTTGACATTGTTTAAGAAAGAAATAACGCAAATTGGCAATAGTCAGCATTTTAGTTTCGGTCAGGTACGTCTGGACCCCTCACTCTACACGTACCAAATTTTCCTGAGGTCAGCCTCGGTCCAAATCTGAACCTGTCGTTTTCTTTACAGGTTCAACCGGTTCAACCGGTTCAACCGTTTCAACCGGATACGCGAATGTACCCCAGGTGTTCTTAGGAATTCATGTGGCTTAAAATGTACAGGTTATTTACATTGTGTAATATACAAATTGATGTGTACTTCCATGTAAGTTAACCCTGGTTATCTCCCCTTGTTTCCTAGGCTATGCAGGAGGATGTGGAACTTATGACACCTCAGTTGGACTATGTCGAGGCCTTGTTGGATGGGTTCAACCTTGACAGCGATAGCTGTTCAACACGACCTCTGGCTGATGACGTTGAGAAGGTGAAGGACAGACATGAAAGTCTTCATAATGAAATTACATCACTACTGTCAGATTTGGAGGCCGGTTCACAAGTTGTGTCAGAGTACCAGGTAAATCAGAGAGATTATTTCTTTAAAAGTTCAAAAATCTTTTTTGAAAGTTTTCATTCAGATTCCTTTGTGATTTCATTTTATGTTACGTTAGTGATGAAAGAACATTGCTATATTCTGTGTTTGAAATCCTCAGGATGAACTTCAGAAGGCTGCGGTCGAGTTATCTGCCAGTGAAAACTTCTTTGCCAACCTGGAACCTATCAGCCGTGACGAGTCTGCCCTGACAGGCCAACACAGGGACATGGAGGTAAGGGGAGATAACTCTGTTAAAGGAAATTTACCTTACATAGAGGTGAACTCTTCAAAAACATACATGAAAGTACTTACATTGAAATGTAGGCTAGCCAATCTTACTTAATGAATTTTAAAATAAGTTTGACCATTTCATAATTGCTGACTTTGATTTTGTTATGTTTTCTTATGTTACAGGAATACTTGTCAAAACTTGGAGAGATGAAAGACAAATGTGAAAACCTGGAAAAACAGAAAAAGAACCTGGAAGGTTCAGGTTACATCACTGATTCAGCTGCTGGAGGCTCTCCAGTAAGTAATCAAAACAGTGTAAACTTAGGTATTACTCCAACATAGGTTAGAAAATGTTTCTTTTGATGAAATCCACTTTCAATAAATGTCCAAAATTATGAGTTGTGCACATGAATTAAATTAAAGTTCATTTTGCTCCAGATTGAACTTGGTGTAGATATGTCTTTCTTAAAGTGTTCTCAATTAAGAAAAAAACCAGTTTTACCTATTCCTATCCCTTCATCTGTGTTTGTGTTCACCAGTTGAGGTCCCTACAGAAACAGCTGGATGGTCTGAAGGACCGGGCTAAACAACGCCAGGATGAGGTGGACTCTGTAGCCAATAAGATTGAAACAGTGGCTGACAACCTGCGTCGAACACGCACAAGTTTGGACCGTGCAGCATCTGAGCTGGATATGCATGAGCCAATCGGAACTGACCTTAAAGCGATCAAACGACAGCAGGAAGAGCTCAAGGTCAGAATGTTGACCTTTATATTTGATAGGCCAAGGTTGTACCTAAATACAGATATCAGAAAGATAGCTGTTTCATATCTGCATGTCTGGGCAGTATTCTTAGTTGCAGGCATTTTATGCAAGAGTTATTGTTACATTACTGGGTTTTTTAATGTTTTTTTTAAGAGTTTATGTTCTATTAACAGTAAGATGTTTAAGAACATGCTGCACATGTGTAATGTATGTGTGCTTGTGAGTATGTGTACTGGGGGCAGGGTATGTTAGTGTTATTGCCTCCTTGCGATAGTATGGAGCTAATGCTGACTTTAGAGTGCTACCTCAGTAAAATGACCTTTTGAAGGCACCAAGAACAGTATTCTAACCAGTCACATCATGCTGACAACGGTTCTCAATTACAAAGGGTTGTCAATGGAATTTCCTCAACAAACTAAATTAGATTTTAGTCTGATGTCATTTAATATTTATTCATTGTTCACCTGAGTTAGATGTTGTTGTTTACCAAACACTATGTCCTTTGTACAGATGTTCCAGAAGTCGGTGTCAGAGCCGCAACAGAAGAGAGTGGACACTGTGTTAGCGGCTGCTCAGGAACTTATTCAGTCAGCAGCACCAGGTGTCAGCACCAGTAACTTGGAGGCTGACCTTGAAATAATGACTGACAAGTCGTCAGAACTTAATGAGAAAGTAAGCTAGAAGTTTACCTCTAAGTTGTAACAGACATTTTGTTGTTGAATGGTCTTGACCTCTGATTATATGAACAAGTATATATTAATAACTCACCAGTTTTGAATTTGGAAGAGGAAGTTCATTGTAGAGTTGAATGATTTAGTGAAATGCATTAAATGTTATTATAAATTGTGATTTGTAGGTATCAGAGCGTGAGCGTAGCCTCGACAATGCCCTCATACACGCTGGAAAGTTCAACGATGCTCTTGACTCGCTCCTCAGCTGGCTGAAGGAGACGGAGGAGATGGTAGCCAACCAGAAGGCTCCATCCCCGGATTATAAGGTAATCAAGGCCCAACTCCAGGAGCAGAAATTCCTGTTGAAGATGTTGGACGATCGTGAGCCAAGTGTCAAGTCTGCAAAACAAGTGGGCACCAACCTTCAGAAGAATGTCGACCCTCGGGAACAGAAGGGCATCCAGAATCAGATTGCCCAACTACAGCAACGCTATGACACACTCAAACATAATGCTGGCAACCGTCTGGACACACTGGAGCAGGTCGTCACACTTGCGAAGGAGTTCCAGGAAACCCAGGATCCACTCGCTTCCTGGCTAGACACCATGGAGAAGAAATTTGCATCTCTTGAACCATCTGCTATGGATACAGAGGGCATTGAGAACATCGTTTCCTCTCTGCTGGTAAGATTGTCACTCTTTTAATGTTTGAAAGAAGCTAGACTTCTCATCAGACTAGAGTTGATTATGATATTAATTTGCACGTTCTTGAAAAGATGACATTTGTATGATGGTGTACATGTCATAGCATTGTTTAGACCCATAGCTATAATATATAATCAGTTATTGACTTTTATTAAGGTGAATATGTGGTTTTATAGACCTGAGAAATTGATATTAACCAAGAAAAAGTCTATATTGACAAATGTCTATGCTGTATAATCACAGGACATGGAGAAGGAGATACAGGATCGTGATGAACAGGTGCGTATCTTGGCTTTACGAGGCAAGGACTTACAAAACCACTGTAAACCCAGTGAAGTCAAGGTCATTCAGAAGAAAATTGATGATGTGCAAGGTCGCTACCTTGAACTCAAAAACAAAGTTACAGACTCTGCAGAACAGATGGAAGAGGCATTGCCCATGGCAACTAACTTCAATGAGGCACATGCCAAGTTCATTGACTGGGTTGTGAAGATTGAGCCCAAGCTCCGTGCCAAGGAGGCGACCGGTCCGGAGGCTGAGGAGCAAGTACAGGTAGGTCAAGGGCATTGATGAAAATGGTTAAATGTGTCTTTGATGATAAAGTAATGATTTTTTTTTTTAAATATTGGACTATTTAAATAAACTTTTAATATATCCAGTTTTCTGATAAATTTCTTTTCTCCACTTCAAAAGTATTTCAGGCAATTTATTTCTTAAAAGGTTTGAATTTTAAACTGTTTTGATTTGTCCCTTAAAATGTTTGACCTTTGTATCATTATGGTATGTAGGGATTCATCGACAAACTGCTGGAGATCCAGCCTATCTTGGAAGTACTCAGTAATGACGGCAATCAGCTTGCTGAACTCGCACCCGGTGACGCAGGGTTAAAGGTCGAGGATATGATGAACAAGGATCTGAAGCGCTTTGATGCTGTTAATGAACAAATACAGAAACGCTCACAGAAGCTCCACTCCTCGAAACAGCGGTCATCAGAGGTGAGCCACCATACATTTTGTTGTGACAAATTCAGTTTCTTATTATGTGTAAAAACTAAATTTCTCTTGAAATTTCAGTTTTGAATTCATTAGGTTAAAAAGAGATGCTTTCGTTTGTTTATGTTTTGTTCTCATAAAAAAACACATAATTCTTGAAATCAATCTTTCCTGTTTCTCTATTGTTATACATGTACAAGCAGCCGTTGTGTGTTTATACATTCATGCTAACCTGAAATATTTCATACAACAGAAACCACATGGCATATCCTAAAACTGTTTAAACAGTATTTACAATGACCTTTGGTTGACAAAATAACACTGGAAAACGTCATAGCTTAGCTTTGCTCTGTAATACAGTAATTTGATTGGAGCAAGGTTATAAATAATTCTCCTCGTTTCAAATGTTTTAAAAGTTTTAAATAATTTTGTTAACAGATCGTGGGAGACATGAACAACCTCCTGGAATGGTTTGAGGAGCAAGGCAAAAAGATCATAAATGCTGCACCGGTCAGCAGTGACCCTGACACTCTGGCCACACAGGTCGCTGACCAGAAGGTATGACCATGTCACATTTCATGTTTCAACTGTTAGACCTTCTCGCATTCCATTGTATTTGCTGTAATTGGTCAGTATAACAACTTTCTGATTTCATATAGTTTAGTAAAATACAGCAAAAAATGAAAGCTACAAAGATAGGTTTCTGCTGATTAAGTTTTTCAATATTAAGCATTTATCTGGTGTTTCTTGCTAAATAAAACATAAAAAGGGTGATATATGGTGAAATATTGTGTTTTAATACATTTTAAGAGGCCATCTTAATTCATTGTAAAATGTACTTCAGCCATGTATGAATTTAGGCTAAGTCAGACTCCGTACCAAATTGTGTGTATATTCTGAAACTGATCTTTGGATTTCATTATATTGATGGTATTTATGCAAACTTAAGAGCTTTTTGTGAAGTGTTGCTGAAAGTACATCTTGAAAGAAATAGTCTAGACTCTAAAATTTCCATCATAAAATTATGACTAAGATATGAATAGAGTAAAAGTAAAAAATAACACTTGATTTTAATGAATATAGAAAATAAAATTATTCTTGTATCTTTGAAAGAAAACACTTACATTAGCTTACTTATTAATTCTTTCTTTTTATAGGTGATCAATGAGGACATTGCTAGTCGGAAAGGCAAGGCACGTGATCTCATTACAAGGGGGAGGAAACTCCTGCGTGAGAGTTCACTTGAAGACGACCCCAGATTACGGGAGAGAGTGGAGACCCTCAAACAGGCTGTCGATGCCATCACAAAGCTTGGCACAGATAGGCTCTGTCTACTGGAACAAGCTCAGCCATTGGCTAAGCACTTCACTGCCACCCACCAAGATCTGCTCGACTGGTTCAGTGAAGCAGAACCAGCGCTACGTGAGCTTGAGGTCATGTCCATCGACGTTGACGAGGTCAAGAAGCAACAGGACAGCATCAAGGTAGATTCAGCTTCAATCTAGGCACTTTTACGTAAAAAATGTTGCTAAATATATAGACTGTATACCAGGCAATGAGCAATTGGTGCTGTAGTTTTACTTATCCCTTTTCCGCCCTCTCTAATGAGCGCATATTTATCATGATATCAAATATCGGTACACAACACACCCCACTCTTCTTGAGCTTAATTTCTTGTGTTCGGACTTTGAAAGCCTGCTAGCGTCTTACCAAATAAATTGAATCTCAACAACACTTCAAATCGTCATTTTTATGGAAAAGGTATGATAACATTAGCCAAACAACGTCGCTTACTCTTCAGGTACTAAAACAAGACGTCCAGGACCACAAGCCTGTGATAGACAGACTCAACAAAACAGGAAATGCACTCCTCAAGATTTGTGCTGACAAGGATGGAGTCGAAGTTCAGGCTATTCTTGACGATGATAACAAGCGCCTGGATAACATTCGTAACTCCATGAAGGACAGATCATTGTCCATTGATGAAGCTTTACAACAGTCGGCTGAGGTAAGAAGAGAGGAAAGAATAATTCCTCTTTAGATGTTTAGATTTTGAGATGCTAGCAATTGTCTAAAATTTGGTGACATGATTAGATATCTTTGATGTTCTACTGAACTTTCAATTACTCTGAGTAGACAATTTTTTTTTATTTTTCATTTTATTTTCCTCAAGTTTGTCAGAATAATTCAAAAATTGTTTAGAGGGATTATGTTATATGTTATGTTTCCGTATCTTCTCCAACCGTTATTTTTCATTTCCACAGTTATTTTTCCTCTCCAACCGTTATTTTTCCTCTCCACAGTTCACAGACAAGTTGGAAGATATGTTGGAGAACCTAACATCCACCTCAGAACAGGTCCAGCATGCTGAAGCCATCGCAGCACATCCAGAAAAGATTCGGGAACAGATTTCTGAAAACAAGGTATGAAGATCAATTTATCATAAACATTCCCCACAGAAGATAAAGGATTACACAATAATTAATGTAAATCGCGGTACCAATATTTTGGCTTCGTGATCTTCAGTAAGGCAAAAGTCATAGCTGAATCTAAGTAGTGTCCATCTCTTTTTTTCTGAACAATATGTTCTAACATTTATGGAATCAATGTAGCTGTAAAATTAAATTTTGGAAAAATGGTTTCAGGTTTGAAGAACATCATGTGTAATACTGTGTAGCTGTGTTTGATATGTCACACAGCTGTAAACAAGTAGATATAGATACATAATTTGTGGCCCCGTTATATAGGCCCATATAGGGCCAAACAGCAAACAAATAGTTTTAAATATTCCTGACAAATGTATAACACTTTTATATCTACAGGCTATGATGGACGACATGGACATGCGACAGTCAGCATTACGGTCCGTCAAATCAACAGCCGAGGAGCTCATCAAACAGGCCAGCAGTGACCAGGACGAGGCTGTGCAAGGTGCGTGTGGTACTATATTTAGTCCAGGTGTAAGGGAAGAAAGGCTATTATCTGCTGGATACACAAAAGTTCCATATACACAATTTACCATTTGCCCTATTGCATTTGTCTTTTCAAATCTCCGTGGTCCATTGATCCCTTCTTCCGAAAACAATTAGCATTATTGATAATTCTCTGAAAATACAACCAAATGCTTAATGATATGAGGTCATGGTCACAAAGTGAAAGGTCAAGAACATGAAGATCAAATTTACTGTCTTTTCAATGGTGAATAATGCATAACCTTACGAAATAGCAAAATTGTTTGGACTATAAAACTGACATCGTAAATAAGTAATTATTCAAAACACATTTCTGGACTTCCTCATATATCAGCTGTAATATGAAGTGTATTTTGTGCATTCTGTATGAGTTTTACATTGAACAACTGAACTTTGACCTTTATATGACCTTGCATTTCTATGTTGACAGACGTACAGCAGAAACTAGCTGAACTGATCCAGCTGTTTAACGACATTAAGGGAACGACACAGAACCGGAGCCTCGCTCTGGAGGACACACTAGAGGTGTCCGAGAAATTCTGGGATGACATTCATCATCTAACCGGCGCCATGAAGGATCTTCAGGACAACATCAACTCGCAGGAACCTCCAGCCCTGGAACCTGCCATCATCAGAGAACAACAGGACTTCCTTGAGGTAGCCATCTTACATTTGGTTGAGAGAATGATTGGTCAGGATATTAGATATTTCTGTATCATTTTAGATTAAGGAGAGCTTGTCAAATTACGTTTTTAAATAATGATTGCTTACAAGCATGGCAACATCATGTTATCTAGATAAGTGATAAAACTTACAAATATTCAATTTATTTTTCGAATCATATACATAATGCAATTATCAACGTAATACAAAATTATTGAGGAATTTGAGTAATTTTATGTGAATTTGATTTCTCAAAACATGTTATAGACAATAAAAGTTTGCTTCTAAACATTGGAAGGCTATAAGAATTCACTTTTTAACATGTCACAGATCATTAGAGTTCACATCTCTGAATATTTTATAGGCTATTAAAGAGGAAATAGAGGACTCAAAGGGTGAACTAGAGGAGGTACGACAGACCGGGGATCAGCTGATGACGCTGTGCGGTGAACCAGATCGCCCAGAGGTCAAGAAGAACATTGATGACCTCAACACAAACATGAGCGAGATTGAAGCTGAGTGTAACAAACGCTCTAAGACGCTGGAGGACGCACTCAACAAGGCTGTCCACTTCCAGGATGAGCTCATGGTATGCTTACCTAATAAAATGTAGTTATTTGTTTCCCCTTGCGATTCATTGTCAAGGCTCTACAGACTTCATTTCTGAGCAGGTTTTCATCAGAGGTAAAGTATGAGAACACCTGGGTTAGTCCAAAGGTCAAAACTAAGGTCACAGTTGCTATTTATAGGTCAGCCATTGCTTTTTTGTCAACATTCATTTTCATCATTCTACTTACTTCAGGGGCAAGGGGGCATTTATTACTTAAAGACGTTTTTTAGATTTTTTCCTTATTGTGTAAGAATATATAAATAGATTGAGAGTATAGTTTTGTAGTAACTGATAACCGCTACCAGAAGAAATACTTGTGATAATGGCTAATCAGGAGTTTGACAAGACATTGATCTTTGTACTTTTTTGATGAAAGAGTTGAATAATAAACTTAACGTTACTTTAAATGTTGGATGTAACAAAAACTGTTTTTCCTGTACAGAAACTGCTGGTGTGGCTCCAGAAGAGGGAGGTCTGCATGAGGGAGATGGGAAAGGTGGGATCTGACTTTGAAACCATCAAAGTTCAATGGAATGCAGTCAAGGTAAGTACATATAGAGCTTGGTATCTCTAAGATATAGGCAATGTCTTTAGAAAATACCCTCTAGCTGCGGGCTTCGAGGTTACCATCAACAGTAAGTGATAATAATACTTCACTTATCATGCAACTGTCCAATTAGTTTTGCAAACTGCTGTGGACTAGAACCTTTACATATCCATTTCCTCGTTTCTACTTCAGGTATTCAAAGCAGAGGTGGAACCCAAACAAGTGGCCATTGAGTCGCTCAACCAGAATGGAAACGACATGGTCAAGGAGTCATCCTCGAGCGACCAGGCTCTAGTGGTCAAAGAACCTTTGACCACAGTCAACAAACGCTGGGATGGGCTCCTGGAGGGAATTGCTGACAGACAGGTAAAATTGCAACATAGAATGGGACACTCAAAACAGTGCATCTATTTATCTTCATGTGAAATCAACAGGAACAAAATAACAGGCCTAGTGTGTATAAAGTCGCGTACAAAGCTGGTATCACCAACACATGGAATAGAGCCTAGAGTCGATAAAGGATAAAATGGCACCTGTCATTTAATCACCTGTACAAATTAGTCTTTGAAACAAAAGGAATTATTACAATACATATATTTACTGGTAATTAGATCAAAACATCTTATATGATAAGACAATAAATAGTATGAACACTTTTTGGATGAGACAAATTATATAATTATGTCAATTTGTATATTTTGTATTAAATGAAACACTTGGTGAACATCTACATACAATTGTATAGTATTTCTATTTGAGGTCACTTTGATAGATGTAAGATAATTGTTGCCGAGTGTTTTCTCTTGTTTTAAACTTTTTGCGATGATGTTTGTTTTTACAGCGCAAGCTCCAGTTGGCCATGTTGGATGCCGGTCAGTTTGAGCATGCACTCAATGAACTGTTGGCTTGGCTGGACAAAACCGAACAAACTCTGGACGAGACACAATTGTCTTTTGGTGACCCCAAACACATAGAGATAGAGCTCTCCAAACTCAAGGTAGGGGTCAAATTTGAGAGACAGCCGAAGGTCATGAAATTTATTTATGTAAAAAAATCAAATTTAAATGGACATATTTCTTAAAAATATTCTGTTGTTGATAATTTGTACATGAAATAATAGATGATGCTGATTCAGCAATAATTGTATATTCTAGTTTTTACATGTTGATGTCAGTGTAACAATACACAGTTTAGAGAGTATTTTGTTTATGAAGAATTTAAAGTTGAGGCAATCTTTTTTTTTTTAGGTTGTACAGAATGATATAGACGCCCACAAAGAGAGTGTTGATTCCGTCAAAGAGGCCGGTGCACGTGTCGCGGCCACAGAGAAAAGCTCGGACACTCCCATCAAACGCAAGCTCAGTGAGGCCAACGGAACATGGGGACGTGTAAAGGACAAATGTGACAAGAAATATGCAGAGTTGAAGGACTCTCTCAGAGAGGTAGGTCAAGGTCACTGATTAGAAAGGAAACAGATATTTCTCTGCGCAAAAAAAAAGCTTGAAAGAAGGAATTTGAAATTTGCTGAATTTCTCGTGATTTAAGTACAAAATTTGTTTTTACAAGACATTTTCTGTAATATGAAAAGATGTGGTAAGCAGATTAAAACTATTATCGTGTTCTACAGGCCAAGCAGTTCACAGGGGAACTTCAGGATCTACTAGTACTACTGGGAGACCTAGAGGGTAATCTCATCACCACCACCCCCGTCGGGGGCCTCCCAGAAACTGCTCGTGAACAACTCGACAGATTCATGGTATGGTCACTATACAATCAATCCTGTATCAATTATATCTGGTTTTATGCACGTTTATAATTTATGCAATAGTAATCTATTTCAATCTGTTTTAAGTTGTATGTAGTTGTTCAGAGCTTTATTGTTTTGAGTTGCAACAAAATTATATGGACATGGCTTCTTGTTTGTTACTATATATAACTGATGTTATGTTCATTTTTGTTTATATCTCTATCTTTCATATGAATATTCTATACTAACAGTGTATAACTATCATTATACATGTATATCAAACCAGCTATCACCTATATAATTATAGTCAATTTCATAATTTCATTAATATTATAAAAAAACTACTGTTATATGTAGGGTTAAACTATTTTCTCTTGAAATCTTTATTCAACTTTCTTTTGGATACTAAACAAAACTTTAAAAAGTGAAATAATATAAAAAAGAAAATCTGATTTCATGTATTGTTTCCAAACTTTTAGCTTTCTGTTCATTCTAAATTTTCTTAACATAAAATATTGAATTTCATCAGTGACAGGCTGTCACTGTGTTCAGGTCTAACAGAACTGTATCTGAGGTCACCATGACTTTCTAACAAAATTTTGAACTTGTTCAGTGCCAGATCTGGTAACATTAAGCAGTCTGTAAGAGCTTCTGTGATTGGCTGACAGTACAAAATATGACCTCATACGCAGTGGTGTTACGTCTGAATGAAGTTTCATGAATTAGATAATACTCTCTGTGTAATATACATATTCTGTCAATGTATGTTGTTTTGTATATCCCTCAGATTGAGGTAAGGCTATATATCTTACATATCTTTGGTTCTGGGGTATTTCTCTCAACTTCTTTTAAAAACCTAATTTACAAATTTAGACTTCAATTTTTGTTTTTAGGTTATGGAAGATTCAAATGGTCCAAACTGAGTCGGTCAAAACATGCTTAGTTTGAATTTAAGATTTTATAACAAAGGATCACAAAATACATTATTTTGTTCAAAGCAAAACCTGTGTTCATTCAAGACTGATAATTTTGAACATGAATTTGAAAGACTCAATTAAAAAATATATGTCTCAACTGATTAACTTATTTGTACCAGATAATTTTCGCCCAGTCAAATTCTCACCCTTCAACGGTAAAAATCCATTTTTGCCCAAAATTCAATACGCCCTTCACATTTAATTACTATTTTTAGTATGTTGTTTACAAATGTTCGCTGTAATGAAAAATTACGGAGGGCAAAAAGGCAAAAATTAAACTGCAGCGAAAATTCCCGGTGTACCTTGTGAGTCTTACCTAACGAAACTGACCGTATAGACCACTTTCAGCTTGGACAATTTGAATCCCTGACCGTCCTTTCCTGACCACCAATCACGTCTAACGGTCTGCCATTTCATGTGTGGCAGGGAAATACACAATTTTAACAGATTTTAAATGAAAACCAGGAAGTGTGATCAGGAACCTTGTTAGTCTGGACATATAGAATATAAGAAATACTCAGCCATTATTAAATCACTTGTGACTAGTTTGTGTAATAAATATGTGTCACAGTAGAACTGAGGCAGTACATGTCTGTATAGACGGAAGAACCATCCATGTATACAGTGTCGTCTACAGTAGACCTATGGAAACAGGCAACCAACATATTTTCAATATTAATCTGGTTTGTTAGACTCGTTTCTGGGCTCAAATTTGTATCATCTTTTATGGCCATATTCAGACCATAAAAGTGTTCATAGATAATAAACCTGAAAAACAGGAGGTTAACAGTGACTTGGCTGGACTAACAAGGTTTCCCTTTATACTTCAGTAGCATCATAGTGAATTATCTAATAATATTGATGTACAAAATTCAGCCCTCATTCAGGTTTGTGATCCCAAAAACTGATTATGATTATTTAGAATTTGTTTTATTCTATATCTGATGAAAACAAAAATATGAATATTATTCTCATCATCTGTCAGTCATTCCCATCCTGCATTGTGGACCAAATCACTATCAACCAATCAACTTTTTCAGTCCATTGTCACAATGGCTGATCAGTTTTGAAATAGTTCAAACCTACACCCTTCCTCATGTTTACCAAGTTAGCATTGCATGTTTCACTAGGAAAATTAATAGCTGTAAAATATCACCACATGACCTTTGAACCTTGTGAACACTCACATGACCTTTGAACCTTGTGTACACCCTAATGACCTTTGAGCCTTGTGGACACTTATCACCTGACCTTTGAACCCTTTGGACACTCGCATCACAACTGAAGCCTTTGGACACTTCATCACATGACCTTTTGAACTATCATCTGAGCTTTGAAACCCTGTTGACACTATCACCTGACCTTTCAGCCATTTTGAAAGCAATTATAAAACCGTTCAACCTCTAGGATTATTAGTAGGACTGTCATTGCTATAAGGATTATTAGTAGGACTGTCATTGCTATAAGGATTATTAGTAGGACTGTCATTGCTATAAGGATTATTAGTAGGACTGTCATTGCTATAAGGTGGATGTCCAGTCTGTGATTCACTATGGCATATGTATCATGTAGGCTAGAAAATGACACTGGTACAAGAAAAAGATATATACAAATTTCTGATCACATCTGTACATGCACCCACATATCTCAGGTACCTGATACATGTAACTCGTCTCTGTTGCTGGAATCACTTCTTCATTTACATGACCTTGAGAGCTCTCATTATCATTGTGATTTGGAACCTTTCATTTCTCACATGACCTTGAGAGTTCTCATATCTCGCATGACCTTGAGAGTTCTCATATCTCACATGACCTTGAGATTTATCAATACTCACAGGACCTTGGGAGTTCTCATATCTCGCATGACCTTGAGAATTCTCAATATACAAATGACCTTGACAACTCTTAATGTTTGAATAACCTTGAGAGTTTTCAATACTCATATGACTTTGAGAATTCTCGATATACAAAAGACCTTGACAGTTCTGAATATACAAATGAACCTGAGATTTCTCAATACTCTCATGACCTTGAGAAATTTCAAAATACAGATGACTGGATGAGATTTCTCTGGCAGCCAAGCACTTGGTATCACCACACCTCACTGTAGACTGAGGCTGTGACTAGTTTGTATTTATATACCTGTATTAACGAGCTGTCTTTAATTAAGTGTTGTGATAACATCTCCTGATTTACCGTAATTCCCTGTAGAAATAGACCTGAGTGTTTTGTTTTGTGTCAGTATGTAGACGTAAATTAACTTTAGATTTATCGTTGTCAATCTCCACTGCCTTATATCATCATGGGCTTTATGTTGTAATTATGGTATTACGTTTTAAAACAGGTGTACACAGGGAAGTGACAATCATACTATTATATTTGTACATAGCATTTTAAGTCATCGAACCAAATATCAGCTAACAATTCGAAATTTTCTACCAAATTAAGTGCATTCTAATGAGGATAATAAATTGATGTTTGTCAATATTTATTTCAACATAATATATACACTTGTAAAATGTTTTCGCTATCAAACTTCAAAGTATAGAATTCTTCCATGATGATTAACAGATGAATTTCACCAAGGGGAAACCTTAACCAATGCATTTCATCATTGAGAAATATTGACCAATGAAATCTGTCCATACTAACTGGTTGTTTGTGTTTACACAGAGCATGTTCGAGGAGCTGGAACGGACCAAACCACGTGTAGACAAGGTTAAAGAAGATGGAAATAACCTGAGAGGGAAATGTTCAGAACCTGCTGCCTCCAACATCCAACAAAACCTGGGACTTCTACAGCAACACTGGGACCACATTGGATCTCGTGCAACAGACAGAAAGGTAGTTACCACATAGGGTTCAGGGTCGCTGAGGGGAAGATAGTAACTGCATAGGGTTCAGGGTCACTGATGGGAAGATAGTAACCACATAGGGTTCAGGGTCACTGACAGGACGGTAGGTACTACTAACCACCAGCACCACATACAGAGTGGTAGGTTCTACTGACCACCAGCACCACATACAGAGTGGTAGGTACCAATGACCACCAGCACCACCGACAGGAAGGTAGGTACCACTGACCACCAGCCCCACAAACAGGAAGGTAGATACCACATAGGGTTCAGGGTCACTATAGGAAGGTAAGTACCACACAAGGTCTAGAGTCTATGACAGTACTATGGGTACCACATAATGTGCAGAATGGGTGACAAGTATGTAGGTACATCATGCGCCATCTAGGGTCCATTTAAGGACCATATAGCTACCACATGTAATCTGGAACATCCTATATGGCTCCAGTTCCACCCATGTGCCGGAATCCAGTATTGCTGCCATCTTGATAATCTTTTTGAATACCGTACAATTGGTCGTTTTCTGTTTACCCCTGCTAAATAGAACTCTCACAAAATGGTATTCAGACTAGAAAAGAAATGTTTATGTTCAAAATTGAAAGTAAAAGAATGCTGTTGTTACATTTTATTCAAGCGACAAAAAACACCAACATATATTCAGATGATAATGAAACGTTAGGTAATTAGTAGATTAAGATAACTAGACAATATTTTATCTTTATATGGTCAACTTTATGTCTTCAGAGGAAACTGGAGGATGCCGTGGGGCAAGCTAACAATTTCCACGCCGACCTGAACAAGTTCATTGCCTGGCTTACGGGTACAGAGCGAACACTGAACAACTTAAACCCCGTCAGTCGCCTCCTGGAGCGCGTGGCCGTCCAGATAGAGGACCACAAGGTATAAACATAAACACTGGCTTTACAGAGTCTAAGACAGGGTCTCAACACACCTAACAAGACCGGGAAGTCGGCCAGCTCACTTAGCAAGACAAGGACATAGTTTCCAGTACCGCCTGAATATTACATAAACTGTTTCTTAATATTCAGGGTACTTTGTAACATGTATTACCGGTACTAGCATACTGTTAACATTTTGTCTTTGTACAACAATTAAAATCATGAAATATAGATATTTGTTTTGTTGGTAGGAACAACAGCAAGTGTGTTCCTGTATGATATATGAATTTGAGGGTTCTTTATTATCTGTGTAATGTACTATGACCTAAATCATTTCAAAATATATTTTTACTATTTTGATATCAGGTGAATTTTCAAATTAGCATTCATCACCTTCAGATGAGGTTTTTTTTTTTCATTTTAAAAGCCTACTTCGGTAACTATTGTAGCATATTTGAATTTCTTGTACAATTCTTGACCTTCATTGACCTGTTGTGACCTTGGTATCCAGGTTCTCCAGAAGGATGTGAGCCGTAACCGAGAGGTAATGATCGCCCTGGACAAGACTGGCACTCACCTCAAGTACTTCTCACAGAAACAGGATGTGATTCTCATCAAGAACTTGCTTTCTAGCGTCCAGCACCGTTGGGAGAAAATTGTGTCCCGCAGCGCCGAGCGCACCAGGCACCTGGAGAGAGGCTTCAAGGAAGCCAAGCAGGTATACAGGGTGTTGTTGTAATTTCAAGCAATAGAAATAGCTACTGTTGTCTATGATTGGGTAAAGTTTTGATAAATTCTTTGGACTATAATTACTGCACAGTTGTTATCCGTAAAAATGGTATTGACTGAATGGATATCTTTTCCTCTAGACCCATAAAAAAGTTTTTGAACAGATTTTACGAAAAATATTAATAGTCCTAACATTGAATTTGTACATAAATTCTGTCCTATTCAAATCCGATTTCTGCCTTAGTTCCACACCATATGGAAGGAGCTACTGGATTGGATGAGAGATGCCCTGCAGACATTGGCCAGTAACCAGTTGGTCGGTAACGACCCAGTAACCATCAAGGCACAGATAGCTAAACACAAGGACTTCCAAAGAAGCCTAGGAACCCATCAGCCACTGTATGACAGCGTCAACAGGGGAGGACGAGCTCTCAAGGACAAATGCCCGCCAGACGATGTTCCCGAGATACAGAAAATGCTGACAGAACTGAAGGCACAGTGGAATAATCTCTGCGGAAAGTCTGTTGACAGGTGAGTGTAGAGGAATATCATGATCTGTCTGACAATTTATATTGCTAAGATCACAAGTGCATAAACTCTGAAATTCAGTGCAGACTTTTCAGCATCATTTTGAAAATGATCTTGTCCCTCATTAAGTTGTTATTGCTTTGACACTTACGGAAATAAATTCATGAACAGATTTTAAAAATAGATGTGTAAAGATACAGATACAAACTCTTTTGTAGTAAAACCTTTGCTGCATCACTTTAGTTAAATAGTTCTAACCTGATTATCTCCCTTGTATAACATGGTTATCTCCCTTACCTGTTACAGACAGCGTAAGTTGGAGGAAGCACTGCTGTTCTCAGGCCAGTTTACTGAGGCTCTCCAGGCATTACTGGACTGGCTGGGTAAGGTGGAACCAATGCTTGGGGAAGACCAGCCCGTCCATGGCGACATCGACACTGTCAACAACCTGCTAGAGGCTCACAAGGTAGGCTGCCTTTAGTCTGGTCAGATTAGTAGGATCAGTCTTTACTGTGCCCTGCCATTTATTTGGTCAAACTAGTTTGACTGATCAGATCTATCGGTAGATCTTTTGGGGGAAAGAGATTGGATCCTATAGATAATGTTCTTTGTTCGATGAATAGATACAAGTTTTCTCAATCCAAACCTTCTTCTGACCCTCCATTGGCTGTTGTGAAGATGAAAAACTAAAAAAAAAAAAAAAAAAAGACTTTCTCTTATAAACTGTCACAAAACCTGAATCCCTTAATCAGTCAGACACTAGATGTGACTTTTGATGTTTGGTTTGAGTAAGTGGGATCTCTATGATAACAATAAAAGTAGGAAACATGTCTTTTTGATCCCTTAAACCATACAGTAAATATCTATTAGAGCTATGGAAATTGACAGATGTGTTTATATGTTTATACCTTTATGTTTGGCTGCAGGCATTCCAGCAGGAGCTTGGAGCGAGGTCTAACACTATTGCATTCGTACGGAAGCGTGCCATGGAGTTAATGGATAAGTCGGAGGGTGACATGTCACAACAGCAGGCAGAGCTTATAGAGCTGTCTACGAGCTGGGATCGAGTGTGTAAACTGTCTGTAAACAAACAGGAGAGACTCGAACAGGCCCATAAACTGGTATGTGTAGGCCAATTACATGCAATATTTTATTTGTATCAACACTTATATATGCTGCAAGTCAATAGATTAAGAATGTTTTTAAACAATTTATTTGTGTAAGTTGATACAGAAAATAGTCTGAAATGTACAATAGCTATTTAGGCCATTGATATGATATGGTATTCAAAAACCCATCAATGCCTCAGAGAATTTCATTCAAGAAAATGGACATCTTTGGAAATATTAGAGGTTATGATATCAATATCTAAATAAAATTTAAAGAACAATACTTACGTTAGATGGTGGTTGACCATGATTGGTTCTACTTTCTCACCTTCAAGGCTGAAGATTTCCATAAGAAGGGACAGAGTCTGATGGACTGGCTTGCCAGTGCTGAGAGACAGCTGAGGTACCGTGGGCCAATTCCTGATGAGGAGGCGCCCTTACTGAAACAGATAGAGGAGCACAAGGTATATATATATCCATCTACTATCCCCAAAACATCAGTCAACCAACCCCGCAATATCAACAATCCAAATACTCCGGCTGTAAAACAGATAAGCTATAAATAGTGCCTGCTGTTTTCTCTTGTTTTCTGGTAAAAAAATGTTGGGTCGCCTAAGAAAGCAAAGTTGATATATAGAGATCACTTTGTTGGCCTGATGTTTCTGTGGAATAATTTGTTAAGAAATGCTTTGATTTTCAGGAAACCTTTTACACATATAGAACCTATAGTATTGATAACCTGCTCTAGATCAATTGGAACCAAATCTTGAAATCAACTTGGTTTATAGTTGAAGCTAAACAGATTTTACCAAACAGTCTACGTATATTGAATCCAATGTTTACCCTTGCAGAGGTTTGAGGAGGACTTACTGAGACAAGAAGCAAATCTACGTGAGACGTTGAACATTGGTCAGGACATAATGAAGCGATGCCATCCTGATGCTGTCTCTACCCTGAAACACTGGTTGTCAGTGCTGCGTGCACGCTGGGAGGAGGTAAGCATATTTACAGGACTAACGTCTACACAGATTTTTTTATATAATGATGAGGTTGATTCTTATTGCTGCAAACAATATATATAAAATTAGTACAATTTCATGATATTGAATACTACATACTCATTACAGTATTTTCATTCGGGTATTCAATTTGGCAGTAAATTGGTAAATTTTACACAGTATTGATTGCAAATGTCTGACCCAGCATTATATCCGACATAACAATATGAATAATGATCTTTCAGCTGACTGGAATGTGTAAGCAGCGAGGCCGTAAGCTGGCAGAGGGGCTTGCTGTTCTGCGCAGAAATAACGCCTTATTGGATGAACTGGTTGCTTGGCTCAACGGCGCTGAAGGCACACTGACCGGGCTTGACCAGGAACCCATTCCCGGAGACCTACAAGTCATTCAAGACCTCCTCCAGGACCACCAGGTGAGTAGGGCAAATGAGTGAAAGACAGGTTGTAAACACTAATTGGGTTGGGCTTTGGGAGGATCTACAAGTTATGACTGCTAGGTGGGTGAGGCTTAGGGAGGGTCTGCAAATTATTACTGCTAGGGGGAGGAAAGTGCTAAGGGAAGATCTGTAAGTTTTGACGACTGGGTGGGTGGGGGTTTGGGAGGATCCACAAGTTGTGACTGCTAGGTGGGTGGGGCTTATGTGAAATATGAACAACCATTTTAAAACAACAGCCAAAAAAAGAAGATACTTTATTGTCAATTCAGAAACAGAAATGAATTTTAAAGTGATGTAATCTTAAAGTGAAAGGAGGAGGATTTAAAGACAAGGAAGCTAACTTTCTTATCGCCTTGTTTCCTTACAGCATTTCCAGAATGAGATGTCGGGTAAACAGCCAGAGATTGACAAATTGACCAAGGGAGATCGACGACGGACATCCTCTGTGTCTGGCGAATCACACATTCCTATACTGAAGGGGCAGAGTGGACGTCATACCCCAGTCAAGTCGAGGACGCCCAGGTAGAGAACACTTAACAGAGAACACACTAGTAGACTTTTACACATGTTGACCAATGGTCAGATCGGGTGATGTATACCGGGAAGTTTAGCCACAGTTTGACTTTCACCTTTTTCGTCCTTCGTAATGAGGGCAATTTTATCATTACAGTGAATGTTAGAAAACAATAACACATATATAGTAATTAGATGTCATATATAGTAATTAGATGTAAAGGATGAAATTGATACTGGGTAAATAAGGATTTCGACAGCGAAGGGGCAAAAATTTGTCTCGGCTAAGGTTTCCCTGTCTAGTATATATCTAATCTTATATATTATGTCCACAAAAGTTTTTGAACATTACTGATCTGTTGTAATCCTCATGCATAGTTGTAAACAGCAACTGTTATTGGACCCCCTCTGTATCAGAAATTTTCTTCACAAAATAAAACAGACATGATCTGTTGTCATCCTTACTATGTGTTGGCCCTCTGTCTTCTATGTTTATCCATTCCTATTCTTTATTTTTGGTAGTCTCTCCCTGGGTGCTTAGAGCCTAATGTCAAAATATTACGACTTTATGGTGTGTCATGATACCGTGTCCAGCTTCTGATATTTCAGTGAGATAGTACTCTCAAGTTGCGACACTATTTACATATGACCTGACCTTTGGCTGTTACAAGGATGTAAAGACATAAATAAACGTGTACCTTATTTTCATGACCCGAATAAAAGACTTATTTAGAGGTTAGTTTTTCGTCCAAGATGCAATTCTTCTGCTAGATTTTGGAAAAATTGAATGACTTTATCAATGAAATATGTTTCTAAAAATTTCAACATAAACAAAAACATGATAATTTTAGAAAAAGTGACGCTGATGGTCGCAGAACTCCAGAACCATCATGGAAGAACCCGCGGATCGGAGCACTGTTTAACAAGTGGCGGACAGTATGGTTGATGGCTATGGACCGTCATAGGAAGCTACAGGATGCTCTCGACTATCTCAACGAGGTATACTTCACCGCATCATTTGTTTAAAGTACAACACCATACTAAATACAGATTAGATAGAAACGTTATTGAAGTGTTCCTAAGTTTAATGCAGATTGACATATTTTCCATAGTCACCAATATTTTCAAAAGTTGCTTTTGGTAGGAGTTGTTAATATTGAAAACCTCCGTATTTTTAACAACAAATCGTTATTCCTACAAAGCCTGCCAATGTTTACAAATTACTGTCAAATTAAAAACAATACTGATGACTCCTGACATGGATTACAGGTTGAGCGTCTGAAGAAGTTTGAGTTTGAGGACTGGAGAAGGAGGTACATGCAGTGGATGAGACACAACAAGTCCCGTATCATGGAACAGTTCCGACGTTACGACCGTGACCGTGATGGCCGTGTGACCCGTGCAGAGTTCACCAACTGTATCATGGCCACAAGTAGGTTGACTTTCTTTGTGAACGGTTTTACTTGGCCTTATTTTTTATTTTTGTGTGATCGTACTATTAGTATTACATTTTGTTTGTGTAAACTCAGAAATGTATATTTAGATTTATTGATATATGGTATGATAGATTGATATCTGAAAAATAGATTTTCAGCCTAAACCAGTTCAATGTATATACAGTAAAATCTTAATGTCAAGATGTCTGGTTTGGTGACAACTGTCGGTGCAATCCAGGTGTTTACATATACTGTTCATTGTTTTAGTTCAGTGATAAGCATTATGTATGTACAAAGAGATCTTCTGTGTAGCTGATTTAAACTTTAGTTTCTCAAATTCTGCCCTTGAACAGGTAATTTGTATAAAATGGAAAAAAAAATGAAAAAATAATAATAATAAAAAATAACTTGATTTGATTCACCCATGGACTGAATTCAGTCACAAGTCAGTTAATGTTTGATTTCTAAGTAAGGATGATTATTTCCCCTTCCACAGAGTTCCCAACTACACAGCTAGAAATGGAGCTTGTGGCCAACCTGTTTGACCGTGCAGGCTTGGGGCTCATAGATTACAAGGAATTTGTGTCCGCACTCCGACCTGCAGACAGAGAGGTCAGTGTCAGTCAAAATGATTGTGAAGTCATAAAGCCAGCAGAAAAATTATCGTCAACTGCATAAACACTTACAGAACGATGTGTTCTGTCAATTAATATTTCTAAGTACTAATGACTGCAAAAATTAATTTTCAATTTGAATTAGATGACATGTACTAAATGATCAAATTCAGATGAAAAAAGAAGTGATGTGTATGTAATTTACTTCTCGTTCTTCTTCACAGCCCCAGAAAACAATCACAGATGCGGAGAAGATAATGGACGCAGTCAAGAACCAAGTGTCCAAATGTACCTGTGTCAAACAGTTTAAGATCCATAAGATCGGAGAGGGCAAATATAGGGTAGGTCAAAACCGGAGATTTTATATACTGGGCGTAACAAATAATTTAAATACAGAGTAGGTTAAACCAAGTGTCTGAATCCAGGGTTTGTCAAAACAAGTGATTTAAAATAGCCTTCAACTCCCATAAAAGGCTTAAAAAAAAATGAAGATTTTTTTATTTTTTTTTTAAAGGGAATAAAACTAAACATGTAAAAAAAAATAAAAAAATGCATGCTTCTTAAATTCTTCAACGAAAAGAAAGTGAAAAATTAAACTTTGGTAAATTAAACAGTAATCGAACAGGTCCCATCTACTCCCTATGTTTGTTCTGTGTCTGATCAAATATTCAGAAATGGGGATGGGTTATAAACATGAACACAGTGAGGATCTTTGATATTTGATGAGTGTACTAAGGGTTAATGACCATTCTGTCTTTTAGTTTGGCGACTCCCAGAAGTTACGTTTGGTCCGCATCCTCAGGAGTACCGTAATGGTCCGTGTCGGAGGTGGATGGGTTGCACTGGACGAATTCTTGGTCAAAAATGACCCATGTCGAGGTAGGTACTCGCCAGTAATGATTTGTCTGTCCTTTAAGACACTATCTGTAGATAATATATGTAGACGCCAGAGGTAGATTCTATAAATAATCGGGCTAGTGTTTTTTCTTACAGCTAATTATTTTGTAATTTCTACACATTAACAACCCTCTTACCGGGGAAAATAGTTATTGTTATATTATTATGGTCATTTAGTTCATGGTAATTTTAATTCAGTTACATCATTTGCTGTAACTCTTAAACAAACAAAAAAGAAATATCTGAGAGAGGTTATTGGGCATGAATATTCAATTTTTGTTTTAAGATGACATCATAATCATATGAAAACTTTTTCAACAATTTCCTCAACTAAAAATATTCTCCAAACTGACCTCTCAGATATCGTTCAAGCTCGCAGTATGTTGAATTCAATCATATCAGGTTTAAGGTAAAGCGTACCATCAGTTTGAATATATGTTATAACTTTCTGCAGAAAAATACATCTGGCAATTCATTTTACAGAAATGCAGTTTTTTCGAAATTTGAATATAGATTATTTCAGAAACAAAATACAAATTGTATAATACCCAAACCCCACCCAAATCTAACTCTGTTTAATCCAGAGGTCCCACTCCGTACATATCTACTAGCTGATCGTACACTTAACCAATGTTGCTATCGGGGAATTGTAAAGATGGATACTTTGTCAAGGGAGGTAACTAGAAAAGCAAAAAAAAACTTCTTTAGGTTGTATTAATCTTCTCTGTGCAAGGGAGAATACTCAAAGTAAAAAAAAAAGCTCCGAATCTTTTTCCATGGTACACTTTACCTTACAATGACAACTTTGATGTAAATGTTACTGCTAAATGCCAGTTGTTTGATTTCCATCATGTGTGTATCATTTTGATGAAATTAGCTGCATCCCCACTCATTCATATCAGTGTACTGAGTTCTTGCATCATCAAAGTGTCATCCTCATCGACAAAGGAAAATCCCATAATATCCTGAAAGTGATTATCTCCCTTGTGTTTTAGTACTCCCATTGCTCTCTAGGTGGAGCTGTGATGTACATAAATTTCTCACCTTTACTAACTTGGCTTGCTCCACCACATCGTTACAATTTTGAAATTTTAGGTAAAATTTGCATACTTTTTATCAAATCTGTCTTGTACAGTCTGAATTGTGGTGACGATTTATTCAAAATTTGGTTGTTTATTTTTCATTTCGCTTGAATAGGTTTACTTTATTGTAATTTTCTTCAAGACATCATAAATGTTTTATTAGTATTTTTGTATCATTCTGCCAAAAATTTACAAGTGATTTTGTGTACAAAAAGTGGAAAGTATTTTTATTTCATCAATTATTTTTTCTAAAAGCAGTCTGCATTTTTATTTAAAAACAAAACAACTTCTTTCGCCTCTGTTTACGTTTATCAATGATGCATGCAGCTGACAAGTGTATGCGCTTTGTTTTTTCATGTTCAGTATATCACATTGCCTTTGTTCTAACTGGCTTCGGCATGTGATTTGTTGCCATGACAACATTTAACAGATAGATAAGACAGCTATTTTCACCACTTCAGTTGCTGAATGAAAATCATGTCTCATCAACCCCCCTCCCCCTTTGACTATCTCCCCTTGTTTAACGTTTCACTTAATTATGTGCATAAATTAACATATTAATTAAGATGTATTTAGCATACTCGCATTTCATTGGTTATCATGTAATCCACCCAACAGACTTTAACAAACACTTTGATTCGTGCCCAGTGTGTAAGTAATTGTGACATTTTTACATCTCGGGAATTCATGTCTCCATTTTGTTTTCACAAGTTTGTGAGCCCAAGATTCTACAGCTGAGTCACCGAAAAAAAGAATTTACAGAGAAAAAATGTGTTTTTTTTGTTGTTGGATAAGTTGTTGTTTTGAGCATCAACTGAATTATTTCTTGAAAAGCGATATACATGTGCCTTTGTTAAATAATAATTATTCCAAGTTTTTTGAAGGAAAAAAAACACCAAATACATGTACATAGAAAATGTGATCTTTAGACCGATTCAGCTGTAGAATTGAGTAGTAGTTTTGCTGGAGCAATGTTTAAGCCGTTCAGTTGTTGTAATTATGATTCCTGTTGTGTTGATTGCGCTTGTACCCGGCATGTTGCTTTGCTGAAGTCTGAGCGCCCTCACTATCACCATGTCAGCTCCTCCTCCTCCTCCCCCCCCTCCTCAGCATGGTCTAACTGTCTCTGCAAATCCATCCTTCTTCCTGAGCCTAACCGTCATAGCCATCACATCATCATGTTTAAGCCTGTGTTGGATAACTCCGTCTGATACAGTGATTTTGTGTATATATACAACATAGATATACTTTCTTTTCAGCTTTCCAATCAGTATCTTGTATGTTAGCGTAAAATCTGCACCTTCAACTTTGCTTATTTCTGGTGAATTTTGTCTTCAACTCTCTTTTTCAGCCATGTAGTCGTTTTTGTTCTTGATGTTTTGTTTATTTATTTCTCGTCTTATTTTTACTGTGTGTATATTCATATTTGTATATTGTATGTTTCATTCGTTTTCTCTCACTTTCTCTTTCCCACCAAAGTTGGTTTGCGAAGACGTAATCGGTTTCGCTTCAAAATACAGATACAACCCTCTGAAATCAGTAGGTCTTTTGTCGTCATGACAACAGGAATGCTGTTATGCAGATTTGTTTGCATCGGAATCCCGTTTTTGTACTACCTTAACTTATTAAAATGTCTGTTTGTTCCTTAGCCTATAATTGTAACTTTGTACTGCTTTGGAATAGCTCTTATCAGTTTTATGTTATCAGTTTCATTTTGTTCCTATTTTCCGCCATCTTTGTATGTTGTGTGCTCCGTTGCATGACAAATTATGTTACTGCGTGTTTTAATGTTGTAAGGAAAACCTGTTTTGGGACAGAATGAGGTATCACTGTACAAGACAGCCAAAATAATCTTCAAGTTGTAACAAACAACTTTTTTTGATTTTCGATTCTAGCATATAAAATGTCCTGGTTTTGCTGATAACAAAACCAGAGACATTATATAAGAACAAAAAATAGCAATGAAAAACATGAAATGGTTTGATTGCATGAGATGACCTTTCCATCTTTGATTATTTATGAAATGCCTTTGACTGGCAGAAGTTGAGTCTACTTGGTAACAAGGGAAGGACAGGTTGCTGCTTGAGAACACCCCTGCTTTGACATGGCTGATGGAATATTCCCCTTTATTTCCTTTAAAGTTAGCCCTGTTGTAGAGCACCAGTCCTTTTTTCATCAGATTTTCTCTCTTTTTAAATTTCTTACGTAGAATTTCACTTTTGTTCTCCAGTCTGTTTTCGAAAGGAAATTGTGACTGGTATATTTGGTCCATATTGTCCTCTTTGAAAAAATAGACCTGATGCTGTTGCTATCTGTTGACATTTGATTGGTCTGTTTTGAATAAAAGGGTTTATATGGATAAAAGCCACTTTGCTGTGACTGTCTCATTTAAGTTTCACAGTATATTAAATCTTTACACTTTATGAAAATTTACAGTTTTAATCATTAAATGCTTTTGTTGTACTAGATTACAAAATGAACCATTTCAATGTGTTTTTACCTTCATTTGAGAGTAAGACCTTTTGAAAGGGTTCATTATATTTAGTAAATTTTATCTTAAATTCTCTCTGGTTGATTCAATGAACTGTTTTAAATTCTTATAAAGCGCAACCTCAGTATAGTTATCCGCTGTCTCCAGGTAAAAATGACAGGTGTACAGGTATGTACTGGCGATTTCTGTTATCTCAACAAGACGAGGGAGAACAAAGAGAAGGCGGTGTTTATGACAAATTTATTTGGCTTTTTTACAAAAATCCATGCAGGGATATTGTATATATTGTCTGCATAACTTTGAATATCTTAAAAATCATTTCTTTTTGGAATATTAAGGTACCAGTATTCAATCTCATGTCTTAAAACGGATGTCATAGGATTTTTTATTCAGTTACCAAAGACAGAAAGATTAAGTCCAAAAAGTTGAGATTACTAGAAATCTGCTGTACATAGTTATTGTATCAAATGGTATATATATACATGGTCATTAATGTTACCAGGAAATTTAATTATTTAATATGGTTGTTGTTTAATTAATATGAAATTTACGATATATTGTATATTATTCAGTTATAATTGTAAAAGTATAATGTAACCGCCTACTGACCCGTTATTAACGCTTTAATATGTCTGTAGCCTATATTGATGTATGAAATCTACCCGCTAAAATGATGTTTCTAACACTTTCCTCTCTCTAGATGATTGGGGGGGAACTATTGATAAAACAGAGTTAAATCAATTTATTACTTACACATTATTCGTGTTTCTATGTTTGCAAAATAGAAGTGTTTTATATTATCCTAGTATGACAAATATTCTAGAGACAAGTCTTCATGAGATATCATGATTTTTTTTTCACTTTCATTTGTATATCAAAAAGGAAATTACAAAAAAATATTTAAACTCTAATAAATACCTTGTGATACAAATATCTTGAGTTTGATGGTATCCAGATGATGAAGTAGGAATAAATGGCTTATGTAATAGTACATAAACTAGAAGCTGGGAAAACGAGCTTTGGATCGGAGGGTGACGGTGTGAAAGCTGGGGCTGAAGGCTGGTGGAATCTAGAAATTAGTTTAGACAATTTTTGATTACAAGGTTTCATGATATTTATGGTAATATAAAACGTAATTTGTTGATAAAAAAATTGAATAATTATGAGTTTGTTGAAAAGAAATATTCCATTAGGAATTATATACCGCTGTGTAATTAATATTAGCAAATGATGCACAATATAATTGTTATAATGATTAAAAGCTGAGTGGGAAGTGTTAAAAAGGAAATGTGTGGCATTAAATTAAATTACGCACGAGAGTGTAACTAGATCCTGAAAAAGCTTTATATTATGGATTTTGAGATCCAGAAAAGGGCAGTTTTGGGTCATTTAAAGGGCCAATACATACGGGCTGGGTTTGACCTCTCAGAGAGTCAGAAAAATTTCTTCCTGTTTTAGCCTATCTAACTGCATGTGAAAGTTACCGTATATAAATACATTGTTACCTGTGTATGGAATACAATAACCTAATAATAAAAAAATATAATACGGTATACCCCTGAAATCCAAACACCTCATCTGTCTCTGATTTAATCAATGGGAATGAGTATTTGATATTTGTAAATTTCTGATGTGTATTGTGGAATTTGTATCATAAATCCCTATCCTGTATTGGTATACTCAAATTGTTGTAATAATATCAAATTAATATTAAAAATTCATATTTAAATCACATGATATACTAATTATGGTGATTATAAAGAGACTTCATTCAGAACAGAAATTCTTGCAGTAACTTGAAAGTTGAAATCAGTTTATAATGACATTTCTTGTTTGCTTATTGGATGTATTAGAATATTTAATTCAATTTTTAAATGGAGTTTCAGTCTGAATAGATTATTACATGTTTATATATATTTATGTGGTATTTGATTTTAAGATATAAATCTTATCTATACATTATACAAGGAATTTATGTTAACTCATTCACCCCTACTTATCTAAACTGGACTCACCCAGTCATTGATTTGGTAAAATTCAAATATGACTTTAGGGAAGAAAAAGTTAAAGTCGATATTCATCAAATACAAATTTTGAAAGTAGAAGTTATTGGTAAAAAAAATATTATATAGGGAAACTTAAAAGAGGAAAATGACTAGAATATGAAATATGGCTGCATATGTGTTACAAGGGCTTTATGGGAAATATTTTCAGCACATTCAAAATAATTGTTGAAAATCGTTATAAATGATCAAATTGATCTCATTCATTTGAGAGAAAAAAATAAAATGAAAAATCCTTGAATGTTATCCTAGAAAGATCCTTTCCCCATGGAGCCCTTCAGACGCTAATGTTACTAAATTGTTTGTATGTACATGTGGGTTTACAGGGAACATGTATAAATGGGATGTTTGTGGAATTATCTGGTAAAAATGTTTACCAACATGTAGCCAGTATAGACTGTATAAAATCAGAGGATCACTATAATTAACATGTTTGTGTGGTGAACTTACAATGTCTAGATCTTGCCGTCTTTAATATGAAAATAAATATGAAAATGTTTTGTCACTATTTTTTATTGATTTCTGTTGTCTATTGCAGCACGAGGTAGAACAAACATAGAGCTTCGAGAACAGTTTGTATTGGCTGAGGGTGTAAGCCAATCAATGTCAGGCTTTGTTACACGTAGTCCGGGCGGAAGTGATCGTAGCTCCACCCATTCGGGGATGTCATGGAGCACACGATCGCCGAGCTCGGCCAGTGGTCCCATCACAAAGGTACGTCCACTAACGGTAAAAATGGAAGTCATTATTTACACGATTTCTAACCAAAACTTCTCTAATGAAATACAGTTTGATCTACAGGGCATGTACAGTTGTTCTGTGTTAATCAGTTAACAATATTCGTACCTAACTTTCCAGTAGCTCTTAGGTAAGGTGATTTACTGACCAAAAAAACAACCTATAAGCCTTTCAATAACTTCTTTTACCCAGCTAGTATTTGCTCTTGATAATTTCCCAGGGTTTTATTTACATTTAGTTCCTTTTCAAGATTTTAGTTAACTCTAAAACTACATGTCATACAAATTTTTATGATTGCTGATAAATATCTGTTGAATTTTCCTCTTTCTCATTATTTCATAATGAAAAATGGCACAACTAATGCTTTCTGACATTACCTTCAGTTTTCCTGCTTAAAATAATGCCTCAGACAATATGTATGTGTTCTAAGATATATAAGAAAAAGTACCCCGGGTATCAAAACTGTTAAAGGAATACTTGTTTTAAACATTTGAAGTTTTGAATGAGTAAAAGATTTTGATGTGAATTTCAATTTGAATTAATGCTATCAGCCAAGGAGGCGATTTTCTAGACCCAACTCTCTGGTAAGTGGCAGAAACATGATCTTAAACTGTTTTCTCATTATGGCAGTGTCCATCAAAACATATTTACAACTATATACACGGGTGATTTAAATATTTATTTACTTACTTATTTATTTATTTATTTAATATTTATTTACTGGGAAAGTTTGATCAATATTGCAAAGTTTGGTGTAGCTGGCAGCTATGACAGTGTGCAATTTTTAAATTGAAAGCTGATAATTGAAAACTTGTTGTAAAATCAAGAGTTGATACATTAAAAAGATGGGATATATGCACTGTGTTTATTGAGTGGAGTTTTAAGAATGGTGGATAAATATATATTGTGGGTTTTCCTGAATGTTACCCAGTATCAGTAATGGTTCAGCACTTAGATCTACGTGAAGATCAAATATAAATGACCTGAGCCTCATTTGTTGTTGTAGATACGAGAGAAGACCCAGTACCCAACACCATGGAAACAGCAACCACGCGTGAAGACAAGCCCAGATGGCGAGGTTAGGCAAATAATGGCCCGCACGGAACCAGACGGTACAAAGTTCATCAGGTCAAGGGTCGCACATGACCTGCGCAGCCCCAGGGAGATACAAAGCCCTGGAGGTCAGTATATACACACATGTAGATGTCTTCAGATCTGGTTGGCCTTGAGTCCTTTGGATAATGTGACAGTGTTATATGCTAATTATTTATACCTTAACTTATTGGGGGGGGNGGGGGAACAAATTCAGTGATTCTATACAACATAGTATGGTAACATCAAGTTCTACATTTTACAAAGACTGTGTGGTAAAGGTTAAAGGGTCAAGGGTCAAAGGTCACACTTGTGTTGTTTGTTATGTGTGTGTATGATGATTATTGTACAGTTACACGTTAGTTAAAGTACCCAGCTACAGAAATTACACTAACGACTGGACAGATTACATACAGTAAAACCTCGTTATACTGACACTATTTGTCCAGAGAAATTTTGGCGTTATAAAGGGGTTTGGCAATAACCTGAGGCAAACGTAAAAAGGGACATTGAAATATGCTGGCGATAAACAAGGGGCATTGTATCAAGGTTTTACTGTACATACAGTATTAATACATGTGGACAAAATCATTAGGGAAATCACTGTTGTTATGATTATTTGATGTTTTCAAAGATCTAAGCAAGAAGTGAATGTTGTTTCCTTGAAAAGATGAAATATTTCAATAATTATCATCATTATGTTTGTAGCTACACCGAGTCGCAGTTCAAGTCGGGCCAGCACCAATAGCCGACCGCCAAGTAGAGCAGACAGCGAGACATCAGAAACCAGTGAACCGGAAATATTCACAACAGTTCAAAAGGAAACACGCAAAATTGGAGGTCGAAGTGAGACAACCATGACATATCAGACACACGTAGTGCAAACACGGACTTCGGTTACTCCTGCCACGGCTCGTGTCAGCACTCCTACACGTGTGGGTACGCCAACACGGGTCGGCACGCCAACGGCACGGGGATCAAAAATACCAACACCTTACAAGAAAAAGTGATTTTGTGATTCAATTAGGTGTTGACAATATTCTTACTTTGGGTGGGACCTCCACTCGTACAGACATTTACGATTAAAACTATCGGATTTTGTTGTCAGCTTCATTATTCACAGACCAATATGCATCCTTGACCGAGTCACGTGACCAAAGACTAGCTATGTGATAAGCTATACCAGTGCGCTTAGGATTTCGACTTTCTTTTATTTCATTTTAAATTGAAAATGTATTGGACTTATTCCACTTGAGTGAAGATTTGGGGGAATCTTCATCGAATGGAGGAAGGTTTGAAGTATGAAGGATCTAAGTTGTATTTATTCATTCACGAAGGAAGAATCTTTAAAAAACTGGATAGCTTGCTTTATTTAGAAAAAGTAATATGTAGCCTAGTTGTAAACTGGGCCTGTATTATATCTTTTGATATTTGTTTTTGTATAATATATGTAGAGGGATTTTTTTTTCCTTTTTTTCCTTTTTTTTTTAAAACAAAGGTCTTTATTCCATTATACATTGAATGTATACAAAATTTCGTAGCTGTAGTAAATTATAATCGTATTGGTTTAAAAATTATAATCAAAGCATTTTTGATAGTAACCTGATGTAGATTTCTATACAAATAATGGTATATTCCGAAATGAATGTAAGGATTATAAAGAACTACCAGTTCTACTCTCAGTAAAAAATTTGAAAAAAAATTACCATATTCCAAGATTTCATGGTGCTTGTGTGTTCTTGTTTACAAGATTTGGAACTTTAAAATTTAGAGTTTCCAGCATGCCCTGCAGATTTAACGCATGGTTTTATATGGTCCACTGTCCTGTTTTTCTCAATGTATTAAGAGAAATTGTTTTTGCATTCTTGTTATGTTTAAAGCTCTACCGTGAATCTGACTGGCGTCGTGTCATTCCCGAGGGGTTGGTTAGCAAGGGTAACGCTGCTGCTTGTATCATTACACCATCCTTTGCTTAACAATTCGGTTTTATTTGAGAAATCAAATAAATCTTCATAATTATCTAGAAATCAAAAGGACATAGAAATCACCCCATAATTTCTATCAAATTCATATTTTTGCACCGTTTTGCTTGAATTTGAGAGATTGTTTTAGAGTGGGGGAAAATATCTATGCCTTGGAATGACGCAATGCCAAGAGTGTGTTTTTATGGTGGAAATATTGTTTATGCTTGCTGGAATTGAATATTGTGATATTCTAGAGAATATTTGAAATGTAGTATTTATCGTCAGATGAAAATATGAGTGAGTAGAATAAAGAGTGTATAAAAAAATAAATACAAGTCTCTATGTGTATATATAGGTTGGGATATATATAGATATATGTATATATTGTTTCTGGATAAATATCTATGGACTGTCATTTGGTTGTATAGTCCTGCCTCCTCACAATCTGTAGCCATCCTCATTTCCTAAGATGCTATTCCTGTAAATTTGACATGAATATGTTAATTAATGTAATTTACATGAATATTAATGAGATATATTTACACGTTCAAAGTGTATACGTTTATTCGATCTATAAGCAAAATATTATGATTTCAGTTATGTAATTAAATAATTTACATAGGTATGTTAAATATTATTCTAGCTGTTTGGAGTGGTTCATTTTAATGTATTTTTGTACGCAGTATGTAAATGAGGCTGAAAGAAGCAACCGTTACGGTGAATAGTCTTTTGATGTGACTGTTGGAGGAGAGAGATTTATTTATTCAAGGTAACGCCCACTCTACGTTCCAGTATTTAATGTGGAACATGTTTTAGTGTTGGTTTATCGGGATGGAGGTGGATTGTATGCATATCAAAGTTATATTTCCACTACAAGTGCTTTTCATGTATATGTAGCCTATATGTATATACCGGTATAAGTCGGTACCACACTCCTAGTGTATATACCGGTATAAGTCGGTACCACACTCCTAGTGTATATAGGATATAAATAGGTATCAGGTCAACGTTATACACTTGTACTTAAAATAATGCTGTAATATTCTTCAAGTGTTGCTGTGTGATATTAAAAATAAGAATATTTCCGTAATCATGCAATATTTTGCACGATCGTTAGTAAAGCTTGCTGTAATAATCACTGAAAATAAATTATGTAAATGTGATAAACACCTACCAATAAAATATATGAATATTGAAAATAATGCTGACAGTATGAACATGTTGAGAATAAATATAAAATATTCACCTGATGTGAATATAGAATAATCATGAAATCTTGAATATTGAATTATTCATATCACACTATATGAGTATTACAGTATTTATTGGATGTGAATATTTATATATTCATCCCGTCATTCCTTCCTGTAATGTAATTATTCATTTGCTCATTTTATGTAATCATCATACATATACATTGTAATCATGTATCGAGCTATAAATATCACTGTGAGAGACGCCACGTAGCCTGCTATATACGGCCAGTGGGGCTGATGGGAGGGGGGGCAGACAGTATATCTGGTTACTAGGGTTACACTATATACCAACACTTATACAAATTTTCATTTTGTTTCCATGACAACGTGAGGAATAAGTTGTTTCTGTATGTTTCTGAATAATTGTATTGGGTATGCATGTGGAATCTGTACCGCGTCCCTGGGGTATGTGCCCTTGGGGGAAGGGCACTGTCCCAGGGGTAGGGGTGTGGTCCTCTAAACACCAGTAACTGTAAGCATTGATATTCAGCTTCCTTGCTTCATATGCAAGTCAAATGGAATAAGTAAAAGGAATCTCAATATGCATCTGTTGTTGTTGTTGTTTCTTTACATCTGTTGTTGTTGTTAACTTGACAGTTTATGGTTAAATGTGAGTTCTGTAACTTTTGTGTTGACTATTGTAGCAGGACCACATAGGGATCACTCTACTGGCGGTGTTGTCAGTTGCATCATTGGCACAAAGGTTTCCTTGCAATGACTCTTAAGGAATGCTTTGATTTTCATGAAACATCCCTCAAATAAAGTATTAACTAGAACTGTCGCCTATGGGCGAGATATTCAGCCATTTCAGTAACGTAATTCATTCGTGACCTTTGACCTTTCAAAACGAGGAAAGTTGAAACCTTTATATATGTTAAATATTATTTCCTCTAGTATATAACCATAAGATTGAATAAAAAATAACAAAAAGGTCTTGCATTTTCTAAACAATGTCATGGTCTAGAGAAGGTTTATGAACCAAGGGCCATAACTTCGTGAAAAGGAGAGATAACCCAATGAAAAGGATTTTACGCACATCCCCAAGCTGCAAGGATTGTTATCAGCAAATTTCATTGAAATCCAGTACACGGTACTACATTGCGTCGACAGACGGACAACCTGATTCAAGTATACCAGTTGCGGGGGTATAATTACCAGCTCAGATTTTTACCCATAGATCAATGTGCCCACCAGCCACCAACGTGCTTTATCACCTGAACCGGTTTCTGTGCGATAACCCTTTAAGGAATGGCTTGATTTTAAATCAACTACGTGTAGCGGAATTTGACTGGGTCAAGCGTCAGCGACAAAGCAGCTCAATTGGTAGAGTGCCCGTCTAGATTTCGTGGAGTGGTCGCAGGTTCGAATCCTAATCTGGCCCTGCATTTTTCCTGTCCTGTTACAGTGGTGCCTGTGACCAACCCTTGTTTCTGAAGCTGGGTTGAATTCATGGGCGAAGTCTTCGAAAAAGGAGGGAGGAATGTAGTGGAATTGTTCCTTCTCCCGTTACATACGAAATACAAATTGCCACCAATAGCTGTCCCTAAATTTGAGGGAAGTCACATGGTTACCATATGATAACTTTTGAAGAAATGTTTTGGATATTCATGAAACTTTTATACATGCCTATACATTTTGTGGTATCTATTGCCCACGTCAGTTTGATTTTGACTAAATTCTGAAAATTAACAAGACTGCCAGTGCAAGCTTACCACACATCCACTTCCATAGAATTCTTGTTTAGTTTTTGCAATTTTTTTATTGCTCTTCCACTGAAATATGTAGTGATTAGAATTTGCCGGAGGAGACACAACAGGTATGTATAATCTTCGAGATCCTGTTTATACTGTACAAGAAATTTAATTTGAATTCTATAAATACAAATGTTTTGGATTTAAAGTGATGAGAAAAATATAGGTGTAAAATTGAATCTGGGACATTTCAATGTTCTCGTACAGGTAATTGGTCACTTTGATTTATTAATTCATATTTTTAATGTTTTCTTACCCATCAGACCTTGATTGAAGTTCAAAATAGCGAGAAATTTGACTCATAAATGTTCAAAAGACATTGAGAAAGGACTTGGGGCGTTAAGGGTCCTTTTTGGTCCAACTTAAATTTATTTGCCAATTTCTGTTATAAACATCATATTGGTTAATTTGGGCGATCTTTCTTGGTACATATTATTTTTCCAATGCTCATGCATAGATGCCCTACCATAGCAACGAACTGCGTTGCTATGCAGAAATAGTCAAAGTATGGTGTTTTTGGACAGTTAACATGCAGAAATGAAAGCCTCCGCACGAGACCCCAAAAAAATCTTTTCTACAAATGAACATTGGTATAACAATATTTATTTGTTTGTTGCATGCGGAGGCTTTAAAAAATTGAAGAGGTTTATTTAATTTCCTTCATAATGGGCAATTTTTAACCAAATAGCGCACAACAGACAACATTCACACATTTTATCATGAAAATTTGTGTTTATGTCTCTCTTTGTAATGCCAGATCTCCTAAACCAGTTGTCGAATGAATTTGAAATTTCATATTTGCGTACTTCATTTATTCCAGATTACGAATATAACAACTAATCCTAAATCGACGATGAGGCCAGAAATGTCCTTTGGATCTTCAACATTTGATTAGTTCCTCACATGGAAAGTATACTCATGGTTGTTGGAATATTACAAACATCTTTTTTTCCCCACAATGACAAGTGTGCTTCTTGAATTATACGGTTTAAACGGACAATTTATTGAAGCAAATTATTTCTCTTTATCTTCATACTCTAATTTAACCTGATTATTTTGTATTCAAATCTGTCTGTGAACAGAAACATCTTAATAGATTTAAATATTATGATACTTATATTCCTTGATTGTGATATATTTTGTAAAGTAAAGCAACTCTAATGTGTTGTGTGAAATCAAACCCACTGTCACTGTGTTGTCTGCCGACTGCGTGGTACTGTACATGTTTACTTCTCCCAGAAATGCCTTGGTATTGGCCTGTTTTGATCGTAGCTATATTTCCCACCCGATTTTCCCAAAAGATAAAACTGACCACACTGACTAACTACACCACTTTTGTTAGGAGATATTTATGTTCAGTATCTACTAGATTTAGGGTATCATTTCACTAACTAGCCTCTTTAACATCAACAGATAACTTTTTAATACTGCTCAAACCACAGATTTAATTACAGATATATTCTCAAACAAACAACAACAGAAAGTATTTCAATCTTATGCAGATTTTTGTTTATTTAGCTCAAAATATGAACTTGATACAAATTGCTAAGTGAAGTAAAAGCAATCTTAAAAAGATCTCGGCACACATCTCAGTTGCCATATATGGCTGTAGTTGTGCTACATTCTCCTGTTGCTATAGTAACAGAGTGATGGACAGACTTTGATTACAAAAAAAGTATTTCAACTCAAAAACCCATTGTATGCTCCAATGTCTACAGTAAAACAAGATTGTGTGTAAATATGTTTAAAACTCGGCACACATCGCAACTCTGTATCAAAATTGCATAGACTGGGGCCAACAAATGTGCATCAGCATAACCTTTCTTTGAAATTAAAACAAAAAACAAAAAAAACACAGTTACATGTTGTTGACCTGGTAAACATGAGACAGACATATTTGTACTAGTCTCCGGAAAAGGTGACAAATTGGTGCCCAAAGTTACAAAGTAGCCGTACAAACTTGTGTGACAAATGTTGCCATTAGTTACGGTGAACATTTCGACATTTTCTATATGATCAAAATGTACCCATTCATAGCATTCCGACTCTAACCGGCAACGACCTCCAACGTAAATGTCAAGTGATCCATAAGGTCAAGGGTCACACTTGGACAGATAGTTCAAGGTCGTATTCCGTCTTGATGACAGAGTAGAAAACAACAAAAGGACCGGCCCTTTGTTTAAGATCATATAATATTATAGAACAACAAGAGTAGACAACTACCGCTACACTGACCGTGCCAGCTAGAGTCGGAAATAAATACTCTATCGGAATGCTTCTAGAAAAAGCTGTCGGGGCACATGTATAGAGAAAATCTATACCCTCATGTCTAATAGGTTTCCATGGCAACAGAGTTGCTACAGTAACAGAATACTTTAAAGATCACCTTAGTCCTCCATCACCTGTTTGTCCTTTTGAATTTCGCTCGTATTTATTGATTTTGTTTACCTTCCAGTACAAATACAACTCCTGGAACATCGAAAATGAAAAGACCAATCTCGAAACAACGTCTTCCAAGAATGACACCCCAAACTTGGTCAACCAATTTTTTGCTCACATTGGCAATTTTTTTGCATCTGAAATTTGTTCTTAGCATAACACAATACAGTATTTGTCTTTGGTAAGAAGAGAGGCACTTTTAACCAAACCCACATCAGCAATTTCCTTACCATTTCATTCCTTCCGCATCTGTTTTACATAAAAAAATCTTGTCTGGGGAAATGTTTTGAATTAGCTTTATAAAGAGTCTGTTTACATTGTGATTTAACAGTTAGTGCTCATCAAAAGAAACTGAGATTCAAAATTCCAGGCATATATATGAACATTAAATGCATTTTTATGTTTTTTTCTCAACTGTAAATATTATCAACATTCTCTTTTTTTTTTCTCTCTTTACTTTATTTGTACATGTTTTTAGCTGTCATGGAAACTTAGTTCATCAACAGCAAACAAAAGGAGACTTGGTGATATTATTTTATATTTTTAAAAACTTTTTTGGAAGGAATAAAACTTAACAACTATATAAAATTACCTTTTTAGTGAAGAACTGTTATGAAACTTCAAACAAACAAAAAAATAATAATATAGAAAGTGACACATTCTCCGACTCATACCTTACAAAAACTTGTCAAAATATGTCACCAGCGTGAATCATACCTTTCCACACTATAATGAAATCACAGATCGTCAACGACGCAGGTCCGAGACCAACGTCTTAGCCCACCCGTTTACCGGCACACAAGTGCCTAGACTGTACACGTTCAAATCAAAACATTACTTTGGAAAGTAATAATTATATAATAATAAATTAATACCTATGTATACAAACTTATTTACAAACTACAATAAAAAAAAAAAAAGGATTTTAAACTGTACAGTAACCTAATATACACACTGACCACAATAACTAAGCAACACAAAAAATGTACATCAACTCGAAATCAAAAAATAATACCACCAGCACATGATGGTTGGATAAATACAGCCTACAGCAAGGTACCACAAATATACATAAACATTGAAGGGCAAGGACATTTTATAACAAACGGGAGTCATAGCACAGTTTTTAATTTTTCAGATAGTTTATCGTTCATGTTTTCTGTTCAAAAACGAAATTTCGAACAACAACAGAAATATCACACATGACGAAAATATTTGGCACTTAATATTTTGTGTAATCAGGTTCACCATGCAAGACACAAGTACAAATCTTTGGCAGATAGTTTGGATGTCTGATTTCATGTTGCTTGACAACACCGACACATACTTTTGCAAGGAGAATCCAGAAATTCAAGAAATTTCAGAGAGAAAGTGTCTGTAGAAAATTCAGATATCAAGATTTTTCGGGCGTAATAGGTAAAGTTAAAAGAAAAGGAAAGAAATTGACACGAGACCAACATCCAACCCTAGAAATGAACAGTATATTTGTGGAAAGTTATTAACAATGGTACTTGTGGAAGACTCGGAGGTGCTACACGTATAACAGGTGAGTTTATAGGTGCACATCATTTTGATTACATGCCAGTTGGATAATATTACACCACTACAAAACTCTCAACAAGTTAGGATAATAATATACTGTTTTATATGAATCGGTTCCCTCCCCGTAAATATGGTGTCAAAACCTTGTTTCACAAGAACTTGTTGGACAACTAGCTGACCTTTATGGTCGTATAATATTAAATTGTCCAGTTTTTCTTGAAATTTTACATTTTTTTTTTTTTGAAATACAAGTAGCACTTAATGAGTTGTTGGATTTGAGATTATTTATATAAATGTATATGTATGTGATGGGCTGGACCTCCCATTCCAAAATGAGTTTTATAACACTTTGGCGACGTCCAATGCCAGATTGAATAAGCTCCCTTTTAATGGCAAGAAAAATCTCCTCGTTACTGCCGATTTGGCCACAGTGAACTTATAATACTATGAGTAATCACGACTTGTAACGTCGTTCCTTTGTTACGACTCCAGTCAGGTGACTGAAATCCATACAGAGGCCATTTATACCAACACGCACACAGTCAAAACATTCGCACTAACATATGATTAAATTTGACAATAAACCAACATAGGACATACGTTATCTAGCATGTGTTGAAGGAGGATGACGATGCCCACCTTCCCAGCTGTACGTCAAACACTGACGTATCAACGTTTATGTTGTCAACACATCAAGGTACATGGGAAGGGTCAATGGCGACATCATTTGCGTGATGCGGTGACAACGGACAAGTGAAATCATGAAATAGTTCTACTCCATGACGAAGAATACAACATTTTGCGATGACAAAAGTCACTCACAGTTTTCACACAAGTCTTTTAAAAATCACTGTTTTCTTTAATGTAACAACATAATAAATAATAAGATGATAAAGAGTGCTAAAATAAATTAAACATGTGATAAGCATGTTAGCGAGGATTTCTGGATGACATGGAAATAACAAGGGGTGCAGTATCACAATTAAAACTCCTAGAACCCAGGGCATGGGTTCAAATCCACAACAAAACGCCAACAACTTATAACGTAGATGCCATTTAACAAAGCGATGGGTAGACAAGGCTACACCAACAAGTTGTTCACATAACACACAGGGACTTGAGTATGGGGGCCAACACTGAACTCAAAATTAGTCAGCTATTTACCAGAATATAGATGTTTGTCACCTCCAAACAAAAGAGTTCCTCAAATCAAAATTATGGATTTTCTTGATCCATTTCTTCACTGGCCTATGAAGCTGCTGTTAGGTCATTAAGGTAAAGGTCGAGCCTTACTAAGGTCAAGGTCAAGCCTTAAGTAGGACTTGTTTTGTTTGGAGCAGACAAACCAGACAAATGCTGACCAAGAATTCACAACAATGTTCTATATGATCTACTCTACTTTAATATCATTTATCATTCCCTGGTAACCTTGGTAACCTTAACAATACAACATTACTGACATTTGTCAATTTGTTACTTCTGAGAATTTGAAAAAAAATCTGGAAATATATTTCGCAACTATTTAATGGTATTTCAAATGATGATTCAACTCTATACCCCCATTTTAATTCACTGTCAAGATAAAATTTAGTTTGACATAGCAGTGAAATATGAGCAAGAACATTTTTTCAATTACTGCAAAAGTGGATACTTTTTTTTTTTTCTTTTCTGATATATCTTCAACAAATACTGTCTTATTTTTTCTCGTCTAACTATTTCTACGGGGATCTTCTTTTAAATTAACTACAGTTTCTGAACAAAGCTTTATAGATATACGAAACCCCATTCCCCTCCCCCTTATACACACGCACGCACACAAGACCTCTTCACAGAACGGCTAGAAAACAACCATATATGTGAACACAACGAAACATATTTGACCAGTACAAGGGAAGATAACTCACTCTCTACACCAACAACTAAAATCGTGAAAGACTCTCTAGTTATTTACATACATTCTCAATGCATAATCAATACATGTTCCGTAGAATCAAAGTTAAAGAAATCACCAGGGCTTCATTTTTCATTATTGCTGAGAAATTAATCTTAAAAAGCAGAAAAAAAATTGGTGTTCATCAAATTATCATTAAAGTGTCAAGGTCAAATATACCAACAAGCTTGTGTAGCCATTGTCGATATTTCGACGAGATTTTGCATATTTGACATGACATCAACACTAACTGTGCTTGGCATATTATTGGTTAACTCCATGAGGTAGAACACTTGCTTTCAATATTTACATTTTCAAATTTTTTGTCTGATAATCCTTAGTGAATTAATTAAAGAAAAATAATAATCCAAATCAAATCAAATAAACACTTTGGCAATTCTATCCGTTTCTTTGCATGGGCAGCACAACTGTCCTGAATTTATTGCTAGCATTCTACATTATAACAAACTTTTAAACACAATACATTTACATCACTAGATGAAAAGCAACAGAAATCTTACTGTCAATGTTCCTGTTTGAATTAGTCTAATCTATCTACAGCAAACATCAAATCAATAATTGTGACTTCAATCTGAAAGTTAATTTCCCATATTTTTCACAAAAGGAAGAGTTCCAAAATCAAAACTAAATCATCCAAGGTCTGTATTGATCATTTCTTACGAGAATTTGACAAAAACTGTTATCAAACGAAAGAAGGCATGATTCAAATTAATCTGGGAAAAACTGTTTGAAATTTTAATTCTTATTTTTTTTTCAAAGAGGTAGTTATACCATACATGCATGCTATAGATAAATTAAGTGTACTGGTGAATCTTAAGGTATCCCAATAAACATCAGATAACAAACTCCAACTCGAATGCCATCAGGGGTTCACCATCTCACCCGTCGGGACAGCAAGTGACAAGTCACATGATTCAACAGACCAATCCTGAATTTTGTAGTCGCATAACATGATAGAGAATTAGTTGTTTGAGGTACATGGTTCCAATATATATAAAAAATGGATGACGAAAGGTGATGATTTTACAGATGAATATACATATGGAAGAAAAGTTTTAGGGCCTTTTTCTTCAAAATGACAACACTACATCTAAGTAAGTTGATGGGGGGGGGGGGGGGAGAAAAAAAATTGAGTAGCACTTGGACTAGGTGTTAATGATGAAGGGGGGCGATAATGTTACAATCGGGAGGACTAGTTTGAACAACGTATTTCATTTCACTAACGCTAGTGTTCTGGACACAGAACATAACAGATGTCGGTAATAACAACATGTCTATTTACAGTCTATCTGAGGCCTCTTCTTCCATTTATGGTCATAACAATTGTCGTAATAATAATTGTTATCACACAAACATCAATAATTATCATCATTAACTATTAACGTATACAATTCTAGTACTATCAAGGGAGATTTTATCTACGTTCTTTTGGGTAAGGAAAAAAAGGGGAAAAAATATTTCGAAAATTTTAAAGGAAAAATCAAATCATTCACATACTGACGTTATATACGTTATACAAAAACGTTTATGCACAATTTGCATAGGTATTTTTTTTTGTACTTTTTGGAATTCAAGAAATACTTAACAACTTCATTGTGATAATTACAGGTAACTGTACAGTAGTTAAAGTTACAGAGATAAAAGGGTAATAATAAGGGAGATAATCAAAGCTCCCTGAAACAACACTAATAAAATAACTTAAAAGTCTCAATTGTTTACAAGTATTTGGCTTTGAGTGAATTATAGTCATATATGTATACAATAATATACAGGACAATGTACAAACGTCTACATGCTAATTATAATACTACAGATTTTAGTTAAACCATACATTAAAACAAGGGTAAAGCTCATTAAAATCTCAAAATGCTGTTTGAGTAAAATTCGGTTTAGAAGTCATTGTTAAAAAGACAAGTTTACACAAATTCTCGAGGCTGAACTTTTATCACAAGTGCAGCCCAGTTTGTACCAGATCTAGGAGGACGTGAAAACTAGTGTCATGATCTTAGTTTTGTTATTCTTTTTTCATTGTGTGATTGAGTCACACTGATCTAATGCATCAGTAAGATATACACACGTTAGATAGGTACACACCCTTCCAAAATTTCAAACCAAATACACAGACATCAAATTTGTCGTGAAATTCCAACTGAAGATTTGTCCAGAAATAGATTTTAATGTGTACACCGTAGTTTAGATGAAGGGAGAGGCTTCTGTTAACATGTCTGTTTTAACAATGGCGATTCTAGGATTTTGTTTATGTGGTAATTTCTCAGATGCGTGTTTGTGTACAAACCGGTAACAACATGAGTTTAAAAGTCACCGTGTTCGTACAAGTTCAAAGGTCACAAATCACGTACAAGTTCAGAGGTCACAGTGACATAACGGTGGATACAATTTTTCAAAACAGTATGTTAAATAGTATATAATGGTAGTCTGCTATCACAGCCAAGCAAAGCAGGTCTGGGGGGCGGGGCTCACATGCCCCACCCCCTGCCTCCCTCGTGTCAAGTCTGTTGGTTCTGTGTCTGTTTTGGGGTATTGGCCACTGGGGTGGGAGGTGCCGGGGGCGGAGCTTGTCCTGAGTGAGAGGGTCCGGGTGGGCCTGAGTGACCATTACCAGATCCTTCCATGCCATCTCCTGGGAAATAACGCTCTGCAAAGAAACAGGATGAGGTGTATAGCTTATAACTTTATTTATTTTACAGCAATTGTTAACAACTTTTATTAATCGGTCTTGTTGGCCTAGATTAAAGCTCACTTAGGGTCTTAATGCTGGAGGAAACCGAGAGTACCCATCAAAAAAGTCCCAAGCAGTAGGGCAGGTGATCCAACACTTTTCATGTATGATCAGGGAATGAAATCTCGGCAGTCTTAACGAAAGCGTGGAGTGTGCTTTCCACAGCTTCACCCAACCATTATAGGCATTATATTTATATTGCTACATATTTCAATCTTACAACCCCTCGTATTTAATTTGTAATCTTTGTTTAATAAGAGGTTCCATTCCTCACTGTTGATGCTGTGTACGCCTTACCTTCGCTCAGTAGAGGTTCATCGTTGTTGACACCGTGCATGATGTTAGCCAGCATGTTATAGTCCATGCCCTCGTCTAGGGGGATGAACGGCGTGGTCCACCGGGGTATGGGTGTTGACCGTGGAGTGGAACGAGGCGTACCCACCGGTGAAGCGATCAGACTCAATGTAGTGGGACTGATCACGCCACTGAGGGCATTCACAGGGCTAAGACTGGGGTAGGAAAACACCTGAAAAATAGACAGGTAAGTCAATATAAAACGACAGGGGAAGTAGACAGGTATATCAATATAAACTAGAAATTTGTTTTGGTGAATGGCAGAGACTCAGAATAGGCAAACAATATGTCACCATTCGGGTTGGAGATTTCCCTTGCACACCCTCAATGTAGGAGAATATGATATTATTTCTTTCACAAAGTCATATAATGCACATTCTTAATGTCTAACTGGTGATTTCTGCAAGTTAACTTTGTAAAATTTATTATATGCTAATCACTCTCTTGATAAGCTGCTACAGAAGGCATTACAGATTTCAGCGTATCACACTTTTTTTTAATGAAGACAATGACAAATTACCTGATGTCCCTGCGGATGTATGTGAGCGAAGGCATGCTCAGGCCGAGTCAATACTGAAAACGGGCTGGACATGATCGTCCGGTTGAAAGGAGGCGTTCCCGGTGAGGAGCTAATACCCTGACTCGAGTTATTATTGTTAGAAGAACCTGCCAATCAAAAAAACAGCAAAGTAAGCAAATCATCAATCACATATGGTGTTCTCCTATTCCAGTAACAGTTTCACACTAATTTCCATAACATATTACTTTTGTAAACAACAGTGTTCTATAAAAAGTATCTACTTAATAATGGAGGCACGGCCGGGTAGTCCAGTGGTAGGACGCCAGGTTCGTGACCGAAGGGTTGCGGGTTGTTTCTTTGAGCAAGATACTTTTACTCCGCTTGTTCCAGTCTACTCAGCTGTAAATGAGTATGTGTTTGGGCAGCGCTAGAATTGTAGAATGCTAGCTGTGAGCGCCGAAATGGAAGCACTGGCTGTATGCTTCCCAGGGAGCTGAGAAAGATATTGGCTGGTTATGAAGGCCCTAAAACCATGGATAATAATTTGTGAACCGCTTTGAGACAACCTATGAACTAGCCCGCGCTAGAGCGGTATATAAGAACCTGGAATTATTATTATATTATTATTTATTATAATATTTTTTGTCTCATTAAAGATGGCTAACGATCATTATAACAAACAGTATTAGATATGACATTCTTTACAAGTCTAAATGTTTTCTCAACAGCTGTCATGAAGCAGGAAGTGTCTGTATGATTTCTTGATTAAATTATGTATTTTAAAAGTGCTCTCCGTTGGCTGCTTCAGTCAGGTCTGTCTGTGTTAACTGGGAACTATGGTACACCATACACAGCTCTTTGTTTCCTTCACAAGCTGCTATATTGAAACTTTCTTCTACAGTATGAATCTTCCGAATTTGAGTCCCCAAAAAGCTCAAATTTGATCTAGCATGACATCTAAATAAGCAATACACAAAGTTTTTTTCCAATCTTTCTACAGGAAAAAAGTCCAGAATGCTATGAATTACATTTTGTCATTTCCACAACGAACCTGGCTATGTAGGTTACGTTTTAACGTCTGAATAACATTATAAGGATAAATGCTAAATGTACGAACAGGTGAAGAGACTTAAATATCAAGGTTAGGAACCTTAATTACACCCACGTTAATTTAAAGCTACTCTCCTACTCACTAGACACTGTTGAGGTCATAGAGGTTGGAGCACTGCTGACGACTTGTCCGTCCGACGTACGCAGAATGGCCACAGGGCGTGCCAGATTTGGAGGAGGCGGGGGAGGTGGAGGAAGCATCCCTGGCGAAAAGAAGTGTGGGAGTTTGGTGGGGCTCTTCATCGGGGGTGTCGACGAGTTTGACTGGAAACAGAAAAAAGATACGTAATCTACCTACACATCCTAATCAATCATCGCGACGACTCGATGCTCTACATGTGCAAGTATTAGTCTATTGGTTCTCAACAAATACATCTGGATGTCTAAAAGTTCCTTGTCCCCTATTCAGATGTCATTTCAACACTACAAAGTAATAACCACTACTGGGAAGCAGCCTCGTAATGGTTTTAAAACAACCTCTCTGAATCAATTAGACACATTTCAATAAATGAAACTCTGTTCACTGAATGATAATCAAATATTCTGCTCTGTCTAAGCTACAAGTTAACGCTTCTAGTGTTGCTGTCATCATTCACTTCGTATCCCTAACTACATCACAATAGGACTAATTCATTTCGTATCCCTAACTACATCACAATAGGACTAATTTATTTCGTATCCCTAACTACATCACAATAGGACTAATTCATTTTGTATCCCTAACTACATCACAATAAGACTAATTCACTTCGTATCCCTAACTACATCACAATAGGACTAATTCATTTCGTATCCCCAACTACATCACAATAGGACTAATTCATTTCGTATCCCTCACTACATCACAATAGGACTAATTCATTTCGTATCCCTAACTACATCACAATAGGACTAATTCATTTCGTTTCCCTAACTACATCACAATAGGAATATTTCATTTCGTGTCCCTAACTACATCACAATAGGACTAATTTATTTCGTATCCCTAACTACATCGCAATAGGAATAATTCATTTCGTATCCCTAACTACATCACAATAAGACTAATTCATTTCGTATTCCTAACTACATCACAATAGGACTAATTCATTGCTTATCCCTAACTACATCACAATATGACTATTTCATTTCGTATCCCCAACTACATCACAATAGGACTAATTCATTTCGATTCCCTAACTACATCACAATAGGAATATTTCATTTCGTGTCCCTAACTACATCACAATAGGACTAATTTATTTCGTATCCCTAACTACATCACATTAGGAATAATTCATTTCGTATCCCTAACTACATCACAATAGGACTAATTCATTTCGTATCCTTAACTACATCACAATAGGACTAACTCATTTCGTATCCCTAACTACATCACAATAGGAATATTTCATTTCGTATCCCTAACTACATCACAATAAGACTAATTCATTTCGTATTCCTAACTACATCACAATAGGACTAATTCATTTTGTATCCCTAACTTCATCCCGATAGGAATATTTTTATCAATTTATTTTCATATTTCAACCATTTATAGCAACTACATCACAAAAGGACTAATTCATTTGGTATCCCTAACTACATCACAATAAGACTAATTCATTTCGTATTCCTAACTGCATCACAATAGGACTAATTCATTACGTATCCCTAACTACATCACAATAGGAATATTTCATTTCGTACCCCTAACTACACCCCCCTAAGACTAATTCATTTCGTATTCCTAACTACATCACAATAGGACTATTTCATTTAGTATCCCTAACTACATCACAATAGGACTATTTCATTTCGTATCCCTAACTACATCACAATAGGACTATTTCATTACGTATCCCTAACTACATCACAATAGGACTAATTCATTTTGTATCCCTAACTTCATCACGATAGGAATATTTCTATCAATTTATTTTCATATTTCAACCATTTATAGCTAGCATATCAACTGTGTTACGATATTTCAAATTCTGTAATACTATTTGTACCATTTGTCTAATTTCGAGACGTATGTACTTCAGGGATGATACATATATACATGGTGGTAGTTCGCCTTTGAATCATGACATTTTGAGTATTACACATGTAGAGCATCAATGAAAATAAGTAATTCCACAAAAATGGGTCAGGCTATGGGTCAGGCTATTGGTCAGGCTATTGTGGTGTTAGGGTTGCAGAGGTCATGACCTTGTCTAGGAAAGATTGATAGTCTATCAAGATATCTGATTATATATACATGTGTACTACAAGTTAAATATCTAATTCACAAACAAAATCAATTTAAGAGCAAAATATCAAAAGAATTACTCGATGCAAGGTATATTCAACACATAAATGAATAATATTATATTACTGATTTAAAAGTGTGCAATTTTTTCTTTTTTTCGTCATTTAAGTATTATTTTTTTCTTTTTTTGTCAAATATTTAAAATTTGCCACAGTTTACCATTTGCCTCTGTATTTAGGGAAACTATATCCTGACTGACACATTAGTACACAGCAGACTATATACAGTATAGAAAACTTACGTCTGTGAATTAAGGGCGAAAATAGGGAATTTATGGGTGAAGGGTAAAAGTTTGAAATTTCCTGATATACATGTACACTATTTTCAAAGTTCTCTTTCATGAACTTCTTTAGCTTTCAAAGTTTTTCCCTATAAGTCTGTGAACATGTATGCTAACCAGCTATTGTTTATTTTACTGCATGTTGAATAACTGACTTTTTTAAATAAGAAATGAAGAAGAAAAGCAGGAAAAAGTTATAAGTATAACACTAGCAGTCAATTCTAACACATGACAGAAATTTAAAGCATACACTAAAGAGATACCACCAAAATAACACAAAATGGACAACACTTCTAAATAAAAACAGCCGTTTCCAACATCCTCTCAGACTTTCTATGAATGTCATTCTCGGAGCATTCAAGGAAACGTATACAAAAATAGGACATTCTACAAGCAAGTGGGGAAATAAAATGAGGTTACGAAATTCACAGAAGGATCATATCTCTATGTTTATAATTGATACAGATATTGAAAAACAACTACTAAACAAAAAGAACATTCTCAAGCATAAAGAAACATTGAATCTAGGAAACCACACGACTAAAGTACAAAGAGTTATCTCCCTTGGACTGTAACTTACATGAATGTGTTCATCTCCCTGCAACGAACCAGATGGAAAGTGTAAAAAAAAAAATCTAAAAAATTCCTTAATTTCTAAACTACAGGACTTAAAACTGAGGGTGTAGGTAAGGTAGCAAGAGTGAATACATGGAAACGATAAAACCTAATTTATTTTGTTTACCACAGTTGGTTGAAAAATATTAATACAGACATACAAAGAGAACGTGACTTCGATTTGAGTGTTTCCCTGTTTGTTAATTGTAAAATATTTCAGGATTACTTTATAGGTTTCCAAAGTCTGTTGCACTGCAATTCAAACAACTGAAGTCACACTGGACAGAAATAAAAGAATTCCGTTAATGAAAATCGGATTTGCTATTTCAAAGGAGTCTGATCAATATGATAGGCTACTCGGTAACGAGGACGTGATTATACCCAAAGTGGGTGATTTGAGGTAGATGTGAACACAAGTTAGGGTTTCACAGCAAGGAAGCATATAAATCAATCATTTCAAAACAGAAAACAGTGAAATGTGTCTATAATGACCAATCTCAGGGTAATGTACTCAGGACCTGCCTATAACCACCAGTCATAGAGGGGGCGGGGCACACACATTGTATCAAGTTCACATTCTTTATCAAGGAATCATAGAAGGCTTAAGTCGGTTAATTATCCAAATTTTAATCCAAAACCTCGCGTATAAATAAAACCACATTTCACAATAACAAATTTTACAGAATTGTTATTTGAAAGACATCATAACAATTTGACATTTGAAAAAGAACATTTTTTTTTTTTGAAGAGTTTAAAAGAGACAGGAGTGGTCATTATTTTCCAAGGCAGTGGTCATGAGTTACACTAGCAAGGTGGTCAATATAAGAAAGCAGTTCACTGTGTGGTGTGGTCACTATAAGGCTTGACCGTTATAGCTACCATATTGCCGTGACTAGAAGCCTGGTCTCGCACGGCGGCTGAATTAAACGCTGTCTCGAAAAATCGTAGCACCCCAGGCTTCTATTCAAGGGAAAAAAGGTATGATGCAAGCACAGTCATTGTTATCAATGTACATATTAAGTTGAAACGTATTAAATTCATTCTTAAAATCATGCATCCCACTTTTAGTAGCAGCCAAAATATCGGAACAAGTCTCCAATTTCTCAAAACTAAATTCACAGACTAAATTTTTTATTACTGTGATAAACGATGGTAACTTGTAAACATAAAACATTTCAATGTTATTTCATATATCTAAATATCTCATAGAACTCATGGTGGTCATACCTGAATTTGAACATCTATACTGTATATATATATATATCAGAAATAACACTTAGCTAACAATAACTGGATGTCATCGACTGGAGGAAATACATGCCAAATCAATATTCAATTATCATTACGTAAGTTTTTTTTATAAGTTGGTAATATTTGAGAATTTGGAACTTGATCCGTTCTGGCAACTTATTTCTTTTTTTTCCAGTTATACAGTTTTCATGCAGCTTGATGAAGCTGTTTTGTTTTTGGTTCTGAAGAATGTTTACAGTACAAGGAGATTGTGTAAAACTCCGACCTCTCTTGTTACTGTGAAAATCCCAGTATACACAGTAATGTACTGTTTTAAATCTATCATACCATGACCTGAACTACCGATATATGCCAATGATAAAAGTAGGTCACGGCTGTCTAGTTATGTTATACACACCTGTCCCTGTGAGTTTTGAGCCTCCTGACATACCAGCGAAACAAAGTCGGAGAACGTATCGCCGCCGGGGTGTTCCTGGTACTTCATAGAGGGGTGCGGCCCTGGCCCGGGACCCGACATGCCCATCTGCTGTAAACCTGTAAAGACAAAGGTAAAAAATAAGTACAACTGACAACAGACTGTAATACAACTGACAACATGAAGCAGATCAGAACAACCAAAATCAGTAAAAATGTCAACAACCAACAGTTGAACACAATACAACTGACAACAAGACAGTAAAACTTACGACAAAACATCAATACAACTGACAAGACAGTAAAACTTATGACAAAACATCAATACAACTGACAAGACAGTAAAACTTATGATAAAACATCAATACAACTGACAAGACAGTAAAACTTACGACAAAACATCAATATATACAACTGAATGAAACAACACAAAGTTATCAACATTACAACCATTGGAGACACACAACATCCATACAACAAACAACAAAATGTTACTACAACATTAGATGGAGACATCAAAGCTATAAACACCTTATAAAAATTGACAATACACAACATCAGTACATCATGTCAATGTATCTGAAAACCCCCAGCAGAAAAACCAAAATCAATACAACTGACAACACAAAATAAGTACAACTAACAACAAAATATAGGTACAACTGACAACAACATCAGTACAACCAGCAGCATCGGTCATTAGTATAACTGACATCAGCATCACTGATGTAATTACCACAGACAACAGACATCAGTTCAAATGACAACATCAGTACAACCAAAAACAATGCTATCATTATGACTCACATCAACAAAACGTGACCAAATTCAATTGACAACACACAACATCAGTTTGATCGTTCAACGATGATAACAAGGATATCAATGTAACACATTATCAGTACAAAAATACTAGTGTACTGTAAACAAGTTAAAATACAAAGTAAACACAGATGATAACAGCTTCATCTGTACAAGTCACTGGTAATGTTAAAATATACTACAGTGACAAACCTTGTATAAAACATTTAATGTTTATTGTGATGTCATAGAGTTACTGATTTTTCTGTTTCAAACATCGTAAGGTCTATTTTTCTGTTTCAAACATCGTAAGGTCTATTTTCTGTTTCAATCATTGTAAGGTCTATTTTTCTGTTTCAAACATTGTAAGGTCTATTTTTCTGTTTCCGGACTATTGGTATAAAAATCTACATTTTCTAGTACTCTGTCACATTAAACATCCGGGACAATTCTCATATCCTACCATAGGTTAATACATCTATATATCTCGCTTACCCTGTAACATTAAACATCCGGGACAATTCTCATATCCTACCATAGGTTAATACATCTATATATCTCTCTTACCCTGTCACATTAAACATCCGGGACAATTCTCATATCCTACCATATATAAACATCCATACAACTACCATACCCCGAGACATATGTGAAACCCAATCACAAGATGAAGATCACAGTATAAATTCTGAGAGAAATTTTATATCCTCCTCATTGAATTACCTCATGTTTATCTTCATAACATTTTTTAGTGTATGGCCTTCTGAAAAAATGAGATTGGTGGAATCTATCTTAATAGTTAACCCTTATTCATTCCCCCCCCCCCCCCCCCCCCCCCCCCCCCTCAAAGACTTTTCTGTTCAATGCACAGGCCAAAACTATTTGTTGAAATAGGGGTTAACAGTTTGAGTATTTTTCCAACCAATGCTTAGAGTTGTAAAATAAAAATCTGCTGTGCAATCGTTATGTCTCTGTTAATTTTTTTCATCCCCCCCCCCCCACCCCCCCATTCTTCAAAAAACCCAGATTCATTGATTCAATTCTGCACAAAGAATATCTAAAGTTATTGTAAAGGTATACGATGACGAAACTCGGCCAACCAACACACACCTCGACTAAATTCCATGTCAATGCTGTCATCGTAGCGTATATCGTTTACTTTGATCTACGATCATATTCACACAATATCATAATTGCATTATTCTCCAAACTTCGAGTTATTGTACCAATCTATTCATACAGAAGCAAAGAATAAAAGATTTTACGAAGTTTTACAAAATTTATGAAATATGAAAAAAAGACGAGCGGTGGTTTGTAACAATGGGCGATTGTTGGAGCGGAAATGGACATAAGGACAACACTGGTATGTATAAATAGGCATCATGGTTGCTTATGCAATGAACAATACCTGTCCATATTCCTGTAGAAGTTACAATAGACAAGACACCTGTAGAATTCAGTCACACAAATCCTCAACCACAGACCTAACGAGTCAACGTGACGGAGCCCGACCACACGGAAACTGAGCACGCCATTTAGGGTTTAGCCAATGACCTGTAACATCTACCTTGTCCCAGTATGTGTATCAGAAATTATGAGGTACACATACCCTACCCCTATGTATTAGCTGAAATGGGCGGTTCTGTAAATGTTAAATACACCCTGTTAAAATATATTGAGGTATTATTAATACGGTATTGGATTTGTGACATCCCCAGGGGGGCCCGATCCCCAGAAAGGGGATTAAACTTGTACTGGGCTAAATATTCCCAAACCATACCATAATTATATAGGCATTGAAATATAATCTGTGTATAGGCAGAGAGAGCGCATGATTTACGAATCTATCTCATTTTATTTACATTATTTACAATTTTACACAGCAGTGAGTATTATCTATGTTCTAGATAAACAGGTTAACTCAAACTTATATCTGTGATGTTTATTGAATTAAAAGATATATAGCTATATATGTAGCTGAACTAGACTGGGTCAATTATTGCCAACCAGGAAGCTCAATTGGTAGAACATCTGTCTAGATTTCGGCAGGTGCCAGGTTCAGGCCCCAGTTCGGCAGTGCCTTTTTCTGCCCCTGTTACATATAAATATCTTTGCAGCCGCTTAAAAGACTTTAACAAACTTTCCATATATGATTTTGAATAACTCAAATTTACAAATCGAGAGACTAGTCAAATTTCAATCATTAAAATTTATTATTTTTTTGTAATGATGTTATGCAAATGAAATAAATCTCCAAAATGTTTTTCTTTTACGATTTTCAATTAACAATTGCGGAAATTATCACTTCCAAAGTTGACTTGTTCCAGAAATTAAACTTTTAAACTCTAACTGGAAAGGTTTCAATCACACAGCGACTGTTTCCAATCCATTCTGTTCCACCAAGTTGTTACTGGGCTATTGGTTAGATTAGGACAGCATGAAATCACGACCAGTACATGTACATGACGTAACATAGAATTCAATTTGGATGTTGTTCTCAAGTCATTTTGCCGTGAAAAATCACAATATTGTGCATCAACTCCTGGTTTATACACAAATTTACACGATCTATCCCGGAAGATCATTTTGATATAAAAGCATGTATTTGTGGTTACTAAAATAGCACATATGTATTCTCGAAACAAAAACAGAATAAATTTTGATCAAATTTTCTTTGGAAGTGTTTTTTAACAAACTTGTAGTACATTTAATTACTTATAAACAGCCCATTTATTCCTAAGACCGCATCCATGTCAATAATGAACATTTATGTACAACTATCAGCTTCTATTATCTGTGACATTTGATCAGGACTAAAAAACATAAGCTACCGTAAATGTTCTGAAGTTTTGATAGTTGTGTGGGCTTAACTCTTGCATGTTACTCTGATCTCAAAGCCAGATCTGATATGGTTTATATATATATATTTACTTTTCTTGATTGTAATGGAGTATGGACCCAGTAATAATAATGTTAAATCATTTATATGGAATTTTATTAAAATAGCATGTAGGTTTTCACTATGAATCTTCCTGAATTTGAATAAATCATTTTAACAAATTAAAGTTGTATTTCTAAAACACATTTTTTGTTTAAATAATATTTTCACTAAAATACTAATTTTCAAGAAATTTGTCAAAATCAATAATTTCATTTTTTTTTTTCAAATTGTTTTAGGGATATTATTTCCCATCAAAGTTAGGGAACATCTACCAGACTGGAGCCTGAGGAGAAGTGATGCACATGTGAGTGGTGCTGGGGAGTTTTGTAATTAGTTTCTGTACAATCATCAGTACATGTGATTCTGTATCAGCTATTTCACACTAATTCTGTGGAGAGGTTTGGGGATTAAAATAAACGAATATTCAAACAGAAACACTAGTTAACGACACAATCATAATAGAATCAGCTTGTGATGCATTCAGATCTAATTAAATGTGATGTGTGAAGATTTCTTACCACAGTAAACAGATAAGTAATGACAGAGTTTTTGAAATCTAGATTTCACCTTTGCCATGAAGCTTGTCATTTGCAGTAGGTCCAGCTGGCTAGAGATGTCCATATGAATATTTCCCACCCCTACCCCCACCCCNAATCCCTATACCTCATGTTTCCATCTTCTTACTGTTTACTGGGAAATTTTCTCTGTAGTTAAAATTTTGCGATAATTTTGCCATCTATAATGAGGGTGAATTCATCATTACAGATAATATAAATAAACACCATAATATATGTAGCAATTAAATGTGAAGGGCCAAGTTAACACTGGGCATAATAGATTTCATGGGCAACGGGCGAAAATTTGACTGGGCGAAAATCTGCCGTTATACAGTATTCCCCTCAGCTAACCTTCCTTATCTCACGGCCCTCTGTTTTTTCCTCAGATATCATCATTCAGCCTATTACTTTCCATTTTCTGTTTTTCATTGCACATTTCATTTATACTCTATCCTGTCTTGTTTGTATTTCCCTTACATTTCCCTTAAACATTCATTTCTTTCCTGTCACTGCTTCCTTTGTACATTTCGATCCCTTATCCCTTGTTCCTTTTTCTCCCCACTTTTATCTACTCCTTTCATCTATTTCTTTTCTTATCTTCTACATCAGTTGTCTCCCTTTCCTTCTTATCACACCCCCTCTGACAACTTTTAGTTTTCTGTCATTTCCTTCATTTCCTTTTTTTATGTTTTTCCTGTCTCTACTTCCCTGTTCCTTCTCTCCTCCTTCCTTCTGATGTTGCCCCTGACTCTACTCCCCCCTTTTGTTTCTGCCCTATATATTTTCCAATCCCCCTAACTTACCTACCTCCCCATTACTTC